ACGAAAACGAGGCCCGCGGGGGCCGTCCTACCCGCGACGAAACGGGGCCTAAGGGACGGGCGCCTCGGGACCGGCTAAGGGAGGGAGCGGAAGCGTGGGAGGGAGTAAAAACCTACTCTAATACCATCTTAAAATAGGCTAGGAGACAAGTGTCGAGAGTGATAGATTGAGTAAGGAGAGACAAGGAGATACAAATGTCGACCTAAAGTGTTGTACCCTTTAGAGGGCAACTCACTGTAGCCTATCTAACAATACATAGAATATATAAACATTTGACACGAAATTGTGTTTGTGGGTTCGAGTTTGCTGATCCTTCTGACTCCCATCGTACCCGCTGCTGCAAGCATGAGTACGTTCCTTTACGAGTTCATGACGCGGTTAAGTTCGTGGTGTCCATAACCATTAATGGGTTGGAAGTGCTTTGACTACAGATGACTCGTTTTACAAGGAAGAAACTGGTGAGGTGGTTCAAAGACCGAGAGAAAGGGAAGCGCACGCACTTGAGGTAAGAGTTGTTGACCTACATCTCAGCACGCGCAGCAACATGGGTAGATTGGTTGCAGTGTGGGTTTTGCTGCCAAGGAAAAAGAAAAGCGGAAAGCGACGGATTACAAAACCCTCTTGGAGAAACGCAGGAGAGGGCAGTTCACTTTCCTCAATGCAGAACCCTCGGGTTGATTGTGAGGGAGCTTCGAGGGGTGGCTTAAGCAATAGGGCGACGTACACCTCCACGTAGGGATGCGACAAAGGGGCAGGGAGGGGTACTTGCTCAAATAACAGGACTGTTATTGGGGTGGCTTTGCAGGAAGCCCAGGTTTCTATAATCACTGTATGTGCGAGCGTCTGTCGCTGCTGTCCACTAAGAGGCCTAGTGCCCCAAAGCTACCTAAATGTTGGTGTGAGGGGTTGGGAAGTCATTATCATATAGGTCACTCTCAGGGACTAGCAACATGGCATAGACATAAGTAGCAGCTAAACGCAAGGAAAGCCATCGCGTAATATATGTCCTTTAGGAGGTCACTCTCAAGGGCAGGAGCATCCCCGATGGACGGAGGACGGGAAGGAGGAGAGACCAACTGAATGGTCTCGTCAAAGTGGGTGGAGGCACAGTCAGCAATAGCACCGACAAATGGAACCGGATATGAGGGAGGAAATAACATGGGTGGTCTTAGGGCGAGCGACCAAAAGAGAATCAGATAACAGAGGAGAGGAGACAGCAAACAAAGACACAGGAGGCGACAGTAGAATAGATGATTGAGGAGCACGAGAAACGCGGGAACGGAAGAGCCTATGGTGGACAATAGGAATAGGAGAGACGGGGGGAGCATGAGAGGGATGGCGGACACAGTGATGGGAGGGATGAGCGGACAGAAGAGCAGACATCGTGGAAGAAGACGAGCCGAAGTCTAGACCTAGGGAGGAAACGTGGGGCCATAGAATGAGAGAGACGGTGGGGGAGGAGCAGGTGGTATGTCAGTCGAGCTAGAAGATAGATCGAGAAGGCGAATTGCAAAGACAGGTGGCGGTGGCAACGGAGGCTGCTGTTGCTGCGGCAACGGAAGTGGCTACTGCGGTGCCGGACGTCCAACGCACCCCAAGTATCAGTACCACAAGTGGCAACACACCTAAAACCAACACTCCTAATGTCAACAACCTCATAACCAGCACCCCAAGAGCCGGCACCCACAGCGTCAGCACCGAAAGAACCAACATGCTTAGCGGCAGCAACCCCATAGTCCATAATTATCGGCTCCGGTGGCTACGGCGAATGCGAAGATGACACCAGAAATAGAGGCAATAACATCAGACATATGTGCACCCCCCAACGTACTAGCACCTCCACCTCTACCACAACCATTACTACCCCTATGTCATCCCCGCCTACGGAGGGGGCGGAGACGGCAGTGACGTGCATTGTGACTATAGGCTCAATAGCAGCAACAGAGGCAGTTGGGGTAAGGAACTGAGGCAGAGCGTACCTCTCAAAGGTGGGGGTGGACGACAGCACCAGTGGTGGAAGCGATGGTGCGAAGGCGACGAGTTTCAAAGATATCGATAGTCAGGTGCATGTGATGCATAGCGAGGAGGGTGACGCGGACGGGCGGGAGGCGGGCCGATAGAAAGTGCAGTGTGGCATATGTGGGGGGAGTGAGGGGGGGTCGGCAAGGTCGTCACAGGTGGGTAAATAGTTCAGCAAAGTAAAGAAAGCAAGGAGATCAAGGGAGAAAAATGGCAGAAGGAGGTACCCCAAAAGAGTCGAAGAGGGGGTGGATTATCGAACAACCATATCATCAAGACCTGGTGAAAGTCTGCCCGCTCTACTAGCTGAGAAGCGATTGAACGCAAGGCACATAGCAGCGTTACGCAACTCCCATATCGAGTATGCAAGCGGGGCCATGCAGTAAGCCTCCTACTCGTCCAACATGGACTCAGTAGTAAGAGAAGCAGAACGCTGACGGCCAAGTAGTTCACCCGACACGTAACCGTACAGGGAGACGTCGTCCTGGCGCTGGCTCCGCATGTGGAACTTGATGCCGAGCAGCCATGCGTCAAAGTCGAGCCGACCTCTCCCATGGCCGCATGACGAAATCAGACGCCAAGGTAGAAGTGAGGAGGGGTACGGGGAGAGGGGTAGAAGGGGAGTGTCGAGAGTAATTTGTGTACCCCCTATGATGTGACTTACTAAAGCCTAATCAAACTTATCTAACATAAATTGACAAGGAGCATAGCTGCAGATGATGAGGGGGACAACCATAGGCGGAGGGGAAGGGGCCGTCGCTAGAGGTGGGTAGCTAGAGGGAGTCCGATAAAGGATGGGCTGGTATAGGGGGCCATGAGGGCACGAGGGGCAGCTAGGGAGGTTGGAGGGGCGGGAGCGAGGGACCCTGTCATACTCCTATACGTCATGTCTCTGTTGACTACAGTCTACATTACCAGGGGCAACAGTCCCTACCTTTCACAGCAAAAGGGGGAAGAGGGGGTTAGGGGTTGGGGGGGGCCGGGGGAGGGGGGGGGGGGGGGGGGAGGGGAAGGGGGGCGGATGGCATGGGGGAGAGAGGGTAAATGGGAGGAGGGCGTCCGTGGATCAAGGTACACCTACCGTGTGTATCGTGAGAGACAAGAGTGCCTGTTTACATACTACCGGTACTATGTTTTAGTTTTGGAGTTGGATAGCAGGCTAATTAACACATCTTGAAGACTGAAACAATGTATGATACCCTCCTATCGTAGCTCTCAATGAATTACAAAGAGATCAATAGTGTTTTTTTCCAAGAATTTCTGAGATGCTGAGATACAGGAACTCGGCAACACAACCATCTCATCTCACTAGATACATCAGAAGTACGGTATTTATAGGTTTCCACTAGCAGCACCCAGCATGAACATACTCGTTTGATTAAAAACCCGACTCGTTGATTTGTTGAGCTACTTCAGCAAGAAGCATATTCACGTCACCACCAAGGACAGGCTCCTCGAAGGTGGCAATCAGAATATTATTAGCGGACGTTTTATGGATGCAGCAACCACCAACTTTCCGGTTCTGCAGGAATAGCAACGACGTCAGTGTGTCTAAAAAAAATTATGAAATATTTAGAACTGATGCAAGAACCGGTTAAGGGACGGTCATTCAAGTTGGTTGTACCCACCTCGTCTTGCTTGTTTCTTCCACGAATGATAACGCCAGGAACACCTTGAATGACCATGAACTTTTCGTTACCCAGGCATAACCCATTCGCCGTAAGCACATTCACGTCGTTAAACCCCGCCACAATTGCTCTAATCTGATCCTCTGTAGCCTGAAAGTTCCGGGAAAAGGAGCCATAACCGCATAGCAATGTGAAACAAAACTCACATCATCTACTGTTGGGAGAAGGCATGTGACACATTATCCATCTCACCTCTGGGAAGTTATCGCTTCGACCCCGAAGTGAGCCATTCGGACCATAAGCTGCCGATTTAATAACATATCGTTTGTCATTCCTATCGGACTCGTCTGACATTCTCAACCCAATCTTCAATTGGAGCACTTGGTTGAAGTAATTCTCGGGCAGCTCCATGTCCCCCATGGAGGCTGCGGCTGGAACCTGATTGGGCTGGCACGTTGAGAAAGGACTCGCAGCCAGCTGCGGCTACTACAAACTAAAACTGGTAGCACTTCTGATATTGAACCGCAGCAAATGCTCTAGTCTCACTTGGAACAAACTGAGGGATTATGTTTCAAAGCATCCTTTCTTTTCCTTTCACACACCCAGCCCACTTTACTCCCCTCCCCCCCTCCCCCCGCCACCCCCGGACGATCCCCCCTAGATGCAGGATCGCGGACCGCGCGTGGAACATTATCGTGGACAAGTGATGACATCAGTAGTGTTCGATCAAGCGCGACTGTAACCACATTTGGGATCTCGCCAGCTGTTATGGTACCACATTGTCACCGTTTGCGATTTTCCGTCGTGTAACAGAATGGTCGACCAATTTTATCGCCAACGGGATGGTCACAACAAAGCTGGACGTCGGCGGCACGAGGGAAATGCTGGAGCAACTGGAATCGAGTGCCGGTACCCAATCGGAAACGGATGCGACGCTACTGGCCCGTTTTTTTATTGGGAAGGGAATTGGTCAACTACGTGGGGGGGCGGAAGGGTTCACAAGAGGTGCGCACGCGCCATGCTCATTTGAGGGGCGGAGAGGAGGAATTCATTGGGAAAGTCAAGAAGCCACTGTGGGATGGGGGGCGCGGCTTGCATATGCGGGCGAAAATGTCAAGAAGGAGCAGCACTACTGGTCCGTAAGCGGGCGACGTTTCCACGTGGTAGAGATTGAATGGTTATGTCCACGCCAGCTTTCAAGATCATCTTGAACAAACACTGATGGTGTGACATAACAAATGACATATAAAAAAATAGCATGTTATTGTAAAATTCCTGCATTCTGGAATGTTAGCTGGTTGTACCTAAACCTAAGTATAGAAACTGTGGTCAATGGTATAACCCAAACCTGGATCATCGCCCGTAGTCAATGGTCGCTCCATCTGAGCTGGAATCATCGCCTGAGTCACTAGTGCTTCCATCCCCAGTAGAGTCGCCTCCACTGGAATCACCCCCATCATCACCTCCCCCACTCTCATCTGCACCACCAGTATCCCCACCAGAACTGCCATCTCCGCTACTGTCCTCCTCGCTACCATCTCCCTCTGTGTCTCTGCACTTCCCCCACTGACACTTGCGCGAAAAGCACGCCTTGACAGGCCTGGCAGTCATGTTAGCCGTGAACAGTTGACAGCTGAGTCCCGAGAAGGTGTACATGAGGCAGGAGGAATCCTTGATACAAGAACCCTCGCACTTCTCCACATTCCCCGTGAAGAAGAGGTTCCCGTCCATCACCATCAGCTGCTGCCCCTTGTGTTTCTCACATATCATCTTCGGCACAGGAGTGGCAGGAGGCGAGCTGGCAGGATCGCTCCCACTCGTGTCTGCTGGCGGGGATGGCTTGTCCTTCTTCCCCGTGCTTGGCTTGGTGGGAGAAGAGGGAGGAGAAGGTTTTGCATCCGAGCCTGATTTGTCCGAGCCTGATTTGTCCGAGCCTGAATCAGCCTTGGCCGAATCCGAGTTCTTATCCTTGGTGGGCTTTGGGCTGCTAGTTGGGCTGCTAGACGGCTTCGGCGCTTTGCCAGCCTTGGAGCCATCCGAGTCCGAGCCTTTGGGCGCCTTCGCTGAGCTCGGCGCGCTTCCTCCCGAAGAAGACGCAGGCGGATTCGTTGACTTGGCGGGATTCGATGACCCTTTTCCTTCAAGGTCAGTGCCGACCTCCTGGCTGTGTTTCGTCGTCTTGCCCTTCTTGTGCGGGCGCGCGGGAGCTGCAGCGGGAGGTGCGGATCCTCCACGCGAGTTGGACTTGCCCGACGTTGCCTTCCCTTTGCCCCCTCCGGACTTTGCGCCAGTTGAAGCGGAGCCAGCTGGTGCGGCAGCGGCAGTGCGTCTCTTCTTCTTCCCCTTTCCAGACTTGGCGCGCCCGCGCGAGTTACCCGACGCTGGCGAAGTCGTCACGGCCTTTTTCGCTACTGGCGCGTTCGCCGTCTTTGCCCCAGATTTCTTCACAGGGGTTTGCTTCGTGCCCTTTCGAACCCACTTATGTCCACCCTTCTTCCTCTCACCAGAAGACCCCGTTGTGCCATCGCGAGGCCACTTGTGCCCACCCTTCTTCCTCTCGCCAGCAGATCCCGTTTTGCCGGATGAAACAGCCGCCTTCTTTCCTTTCTTCCCCGCCTTTTTCTTTCCGCTCTGCAGCGAACTGTTCGTCTCACTTGCTTTCACCGCACCCCCCCCTTTCCCCTTTTTCCCCCGCTTCCCCCGCTTCCCCTGTTTCCCCCGCTTCCCCTTTCCAGAAGCGGACGTCGAGAGGGCTGTTCCGGCTCCTGCTGACGTGGCGCCCTCTGACGCCGATTTTCCTGACTGCTGCAGTTTCTTGCCACTGCCCTTCTTGTCGGAGGCTGGCGCGGAGCTTCCGCGGGCGGGGGAGCTTGCGCGGGCGGAGGACTTCGTGGGGGCCGGGGTGGACTTGAGGAGGCGGTAGGGGAAGGAGAGCGCAGGCGACGTTGGGAATAAATCCTCTATGAGCGATAGAGGCGACGATTGCTGCATCCATGCGTCCTGGTCGCCTGCGGAAATGCGACGCAGTGGAGAGGATGCGGAAGGTTAGGGTCAACGCGAGGAGCCGAAGCGCGAAAAAGAAGATTTGCTACACGGGTCACAGCAATGGTTTACAGCACCGTACGGGAAACGGAACACAGTAGCCTTTAGAGTTGTCGAAGTTGTACACATAGGAGAGCTTACCGTCCCCGATAGCCAGTGGTTCACGCGAAGAATCCTCATCAGGCTTCACCGCTGGTGCCGCGAGAAGGATCAGCAGCGACACGCATGCGATCAGCGCAACCGGGCCAAACCGGCCCATCCTGACGCTTGTGGTTCACGTGGTGTCTCAGGAAGAGATCTTAAGAGGCGAGAACGATATCCAGCTAAAGGGCGGCGAACTTGGCTCGAACCCCGAAGTTATGAAACACTGGTCAGACGCGTCATAGAGAAGGCAGGTAGTTGAATGCAGGGCGAAGCGCTACTGGGCTGAATGTGGCCTCGAGTTTGGGTATGCTATGAGGCGACGGCATATAAAGTGGTTTGCAAAGCTCGAAGGAGCTGGTTTGGAGTGAGAAGTGAACGTTGGAAGCTTGAGCTTTGAATTTGCAACCGCAGTCGACTCATCATGTCGGTGAAATTCGCCCCCGAAATCCGAGTCGCGATGCTGTTTTTTTGGATTTCGCGACATTTCCACAAATTTCGCACATTTGTGATGTCATGCCGACGAGGAAAGGGGACGTGCGCACGAAAACATGCCCATGACAGTCGTTCGTTCAGATCCGGCAGGGTAGGTTGGCGATTTCGCATTTCAATCTACAGTACATTGTCCTGCTCTGAAGTCCGATTCTATGACATGCTTCACCCCAATAACTACTTAAAGCCAGAATCTCATGTACGGATTGGACGTGCAACTGCAAAGCACTTAGGAGAAAAGTGGGTTCTTTGGCGAGTCTCCATTTGACAAAACTTTGGCCCCAGAATTGTAAACCAATCATACCGTACAAGCCCCTTTTTCATCGACTACCCACCGTTATGTTTAGTAACTAGAAGGTCCATTCCTCTTAGAGACTAGTATTACAACAATGAGTAGAGAAATCAGTACCCTTTACCCAGCCCTTCTACAAGTGGTCACTTGTCATCGTCAGCAACTGAGGAAATCCAAGTGGAACAGGGACGTTGTAGAATCCCAAGTATGCCCGGGCTGGCCGAGACTTCAACCCAAGCGAGTCCAACTTGCAGTTCATGAACCGGGGCCATTGCTTGAATATAGGAGACGTCGGCTTCACCTCCAGGCTTCCAGTCGTGTAATTCACAAACTGCAGACCCGGAACATTGGCAGAAGTGTACCGGATACTCGAGAACTTGTTAACCGTTGGCACCGAGGGGGTCTTTTCGCAGCCTTGGAAGCTCAGCGGGAATTTGCTGCCGTCCAGCAGGGCGAGATCGAGGATGTTACTGGTCGGGAGGCCGCTGCACTTGCCGGTTTGCTTTGCATTGAGTGACCCGGCTGTGGGGACGTTGCAGGGCACCGTGCCGATGCTTGTGGACTTGCAGATGTTGCTCAAATAGGGCCAGCGCTGACAGGGAGGTTCAGACGCGGTGGCGGAGGGAATGGTGCACAGGAGACAAGGGAAGCAGTAAGTGAGATAATGGTGGGGACAAAAAGTGAGAAGAGAGGACTCGGGTTATGTTTGCAAGGGTTCGAGTGGCTTTGCACAGAAGAGGAGAAACATATGCATGGATTCCGTTGACTACCAGAATATACACTTGAGCACACTGTAAAAGCACCTTGTTAATGGCAGGCGAGTTGTAGTACTTGACCCGCTTGCTCTCCCACAGCTTGCCCGTGGCCGTGTTGCAATTGATGCTCGTCACTGTGGGACACGTTGCTGACCCCGGAACAGCAGTGTAGTCCTTCACCCACACGTACTGTATACGGTTCCTGTATTGTTAATAACATCGTTCACAATAAATGGAAAAGGAAATACAAAGGGAATCAGCGTGGGGGAGACAATGAGAAAGTCTGCCCAGTTATCGTTTCAATGCAACCCTTCCCACAGGTGAAGCAGCAACGGCTTGAACAGCAGAAGCAGACGTACTCTTTGCCGTTCTCAATGTTGACGCCGTTGAAAGCACCCATGCACGCGCCGCCCAAGACGACAACACCCGTGGTGTCGGCTTCAAGGTTGAAGCAGCTGTTGCCGCCCAGCATGTAGTTGCACGACGCCGCATTGCCTGATTGGGTGAGCAAGTTCGGTGGGGGGAGCAAGTGTGGGGAGCAAGGGCTGAGGTGAGCATGCGGAGTATTCAGAAAACCACAGGGATGGGAACGAGACGGGTATATAGGGCCCGCAGAGATGAAGCGCGTACCGGGGCTGATCCAGTGCGTGGTGAAGCGGATGTTGGCGATGTCGGTTTTGGCGGTGATGGTTACGTTGGGGAAGGGAAGCAGGGAAGCAGCACACCAGTGGACTACCAGTGGGGCATACAGGGGGAGGGGAAGCAGCACACGGGTACCAGGACCCACGCGAGCAGAACGTACCAGGGCTGATCCAGTGCGTGGTGAAGCGGATGTTGGCAATGTCGGTCTTGGCGGTGATGGTGACGTTGGGGAAGAACCAGTTGCGCCCGATGAACGTCATCATGCAGCTCCCCGCGTTGTTCACGTGCGTCCCGCACAGCACGCCGTTACCAGAGAATTGGTGCAGAAAGTTGTTCACGATCTGCAGAGCGGTGGCGAGGGGTTGAGGCGATTGGCGAGGAGTGGGACGGCGTGGAAATGGTGAGGCTCCAATGAAGGACCCATCCATTGGGGCACGAAGGTGGGGTGAAAGGGTGGATGAGGGAGGGGGACGACAGTTGAGCAAGGCGCGGTAACCAGGAGTGAGAGGGAGAAACAAACACTTGATATTCCAGTGACTGTATTCAAGTGCAAGGTTTTGACCGCTAGCCGTCAGACGTTACCTGCACGCCGACGGCGCCGTTGATCAAGTAGACGGGCGTGTTGACGACTGCGGCAGACACGCGGGGATTGGGAAAACGGGGTATTGTGCGAGAAGGGCGGGAAAAGGGCAGTGGAAGGGAGGGGGGGAAGGGAGGGGGAGAGGAGAGCAAGATTAGGAGGGAGAACGGCCGTGGGCGTATCGAGCTGCCACACGCGGTACATAACTAGTGACAGGGCGAGGAACGAGAAATGAGAGATGGGGAGGTATTTGGAAAGGAGGGACAGGGCCTAGGCGAGTGACAGGGTCCGTGGCAGGCGACTCACGGTAAATGTCGTTATTCGAAAGCACGATGCCCGATTTGATCGCTCGGGTGCCGAGCCCGCTGAAGGCGACGCGGACTGCCCCGGGGCTCTTGGCGAATGGGAAGTCGCCCGTGATCGCCATGCCGTCGACGAGCGAATCCATCGTGCGATACAGGTCCATTCGTCCCCACAGGTAACCCTGTGCGATTTGAATGCCGAACGATTTGTACACGTGAATTGTGGGGCAAACCACCCCGGATCCGAGCTCTGGTAGCCCCTTGCAAGCAGGGGAAGTTGGAAGAACGCCCATCCAGAAGTTGATTCCCCATACGATCACGTTGAAAGTCTCGACGATTCGGAGGATCGGCTGATCGGCTCCAGCTAACGAGATCGTACGGTTCCCCGTGACGTCCGCTTGCAGGATCGTGCACGAGTAGTAGGGGCCGAAAGCGAGGCCTTTCTTTAGCATTATGTCCGCTTTCAGCGTCATCAGGACCGTCGTCTTTCGCGAATACTTGAGGCGCTTCACGAAGTCGGCCTCGGTGGTAACCAAGATTCGCGGACTCGCGGGGGTAACCGGGGAGCACACGCCCTTTCGCTGCGCCAGTGAGTATCTCGTCCCCCCCACCGCTCCCGCGGCTGTCCCACCGCTAGCAGCAGCGGCAGAAGCAACACCTGCCCCGCTAGCCCCAAGCCACCCGTCATTTCCGGATGACGTGGCCGCCGCCTCTGCCACGTCAGCTTCCCCCTCCGAGGGGTCTGTGGGAATGAGCGGTTTCCGATCCCCCAGCATCCAGGGAAGGGTGTACTCGCTAGCAGGCATCCAATGAGGACGTGACACGCCGCCACCGCTCAGAAGCCTGCGGCGAGCGCTCTCTTGGCGGCGCAGGAAGGGGAGATTTTGCCAGTCGGGCGGCGGCACGGGGAAAGGATCGGCGGTGAAGGTCCGCGGAGACCAGGTATCCTTCCGCGCGGCATCGGCGCACGGCAAGAGGAGGAGCGCCACTGCGGCCGCCAGCAGGACCGCGCCGCTTGCGAGTCGCCGGGAGAACCCGGCCTGTTCTCGCGGAGAAACCATTTTCAGCTACGGTGACGGGACGACTGCTAACAAGCTGCTTATAACTTCGCCTCAATTACTCTATAGCGGAAGCGCGACAAGAAACGCAGATGTGCGGTGAGTTGACTTGCGACCTAGCGAACTATCTAAAGCTGTTGTCTATCTTCGGGAAAAAGACACGTCCGACTTCACATTTAGGATGGTCTGGACAAACAGCTGTGTGCATTTCGGAAAAGAGCAACCGCCAAAAGGCAGGAGGGACATTGCATCAGCGAGAGGAACCGTTCCCCACTCCCCCCCTCCCCTACCCCTCCTGCAACCACCACGTCTCGCTGGTTCGGAAAGAGTGGTGGTGGGTCCAAGCGAAAGCGCCGCTCTGCTTGTGCTGTAACTCCGCCTCTTCTGCACGAAAAGCTGCACTTGCCTTGGATTTGCTGGCTGCGCTGCGTTGACCTGCTCGTAGGCTCGGTTCGACCGACACCGTGGCAGGTTGGCTTTGAGCACCTGACACCAAACCTAGGAGTGCGCTTTGTTGGGCGTTACCGCGTTTGCTATTGGTGCGAGGCTCATCATTCTGGTTCTGTGAGAGTCTGGTTTGCTGGCCCAGCCCAACCATCACAAGCGTTAGCGGTGCGGCTTTCTTCCTTACCTTCTCACGACAACAAAACATGATTGGCCGGAAGTGGGGCTCAGCGAAGCGCGCCCTACCCAGATAGTCGGTTGTGCGGTGCTTCGGAAGGAACCCCGAAGGGCCACGTTTTGGTTGTGGGTGTGATGGCTGGACTCTGTATTGGCTGCCCGATTTTGTGATCTGATATAATAGACGTCAGATCCGTTTACATGTCTCACCTCGACGACTCAGATTTGGCGTTTCTGCCCGCAAGCGGCACACAAACCACAGGTCAACTTCCACCGAAATATTCCGAATCTGGAAACATGCTTACTAAATCATATGAGGCGCTTACACATACTTTGGCCCGTTTTCACTTTGTGATAAAGTAGCTCCTAACGGGTATGGGGACGCAACCACAACTGCAAATGTGCGCCCTCGCAGAACCAGATTTCAATCAGGGATAATCTATCGCTGGTTCGTTGCGTATACGCCGACTTTGTAACGAGGACAATGGCCACAATGCGCGCCGTGTTTCCCGCCACGATGGAAATTCAAGCATTCAATCAAAGTACGAAATCTCCCACAGGAATTTGCCGCGCATTGTCTGCGTTCTCGAGGGAAATATCACTCCGCAGATGGCGGAACAGATCGGCGCGCAGTGCAGACCTTCTCGGCGGAAGTAGCTTCACATGCAGTCGACGTAAACGAAACATTCTCGCAAATGGCGGAATTTCCGAATGGGGAGAATCTCCCGCCGCGTCTTTAGCAGCTGTGGCTGCCGCCGCAATCGGCGGAGCGGCAACCATCGCGATGGCGGGCGGATTCGGCGGAAATCGAGAGGCGGCGAGGGCGGCCGTCCGACGTGGCATGGAGCTATTCGTGGAGGTAGATTATCGGAGGGGCGACAGAGTGGACACTGGCGGAGGGAGGGCGGTAGAGAGGTCTCTAACACCCCTAGGGCGGGAGAGAGGTCTCTAACACCCCTAGGGCGGTAGAGAGGTCTCTAACACCCCTAGGGCGGGAGAGAGGTCTCTAACACCCCTAGGGCGGGAGAGAGGTCTCTAACACCCCTAGGGCGGGAGAGAGGTCTCTAACACCCCTAGGGCGGGAGAGAGGTCTCTAACACCCCTAGGGCGGGAGAGAGGTCTCTAACACCCCTAGGGCGGGAGAGAGGTCTCTAACACCCCTAGGGCGGGAGAGAGGTCTCTAACACCCCTAGGGCGGGAGAGAGGTCTCTAACACCCCTAGGGCGGGAGAGAGGTCTCTAACACCCCTAGGGCGGGAGAGAGGTCTCTAACACCCCTAGGGCGGGAGAGAGGTCTCTAACACCCCTAGGGCGGGAGAGAGGTCTCTAACACCCCTAGGGCGGGAGAGAGGTCTCTAACACCCCTAGGGCGGGAGAGAGGTCTCAAGACTCTAGCATCCCTAGGGCAGCAATGCGACGGGCAAGGCTCGGTGGTAGAGTTGAACAGAGCTCATGCCGCGTGCCATGTCATGATAACCCCACCCGCCAATGCGCCATGTCTCACGCACTATGCCCCACACCTGCCTTACCATCACCACCAGAACGACGTGCAAGGCTCGGTGGTGGAGTTTGACAGAGCGCTACAGCTGGACCCCTCGCAGGAGCCCTGTGAGTGCCATGTGTGTGTATGGGTGCCGTTTGAGGCGCCTCAAAAGTCCAGCCGTGGAGTTTGACCGAGCGCTACAGCTGGACCCCTCGCAGGAGCCATGTGAGTGTTTGTTGAGGCGTTTGAGTGCGTTGTGATTGCCGTTTGAGGTCAAAAACTCTGATGTGGAGTTTGACCGAGCGCTACAGCTGTGAGTGCTGTGCCGGCTGTAGCAGGAAGCACTATTCTTCTTGCTTCTCCTCTCTGCCTCGCTCATCCTTCTCCTCCCTCCATGTGTGTCCCAGTCACCCATTCCGCTCGTTCCTCTTACCAAATATTTTTGCTCCTGTCTAGACCTGCTCCTGCCCTCCCTCCATCTACTCCACACCTTCTCCTCTCCAGGCTCTTACTTTCTTTCTCTCCCTCTCTCCCCTCCGCCGCACCTCCCCTCTCTCCCCCATCAGACCTTTGGCAGCGAGGCCTTTCACTCTACTACCTTGGAAAATTCCAGGAAGCAGCGGAGCAGTTTCGCAAGGCTCACTGTATATGCTCCAAACAAGAGCCACCTTCCAGTCAGGCAGAGAGAGCGTTCCTCCCCTTTGCTCCTTTACCTCCCTTTCTCTGCCCTCTGCGGCATGTCATTGCTGCTCAAAACGATTCTCACTCCACGTTTCCTCTTTGCCCCCTGTGCTGCGTGCGTGGCAGGCCATCTGGTGTTTCTTGAGTGAGGCGCGCATGGTGGGCCCACAGCAGGCGAGGCAGCAGTTCCTGCTCGTGGGGCAGGACCCGCGGCCAGTCATGCGCGCTGCCATGGACGTCTTTCAGACGGGCAGTGACCCTAAGAAGGTAGGCTATAACGAGGATACAAGACCCACGGCTGGTTATGGCCACAGCAGGCGAGGCAGCAGAAGGGAGGCGACCCTAAAAAGGCAGGCTGTAACGAGTATACAGGACCCTTTCGTCTGTTAAGCCAGCTGACGTGGCCGATATTCAGAACACCTCACAAACTTCAGTCATTACCCGAATTTGGCTCCTCCTGTGGCTTCCCAAGTCTCCTTCCTAAGCCTCCTTCCCCAGCCTCGTCCCAAGCCTCATCCCCAAGCTTGGTCCCCGTACCTCTTCTTCACCTCCTCCCCCCGGGGACCCCCTTTGCCTGCCCCCTCAGATCCTGGCAGCGGCGGCGGCTGACTTTGGGCGGCCATCTGCACTGTTCTACGCGAATCTCTATGTTGGGCTGTTTCATGAGAGCGAGGTGAGTTTTCCAGCAGCACACGCACACGTGCTGTTCCACGAGAGCTCGGTGGAAGGAACCTGCTTGAGTTGTCGCTACTTGGGAGGCGTGTGAGGTGCGTTGGAGAAAGGGGGATGTCAGGTCAACGGAGGTGTGAGATCTCCAGCAGCAAAACCACACCGTTTCATGCGTGCACACACACCTGCTGGATCACACCTATTCTCACGGCATTGCATTGACGCCCCTTGTTACGTGCTGTGCGTGCGGGCTGCAGGGCGACCAGGATCAGAGCAGGCAATACATTCTCGAGGCTGCACAATCCCCCTATGGCCTCAGGTAGATGGCCGCTTCTTTGTCCATCTTTCTTTGTTTCTTTCTTGTGAAGTCATATCAGCCATGGGACTGGACCTAGTGGGGAAGGTAAAATCGGGTAAATACCAAGAGTCCCACGTGACCTGTGGTATAGGTGTCTTGTCAGGTGAATGAGTTCATAACAGCTGCTGCGAACGCCAACACCACCGGCAGGGCCCTTCAATTCCCTGTTGCCCCCTTGTGCTTCCACTCGCCCTCCCCTTCCCTCCTCTTTGACCCACCCAAGTCATCATCATGTCCCGCATTGATCTGCCTGAAGCTTTTCCCTTGTCTCCTTTTGCATTGCCTCCTGCTCCTCCCTTTCCTGTCACCACGTTTTCCTCTTCTCTTCTCCACATCTACCATTTGACTTGTCACCTCGCTTCCCTGCCGTGGCAGGTCTGGGGACTACATGGCAGCACTGGCCAGAGTGCACTGTCTGCAACGAGGCTGGCTGTGACCCTGTTCCATAGCCTGCCTGCAATAATGGTGCATGCAGGCCTGGTGGCAATGACTTGCTTCCATGCCTGCCTGCATGCATGCTCACTCTCCAGAAAACCCTTCATCTCGCACTGGCAAGAGCATGGCACAATTCTGTTGTTTTTTTGTTGTTTTTTGTATCCATTTATGCAGCGGATAACGAACTGCTGATGTCAGCGCACTAACAATCGCACTAGCAGAATCTGTACAATCATGCTTGGCATTTGCAGTCATAGCTGTCTAATCTGTTCCCCAGAAAAGAACGGCCAGGCCCAAGGCTGAGCAGAACCCTCTCAATCGTCCAAGCCTCAGCATCAGTCGTCCATGTCTTCATCCATTGCAGCTTCTGCTGCATCCCTCGCTGCCTTCACTATGTCATCTGGCACCTGTCACAACAGCACATTGCAGAGTTGCCGCAACAACACATCGCAGTGCCAACGACAGTGCGACCCATTTGGGGGCGAAACACGGGAGGAAGGGCAGCCGGTGAGAAAACAACATGAGGTGCTGTGTCAGGGATGTTTCAAAGCCGATGTTGTGATCCTAGCCGCACATGGGATGAATGGTGAACGAACAGGTTGGTTGGGCAGATGGGTCGTACTCTCTGGAATTGCCGGTTGGAGTCCTCACAGCACCATCCCATCTCCAGCTCAAACGCCTTGTCCTTGGCCTCGTCATGCACTCCAACGATGCTGCTTGTAAGGAGGATGGAAAGGAAGGGTTAACAAGTGAAAGGGTGTGCGTGTGTGTGTGTGCGCGCCTGTGAGTGTGAGTGTGAGTGAGAGTGAATACGTGTGTGTGTGTGTGTGTGTGTGCGTGTGTGTGTGTGTGCGTGCGTGTGTGTGTGTGTGTGCGTGTGCGTGCGTGTGTGTGTGCGTGCGTGCGTGTGTGCGTGCATGTGTGCATGCATGCGTGCAGCACTCACATCTTGGCAACGGCGTTCACCCCCTCCCGACACGTCATCTCTGACAGCTTCAACTTCTCTATCTCGCTGCCAAGAGGTCACACCAGGGCAGCAGACATACGGGGGACACGGTGACGGATGGAGAAGGCCGAAGAAACAAGGAGGAAGACGGGAACAAGAGAAACACGAGTGGGTGTGAAAGAAGCAGCAGCATTCTGAAAGAAGAAAGTGGAGGGAGAAGAGGAAGAGAAAGTAGGGACGCCAATCGTGATGAGCAGACAATAAGGGCATGAGGGGAGCAGGGGAAGAGGAGTGACATGAGAAGAGAGGGGTAGAAGGAGCGACATGAAGGCCAGGGGAGAGGGGGAGCGACTCACGTCTTCGCTGCTTGCCTTCCCTTGCCCACTGCAGTGCCGTGATACCTCTGCACCAATGACCCAGGTGTGTGTGGGGGGGGCGTGGGTGGTGGAGAGAGAGAGGAGAGAGCGAGACAGTCGACAACATTGTAACTGGTTGCATGGTGGTATAGTGAAACGAGCACACAGGAAAGAGGGTTAGAGGGCGAGAGACAGGAAGCAACCATGAACTAAGCACCCTCTCTTCTGACGCTTACATAGGTGACATTTCTGGCACTCTGACACTTACATAAGTGACTCCCGAAGGCTCGATGCAGTAGAGCTGCGGCCCGTCGCGGTCATAACCAGCCAGCAGCACGGAGGAGCCGAGGGGGCGCGTCCACCAGTAGAGCGTGAAGTAGTGCGCGTAGCTCGCCATGCGATCTGCCAGCACCTTGAGAGGAATCATGTGCGCGAAGAAACTGGAGGAAAAAGGGGGTTGGTGGGGAGAAGGGAGAGCGAGGGGAGAAATGGTTGACTTTTAAAACGTGAACACTTGAGGAAAATCATGTGCGCAAAAAAAAGCGGAAAGCGGCAGCATGAAATGTGCCTCCATGCTGCACCCATGCCATGCTGCACCCATGCCATGCTGCACCCATGCCATGCTGCACCCATGCCATGCTGCACCCATGCCATGCTGCACCCATGTCTACACATGCCTTGCACACATTTAACACGCTTACCTCTTGTAGTTAACGGCCTCGTTGCGAGCGCGGTTGACCACCTGGCGGCCATCCGCCACAAGCCCCGCCACAGCGATGCCAGCGTGCTTGTCCACTATGTGGATGCGCCGGTTGCTGCCCTGCACCTGCATCTTCGACACTAGTAACTTCTCCACGCCCTGTAGGTGTGGGAGGGAAGGGCAAGGCAAGACCGTGGCAGTGGGAGGGAGGCAGAGAGGCATGAAGTGGGCCACAGCGATGCCTGCATGCTTGTCCACTATGTGAATGCGGCGATTGCTGCCCTGCACCTGCATCTTCGACACCAACAGCTTCTCCACACCCTGATTGGTTAGAGTGTGGTGGAGCGAGAGAGGTGAGAGAGGAAGCATCAGGTGTGTTGATTGCTGCCCTGCACCTGCATCTTCGATACCAACAGCTTCTGCACGCCTTGGGAAGGGAGGCAAGGCAAGGCAAGAGATTAGCAGTCCGATCGAAACAGAGAGGCATGGAGTGTTTCAGGTGCACCCATGCCAGTCCACTATGCGCATGCACCTGTTGCTGCCCTGCACTGCACCAGCCCTAAACCAGCTTCTCCCAACTCATGATAAGAGGCTCACCCCGTTATAAGACTCGACCCGTTATTAATATCAGCCCGTTATATGACTCACCATCACAACGCCGTCCTTGCACCTCAGACCCACCGCCGTGCTGCCAGACGCGATCGAGGAGAGAGGCGGAGGAGAGAGGGGAGGGACGAGGAAAACCAGGAAAGGAGGAGGGAAATGATGAAGCGAGGAGGAAATCATGGAGGGTGGAAGGAATTAATGAAGGGAGGAAAGAAAATGGTGAGAATTAACCACAAAGCAAAAGGGTTGGGGGGCAGTGGAGAGAGGGATGGGGGGGGGGGGGGGGGGGCAGGGGGGAGGAAGTGATAACAAAAGAGGGCACGAAAAGGAGAGAACGGAAGAATGAGGAAACACGGCAAGCAAGGATGACCCGTTGATTCAGAGTGACGTACCCGCTATTGTCAACCGCCTTTCCAGCGTACTCGATCTGAAAGATTCGGCCATCAGGCGAATAGGTTGTGACGGACAAATCGTACTGTATGGGATTCAAACAAGACGACAAAGCAGAAGACACGGAAGAGGAGGCAATGGGAATCGGCAATCCCAAGGGCGAAGCTCCACGTAAGCCGTCTTCACGGTTTTACCTACTCCTACTGCCGTTTAACTAAAAGCTCTCTAACTTCAAGTGACTGAATCTAGGCGCCGGTCGACAAACGAATCCAAACTATGACGTGAGAAGCAACACTAACAGGTCGACATCCACGCAGAATCAACGAGACCGAGTCTAAAATTCCAAGTAAAGGAGATCAGGCCCACTGTATGCCGGCAATCGCGAGTGAAAACGAGCTAATACAAGAGCACTTGCCGCTAGCCCCTCACCCCAGTTCCGATGCTGCTCATGGCGACACGATCGGAATCACAAGGCGACTACGACGACGTGTTGGGAGCAAATTCTTAAAGATCTCCGATTGGCCTTAGAAACTAAGGAGCAGGATCAGGAGATTTCAGTATCGGAGGTGAATGGCAAACGAAATGCGTTTCCGTGGCGAGATGAAGGTAGAAACGCTGCAGGCAATGCGGTGAGGAGGAATCCGAGGTCGATATTGAAGCACTCGATTCCTCACTCCCCACCCCACATACACGGAAAGTTTCGTCTTACGGTTGAGACAAATAAAGTATACAGTTTTAGTTTGGACAACAAACACTTAATTAAATGAGGCTGTAGCCTGGAGCCTAGAATCATTCTTAATATAAAGAGGCTGTAGCTTCACATAGAGTAATATCATCTACATCAATTTAATCTAGCTTGGCAATAATCGCATCAACATATTCTTGCGTGGTCGAATCCCCTCCCATGGCAGGCGGGCGAACAAGTCCCTCCGCAATCACTCCGTAGATTGCATGCTCCAACCGATCGGCGAATGACGGGAACTGCAGATGCCGGAGCATCATGGCTGCCGAGAGAAGGAGAGCCGTCGGATTGGCCTTCTTCTGAGCGTTGATGATGTCGTTCCCCACGTTGCCTGCCGATGCCCCTTGCTCAAAGATGGCATGCTCATAGCCCACGTTCCCTGTTCGAACAAGCACAGAAGCACAAGGTAACATGCACAAGGAAACGAGCTTTAGGTAACCATGTCATGTGGTGCTGTCACCAACTGAAGGCCCAGTAAGAAGTCAACGCATTTACAAGTGAGTCCACACCATACTCGTACTGTAGGAGGAAATTCAGCAAATAACGAGAATTGAACAGAGAGCATACCTCCGGGCATGACAGTGGTGCCTCCTGCGATGCCAGCTGCACAGTTAGAAATGAGTGTGCCGTAGAGATTGGGCGTCACCTGGAAAGGGAGGAATGGAAAGAGAGGTGGTGTGGGAGTGGAAGGGATAGTCAAGAGAAACGAGATGAGGGGAGGCACATGAGAAGAGGGCAGACGAGGGTGTTTTTTTATGCTAAGGAGAGTCGGTGAGAGAAGATACAGGAGAGCCAGCTCGATATGAGAGAACATATACAGCCCCGTGCACATCCCCATGCACTCCAAACCATTCCAAACCATCCCACGCACTCTAAAGAGATAACATCTCACAACCCTTCCTCCACCTCCACCTCCAACCTTCTCCCCACCCTCCCCTCCCCACCCCCTCCCTCTATCAGTCACAGATTGTCATTGCGCTCCCCAACAACCAAAACTGCCCTCGACCCCACACTCTCAATACATGTTCGTCCCCAGCCAATCGGCAGCAACCAACCCCCGTTCAGCAGAGGCCACACGGGCACAATCGCCCCCCCTTGGAGGCCACCACAGCGCCACCCTTCCACACCCCGGCAGGCTGCAAGCCGCAGCTTGGGTTGACATGCAGCCCCTGTGTTACCCGCATGCTCATGCTCCCCCTCTCCTCAACCCCTCCCTTGCCCACCCGGCCTCTGAATGTGGATGTGATTGGGCTCTATGAGCTTGGCTTATGTTTGAGTTCAAGACGCATCCAGAAAGGGGCTCACAGCAAACTCATGCCAAACCCATTCGCCACTCTGAACCCTCCTTTTCTGCACTCTCGGCACCTTCTTTTTGTGGCCCCTGCTCCCCTTTCTGTCCTCTCTCTCCCAACCTCCCCCACCGCCCCTGCACACCCATGACCACTCGGCACACTGGGCCAACCATGGCTTCATTTCCTTCTGCACCTCCACCATTCCCCTCTCTTCTCTGTGCAGCACTTGCCGCCTTGCCGTCTGCACTGCAGGCACGCACCATGACGTCAAACTGTTTGGGCTTGGACACGAGCAGCATGCAGCAGCTGCCATCCCCCCTGCTGCACCCGCTACATTGTACACACCACCCCATGGCCCTGCTTGCAGCACTCTCCCGCAGCAACCCATCCCCCCCCCCTCATCCCTGCACGCACCATCACGTCAAACTGCTCCGGCTTAGAAACGAGTTGCATGTAGCAGTTGTCGATGATGACCTCGTTGTAGTTGATCTGCGGGTACTGCTTCGACACCTCCACCCCTCCCAATCCCATCCCACCACCTCATCTTCCCCCCACCCCACCACCCCTCTACGCACCATGACATCGAACTGCTCCGGCTTGGACACGAGCTGCATGCAGCAGTTGTCGATGATAACCTCGTTGTAGTTGATCTGCGGGTACTGCTTCGACACCTCGCGGCACGACTCCAGGAACTGCCCGTCAGCGAGCTTCATGATGTTCGCCTTGTGCACCGCCGTCACCGTCTTGCGGTTGTTCAGGTACGCGTACTCAAACGCGTATTTGGCTATGCGCTCCGAGCAGAACTTGGTGATCACCTTGCAGCAGGGGGAGGGGGGAGGAGGGTGCGGAGGAGAGAGGGGATAACATGAGGTACGCGCACTCGAACGCGTATCTCGCAATGCGCTCCGAGCAGAACTTGGTGATCACCTTGCAGCAGGGCGTGGGGGGGTTGGGGAGGGGGGAAGGGGAGCGGGGAGTGGAGGGGGAGGAGCGGTAGCGAGTGGGGATGTCACGAGGAGGGCGTACTCGAACACGTACGTGACAATGCGCTCCGAGAAGAACTTGGTGATCGCTTGGGCGCGCAACGTGGCATACCTTGAGGCTCTCGACAACGCCGGGAGTCACTTCGTGCTCCAGGCCGCTGTACTCGCCCTCCGTGTTCTCGCGGATCACCACGATGTTCACGTTGTCGTGCCGCGTCTTCAGTCCCGGGAAGTTACTGCAGTAGGCGAGATGCGCGAAGAGATCGAACTCCTTTCGCAGCTGCACCGTCAGCGAACTGACCCCGCCTGCGACGGCCGTTCGCACGCCTCCCTTGATCCCCACCTGCACCGAAAGTGGCGATCGGCCGATCCCATGAAAGGACAGAAAAAAAACATTAAGCGCTTACCGACTGCCATTTCATGACAAGTCGCGAGATGGGGATGGTATGTGAATCGGGAACACAGGTTATTGGGATTGAAGCTGGGAATGCGAGGACATGTGATTTACAAAAGTCTGACCTTGTTTCGGCGGAGCGAGTCGAGGACCTCGGTGGGCACGGTGGGCATGGTGCCCTTGAGATCGTACGTCTCGAACACCACGGGCGCGTGGATGGCTTTAAACACCTGCTCCACCGCGTTCGTGCACAGCGGCCCGGCGCCGTCTCCCGGGAGCAGCGTAACAGTGCGCGTCGCGCCCTCGCCGGGCTTGGGCATGTACGTGACGTTGCGAGTCGTCTGCAGGTTGAACGCGTTAAGCGCGGCTCTCGCGGCGTGTGATCTGGACCGCGAAGCGATGCGCGAGGCGAGGGATGCCATTGTGGGAGGCGAGGAGTGAGTGGATCGGGGAAGATGGAGCGTGGGAGGAGCGATTCGGTTGGTAAAATATAGGACGGAGGGAAGGGATGTGCTGTGGGACGGGAGATGCGATCAGGCGACGGACGTCACGCTGAGGAGCGGAGTGGGTCCTCCACTAAGGAGCAGCAATAAGCGCAGCGACCCAGTAGAGAGCTGCTCGTGTCAGCCCTTGGGATATATGATTTGAAGAATGGGATGCAGTAGACGAGCCAATCCCAAGGCCTGACGAACTGATCCCGAGGAGGGCTCGTTCACACAGAAGATTACAGGGCTTGGGACGAGTCTTTTTGAGTGAGCAGGGAGAGTGTAGCTTCAGCGACGCAAACTTGTGCCTTAGAAAGGGATTGGTCTGCTTTCTAGCACCCTGTATCACGTGGCGTATTCCTCGAGTCTCATTTGCTGAAAATGAGGTGACATGGCACCTGACCTCCAGATACACGCTAAAAAGGATTGCAATTGCTAGATAAGAACGGTTTTATGAGCAATTCAAGTGTTCCATTCGAATGTTATTAAACGATTCCCAACAATCTCTGAGCACCCAGAACCACTTTCCGCCACAGCAGTTTTCCCTCGCGGGGCACTTTCGCTTTCGCCTCATCTCCATTCCTCACCAAGCTATTGCTATACTAACAGCTTTAACCCTTTTTTATAACCTTGAAGGCTGTGTACAAGATCACGGATGCCAAGATATTGGAGTCGTGTGCTTCTTACTCAGCGGACTTTGAAAAGGACGTGTAGTCAGCTATGATCAACATTTGCATTTTGTTAATATCTATTCAATATTCACCGTGTTCACAAAAAAAAAACAATTTAAGCGTACAACTGTAGCCTAAAGCGAAAGTCTCGAAGCACATTACCGCTTTCCACGTGTCAGTTGCTATTTCCTGCCTGTCAACCCTGGCAAGGCCCAAACCTTCCATGGCGGCTCGGGTCGTCCCAGGCTCCAGGAATCAGACTTGGCACTGCGGCATTCTCAAAGCAACAGGTTCCCATGGCGCCTCGAAAATGACACAGGGGGGCCGCCATGGGGAATTACATTACACGCGTCTCTCATACGCTTCTCCTCGCATCACGCTAACCAAACTCCCAAGCCGCACTATTCTCGATGCTTATCCTGACGGAAAGAGGTTTCTTCTCCTTCCTGCTGCTGCTCTCTAAGCCTGGAAACTCGACCCAGGTCCTCACAGGACCACTCATAGAAGGCCCAAACCAGCCTCGGGTTTCGCTCTTTTCCAGAGACTTGTTTCTGACGTCTCCTACTGTCACGTGCTGCTCGTGAAGTTTGTCATTCCCAATGCGTCACAGGAATCCACCTGCTATTCTCCTCCTCACTTGACGTCTCTTGATTGCCTCTTTTTCGACAAGTCCGATCTCGGGTCAGATCTCGGCGTAATCGAGGGAGAAAACAGCAAGAATCTTTACGGAAAGGAGATCCTAAAGGCCGCTGCTTATCGGTCTTGAGCCTCTCGTAACAGCCATGGATCTCGGAGGATAAGGCTCTTCTGGGTCTGGCTTCCTCTGGATCTTACCGCTGAGGTAGATTTCTCGCGCGTCTGAGATATGCAGTCTGGACACAGCATTTGATTTTCTCGCGCCTTTGATTCACTTTATTTTACCGCGCATTGAAAAATTTCTGAGCCCAGCGAGTATGTCTGTGACAGGGTTCCTCCGTGTAATGGACGCGTCCGTGCCACACACCCAAGTCCAGGAGCACGCGTCGACGGCAGCGGAGGCACTCATGGAGCTCGGATTCCGCTCGAATTCGTCGGAAGAGATTGACGACGATTCTGAGCGGACAGTTGAACGGGCTGTTGCTGAGCCCGAGTCAGGGAATGATGGTGATGGACGGGCAAATGAACGGGCGAATGAAGCGGATGGTACCTCGACAGTAGAACCTACTGCTGGAGGCGGTGCTGAAGCAGTGACACCGAGGTCGGCGGATCACGACGAGAAGCATCATGGTCAAGACGCGAATCACGATCGCTCCGCTGCTTATGTCGCGGATGAGTCTCAGGAGGGAGTGGAAGCGGCCGTGCTGCGGGAAGCTGGCGAGGGAGAAAAAAATGAGTTTGACTCAGAGCAAGGCGACGTTGAGAAGGATTTGCAGGCTTCAAATGTCGCGGAGAAGGATGGGAAGAACAATCAGGCTCGTGATCAAGAAGGGGGGAACGATAAGGTGGGTGGTGAGGAGGACTTTGGGAACGTCACCGCGACTAGGGAAAAGCAACGTGGAACCAAGGCGTCGTCCTCGCCTGAGAAAGCATCACCCGTGCGTGGCCACGCAGAGAGCGGCGTGCGGCGCACACAAGAGCACCTCGTGGTGATGCGGAGCAGCAACAGCCCTCTCACTCCCGCAGGGGCGCAAACGCCGCACACGGCGGAAGTCAAATCCGTGCAGACGCCGGCCACGCAGCCGCCGCAGCACACGCAGTCCGGGCCAACGACCGTTCCTGGAGTGCCGATTCAGCCCCCCCTTCCGTTACATGGTAACCCTGCAAACCCAACCTGGCCGTTTCCGCGAACCATCCTAGTGGACCTCGTTCTCCGCTGGCCAAGGCCATCTCAGCTGCCAGACCGGTATCAAAATTCGCCTAGATGGCACTACTGGACCTCTGGTTTCCGATTGACACCCCCGTTGTTAGCTAACTCATTTACAGCGCTTGTCTCCTTCACCTTGTGCGTGTTCCCCCTTGCCAGCTTCGGACGGCGCGCTGGTGTCGCTCGTCCCCGCCGCTTCCGAGGACGGCCAGCTCCAGTGGATCCAGCCGCCGCAATTCTTGGCGGCGCCGCAATTTATGGGCGGAGCGCATTTTATGGGCGGAGCGCAACTTATGGGCGGGGCGCAACTTGTCGGCGGGGCGCAAATTGTGGGCGCATCTGGACACGGCGGAGGGATGATGCCCGCAGGGCCGGTTTCGTTCTTCCGCGCGTCATCCTTCGCTGCGCCTGTGTCCGCGGCAACGGGTATTGAGGGAAGCTTTATGGGGACCGATGGAGTCAACGGAGTCAACGCCACCGCGCGCGGCGTTTCCGGGGATCTGTTCGGCGGGAACGCGGGCGACGAGATGATAGAAGGCTCGTGGGACGACTTAATAATCTGCACTCCCACCGGCGGGTTTCCCGGCGGGTTTCACGGGCAGATGGGTTGGGGAGGCGAGCGAACAAGTCGAGCTGGTCGCCGCACGCAGCTATGGGAGGGCGACCCGCAGCTGGTGTACCGTTTGCAACAGAGTTACCACACAGAAGAGTCCGTCGCCGCCGAGGCGAAACCCGACCTTTCAACGATTGCCATCCATGGCGCCGAAAACCCTTCGATTAGAGACGGCTCGATTAGAGGCGACGGGGGCGAGGAGGAGGCTTTGCCGGCAGAAGCTGGAGGCAATCCGGAGGCCGCCACGCCCCCAGGGATCATGGGACCAGAGTCCCGGGATGTGGCACAGTCGGCGGCAACAATGGATAGTTATCGAGAAGCTATGGCGAGCGGTCAGTTGCCGCTGCACGTGAAAGTGGAATTTCCGACTCCGTCGCCTAGAGGCGGACTATCTTCCTCGTCGCCCAGCAATCGCGGCGGGCTGGGGTTCTCGTACCACTCGCCGATCCCGCTGTGCTCGCCGTCGCCGCTGCGACTGTGTGCGATGGATCTGGGCGACATGGCGGAGCCAAATCTGTGGCTGTCGCCGCCCGCCAGCACCAAGTACACGCTCGACAAGCTCGGCGATTTCCCGCCGTTTTCGCCGCGGCTTCCGGCGATCGTGCGCGGCTACAGCGGTGAGTGATGTGACGTGTCAGCATTTCAGCTGTTTTTCTTCTGTTTTTTTTTCGTAACAGCATCAAGCAACCCACTCGACTCACATGTCGTTTCCTGTCTCTGTTGGTTGGGTCGTGTGTGGAAGCAGCAGCCCTACCGTACCTGGATCCAAGCGCGCATCAGCAGCCTTCCAGGATGTCGCCTTCCAAAGGAGAACCTCCCGGATCCGCCCCGCCTGGATCCGCCCCGCCTGGATCCGCCCCGCCGCAAGCGCCTGGCGGACCAGCCGCGGACGGCGCAGAAAACCCGCCAGTTTCCGCTTCCGCCATGAGTTCCGCCGTTCCCCAGTCCGGTTCTCCGCGGGCAGCCAGGCGGGGAACGGCGGAGGTCGAGGGAGACGCCGCGCGGGAAGACGGTCAGGCTGCGCGGAGGGAGGACGAAGCGCTTGATTCAGCGGGCGCGAGGCGGGACAGTGGATCGGCGGGATCGGCGCGATTGGTTAGTAGCGGTTCGCCGGGGAGCGGAGTGAGATACGGCGGGATGCGCGGGCGGTCACTACTGCAGCAGTGCCTCATCATGGGCGCTGAGCAGCGCGCCACGCGCGCCGTGACAGCCGCTGGTGCCGGTGGTAATGCTGCTGCGGGTGCTGGCGATGGTGCTGCTGCTGTTGTTGGCAGCAGATCTGCTGGTGCTGGCGACAACGCTGACCCGGTTGTTGAAGGGGACGAGAAGAACGAGCAGGCGGAAAATGCTGAGAAGAACGGCAAGAAGGAGGACGAGAGGGGCGAGAGGTCTAGCGGTGATGCAAACGACCCTGCGGTGGGCTGTCCGTCGGTGTTGAAATGGAGAGCGGTGGGGTGCGATGGCCGTCGGTTTGTCGACCGGCGTGATGTGCGGTCAGAGCAGGAGAGGAGGACGGTTCGTGGTGCTTTAGACTCAAATGCGGAGCACGCCTCTACTCCACTGCTTTCACCTCCGCAGGGACCGCCAGGAGAATTTGCGAGTGCTGCTGGTGCTGCTGCTGTTCGTGCTAGCAGCGAGGGAGAGACGAATGTTGGTGGTACAGATTTTCCCAACACGGAAATGCGTGGGCAGGAGTCTCAGCGGCACGTTGCTGGAATTTCAGGCGAGCTGTTCTGTCGAGAAAGCGATTCTGCGATACGTGGCGAGAGTTTGTCGCGAGCGGATGTTACCACGGGAGGGCGGTCGTTCATGGTCGGCTCGTTAGGGTCAACGCTTACGGAACGCGTGAGTGTACTGGAACTCGAGAACAAACAAACAACGCGTGCGGACAATAGCGAGGACGGCGCGACCGAAATTGCGAATTCTGACAAACCTAACTCCAGCGGCAGCAGCCGTTCGTCGTCGAATCTCGATAGTGGAGGCGCGGAGTCGAACGACGAAGGAACCGGTGAGGATGGGTCGGGAGTGGTGGAAAAGGAGGAGGGCGCGCGAGAAGACGACGGGGGAGAGAGCAGCCTATCGGAAAGAGCTGCTGCAGCGAACAGCGCAAAAGGTGGCGACGACCGACGCGATGCGAACCTGGGTGACGTAGGCGATGGTGACAATGGAGGGGCTTCGCAGTCTGCACGAGCGAGGCTGACGGCGGAAGAAGGCGATCAGGCGTTGGAGTTCCCGGCGGACGGCGGGCAGCCGTCTCTTTTACCGGCGGGCGCGGAACGTAGGCGCGCGGAGCGTACGGGCGCGGAAGGGGAGGGCGCGGAAAGCAGCCCCGGAAAGGGCTCCTCGGGCTTGGTGAGGCCACAGCCGCGCAGGGCGCGGAGCGGCGATCATGCCATCTCCCCGTCCTTCTCGATTCCCGTATCCCCTGTTTTCGGATTCCCCTCCGTTCCTTCATCTCCTGTTCCCGAAATTTCCCGCTCGGGGGCGCGTGAGCGGATTGCGCCCCAATTTGCTGGCGAGGAGCGTACGGCGGCGCAGGCGCCGCCGCTGCAGCCTGCAGCGAATGTGCGTCAAGTTCAGGCTGCGGCGCAGTCACATTCGGGGAAGCACCAGGAACATGGTGAAGCAGGGGGCCCGGTGTTCGAGTCGACTTCACAATTGAGTGGCGGGAGTGAGGGGGGTGGAAGAGGTGCGCGTGAGGGGGCCGTGACGTCAGGAGAAGCAGGGGCGAATCCTTCCAGGGCAGGCGAGGGCGGAAAGCGCTTCAAGTCTCAGGAATCTGGGGGAATTGGGGGGAATGTAGGAGGCAGGGGCGGAGGAGGCAGGGGCGGAGGAGGAGGAAGAGGTGGGGATGATTCAGGGAACGGACGTGGTGTGAGCGGGACTGCAGCAGCAGGTGGGAGCGGTTCCATTGTTCCTTGGCATCCCGGCAGCTCACCTGCCGCTGTTAATGGTCCTGCTTGTATGGGGTTTCCAGTGTACTCGCCGCAAATGCCCCCTATCGGCAGCTTCTTTGTAATGAGCCCTCTCACGCAGCAGCATATGAGTCCCATGCAGCAGCAGCAGTATCATCAGCAGCAGCAGCCTCAGCAGCAAATTCAGCTCTGCTCCCTGCCGCCTCAGCATCAGATATATCCTATGGCCGCTCAGCAGTACTATCCTCTCCCGCCCCAGCAGCAGCAGTACATACACTCGCAGCCGCATGCCCAGTCCCCGCCTACGCCCCTGCCCCCACCACGCCCCCTGCCCATGGTTGTGGCTTCTCCCCTTGTCCACGGCTCTCAACGCCTCCCAGGCTCCCGTGGGGCGCAGGGGCAACAGGGGCAGCAGGGGCAGCAGGGGATGGGACCAGGAGCGTACTCCCAGGAGCGTGTGGGGCCAGGGGGTCCTGTTGTTGCCCTGGCGCCAGGGGCGTATTCCCAGCCTGCTGCTGCTGCTGCGGCTGCCAGTGGTAGTGCTGGTGTTGCTGGTGGTGCTGGGAGTGCTGGTGCCCGTGGTGGTGCGGGTGCAAGTACTGCTTCCTCAGGTGGTGCCTTGGGAGGGGGAGAGCGGGGAGGAGAAGGGGGAGGGCGAGAGGCAGGAGGAGAGGGAGGGCGGGCGGGCCAGGTGTCACGAGGAGCAAGAACCCCGTCCCCTCAAACCTCTGCAAGCGCATCTCTGCGCCCTTCCCCCGTGCAACCCCCCCCTCCCCCTGTGTACTCCCCAGCTGTCGCCTCCTGGGTTCCGTTCGCCCTGCCCCCTGCTGCCTCTGCTGCCCCGGAGGTGGGTAAACTTCCTGTTTACCCTGTAAAACCTGGGGTACACAAGGTGCGCGTTGGGACGAGAAATGTTTTACCGGATGGGCATTCCTCACGCGAGCAGCAGCAACCAGAGGGGCAGCAGCGGCAGCAACAGCAGCACCACCATCAACAGCAGCAGCAGCAGCAGCATCACCAGCCACAGCCGCAGGTATTTCAGCAGCAGGCGCTGCTGGTGCCAAGGCCAATGGCAGTGGTGGGTAATCAACCACAGGTGCGAATGGCACCGATGGTCGCACCTGCACCACCACCAGCAGTAACACCACCACAAGCACCACCAGCAGCCGCCACAGGAGCAGCTGCGGGAGCAGCAGCAGCAGCATCCCGGCCAGTGTCTCTGGCTCTGTCACTGCAAAGCACCAGCAGGAGCGGTGGAACGACTCTGCAGACCCTTGGCCCTCAATTGGTACCCAGGCTCGCCACTGCTGTGGGCCAATGGGCTCCCAGATACTCCCAGCCGACCGTTGCTTCTGAGGTGATTGCCCCCAGTGGATCCATTTCGGGCGTGCAAGGAACTCCTCGTGGTGCGGTGCAAAGTGGTGTAGGAGGTGTGGTGCAGGGTGGTGCGGCAGGGGAGGCGTGGAGGCAGAAGCAGGTGCAGGCGCATGAGCTGAGGCGGCAGCGGGTGCTGAAGATGCATCAGCATCAGCAACAGCTGCAGCAGCATGCGCAGTCGCCCACGCATTTCCCACAGTTGGCTGATTTGCAACAGCAGATTCAGAAGCAGCAGCAGCAGCAGCACATGCAGAATCAGAGGCTGCAGCTGCCGTCTCAGCAGCAGCAGCAGCAACAACAACAACAACACTGCCGGCCGTCACAGCAGCAGCCGGGGCAGGTGCAGGCACAGCAGCAGCAGCAGCAGCAGCACTCGCAGCTGCAGGTGCCAAGGGTTGTGGTGGGTGTGAAGCAAGAGATGGTCGAGCAGGGGGGGGGCTCAGACTGGCACTATCACCCACACTCACAGACAGCTAGGCAGGGAGATAACCAGGGGCTAGCTGGCAGGCAGGGGGGAGTGGAGCGAGAAGGAGGGCAGCAGGCGGGCAGGAAGGAGGGCAGTCTGAGGCACCTGAAGAGGAAGAGGGCGTTGAAGGAGGTGGAGGTGGAAGGTGGGAGAGGGTCGGCTCTTAGGGCTTGCAGCAGCGAGGGGGAGTCGGGCGGCGGGGCTGCTTTCCAGCAGCATTCGGGTGCTTCTCAGCAGAATCCGGCTGCTTATCAGCAAAATCAGGGTGCTTATCAGCATCAAGTTCTTCCTTCTTACCAGCCTATCTCGCTTGCTTATCAAAACCAGGTGCCCACTTATCAACAGCAGGCTGCTTATCAGCAAAATCCAGGTGTTTTTCAGCAGATTCCGGCTGCTTATCAGCAGCAACAGGTGGTCGCAGGGATGGAGGCAGGTGGCAATTCCGCTGACGTCATGGAGGGGAGGGGAGATGACGTCACGGATATGCACATTGAGCTGGATGGGTTGGGGGATGAGGGCATGTGCGGTGTGGGGGAAGGGGGGATGTGTGGCATGGGGGATATGGGAGGAAATGGGGGAGAGGCAGTGGTGGGGGGAGGGGAGGAGGTGAAAGAAGTAGTGACCGCAGCAGCAGCAGGAGTGGGGGGTGGAGCGGAGGTGGAGAGGGATCCGCCTGTGAAGTCGAGGTTCAGGGGCGTGAGTCATCACAGGTCAGTGCTGAGTCATCACAGGTCAGTGCTGAGTCATCACAGGTCAGTGCTGAGTCATCACAGGTCAGTCCCGAGTCATAAAGGCTCCAGTCCTGCTGTCGCCAGCTCTTCCGGCTCTAGCTGTACCTCACTCTGCCTTTCCTCCTCTCGTTTCCCTTTGGCTCGCCCTGCAGGCTGACCTAGCGGTGGGAGGCGTCGCTGTGGGCCAACAAGAAGCAGCTCTACCCGCTGTACCCACTCTCCCACGTCGCTGTTCCCTTCCCTCCGTCTCTCCGTGGTTTGCCTTCTTGCTGTCTCACGCCTCCCTGCAGGCTGACCAAGCGGTGGGAGGCGTCGCTGTGGACCAACAAGAAGCAGCTTTACTTGGGTGAGTGGTGAGGTTGGGTGGGTGAATGCATGATTCGAATTGGGTGAGTGGGCGAGTGGGCGAAGGTGAGTGCGTGAGTCCGAAACTTGTTGCGCTCTACACACGTTTGCGGTTACTGAGTTGACCTGGTATGGTAAGTCGAGATGGAGAGTAGTGCGTGGGCTTTAAAGTGGTTCCTGCTATCACGCCCCACAAGCCTGCCGAACCTTAGAGAGAAGCGGGGTCTTGTTGACTAGTTTTGTTTAGTTTCTTTCGATCCCATCCCCATGCTGTGTATTTGTTTCCTCGCAGGTGGGTACGATGCAGAGGAGAAGGCAGCGCGGGCGTATGACATAGCAGCACTGGCGTGCAAGGGCGCAGAGGCAGTCACCAACTTCCCACGGGAGAGCTACGCGGACAGCATTGGGGAGTACCTTGGGATCTCCTGCGAGGCGCTCATCGCGAAACTGAGAAGGGAGAGCTCGTGAGTTGCACCCTTCATGCCCTCTATACCCCATTTGCGATCATGTTTACTTTCGGTCGACTGGAAAGGCTCATTGGGGACTACCTGGGGATCTTCTGTGAGGCACTCATTGCAAAGCGGCGGACGGAGAGCTCGTGAGTTGCACCGCGTGTGCTCTCATGGTTCTCTCTTTTCAGATTTACTGCGAATTGTTTCAAATTTAAGAAAAATGGAAACGTGGTCTCAACAATCATGTTGCCCTGTTATCTCCTCCATCCTTCCCCCCTCCTCACCCACACAGGGCCTTCTCTCGAGGTCGTTCCAAGTTCCGCGGGGTGTCGGGGCAGGAGGGGCGGTGGGAGGCGCGCATCGGGTCGTATTTTGGGCGGCGGAACGTGTCTTTAGGCGTGTATGAGACGGAGGAGGCGGCAGCAGAGCAGTACGACCGTGCGCTGATCATTCAGAAGGGCACGCGGGCCAAGACCAACTTCTGCATCTCGAAATACATTGCAGAGCACCTGCAGCACGTGAGTGTGTGTACGATTAGGTAAGTGTACGAGTATGACTGTGACTATTGTTGTGGACAGCATGCGTCAGAAAGGGTACGCTCTACTCGACGCCTACGCCGTCTTGACTATTGTATGCACATGTATTTTCCCGTGTGTACATCCACATGTATGCACATGTTTAAACACATGCCTGCTCGGGTACATGACTTGTGCGTGGTGTTTCTCTTGTGGTGTCGTTGCAGGAGCAAGGGCAGGAGGGAGCGGTGTTTCCCAGCCAGCAGCAGTCATCGGGCAGCAGAGCATGCCTTTCCACCACCACAGGAGCAGATATCAACCCTTCACTAGCAGCAGCATCACCACCGTCATCTGCTTACCCGCTGTCAGCCGCAGTGGCAGCAGCTGCAGCAGCCGCAGCAGCAGCAGCAGGAGGCGCAGCAACTGCGGATGGGCATGGTGGGGTGCGGTTTGGAGGGGTGAAGAAGGGTCGAATCACTCCGGGGTTTGATGCTCTGTACCGCCGAGCCATGGCAGAGATAGTGGCGAGCTCAGCCCTGCCGTTCCCTATTGACGAGCATGAGGGTAGACCTGCTGTGGAGGAGTGACGGCCCTGCTGGGGCCGAGTTGAGTTGGGTTTTGTTGATGGCTTCAGGGAGAGTGGGTCGTGGGGAGTTGCTTAGTGCTCCTCTTCTCCCCCTCTTGCTGCTCAAGTGAGGGCAATGCTGTGGAGTTATTGCCGGTTTTTGGATTGGAACCCGAGGTGGTTTGCTGCACTGAGCGGAGTTGGGCGGAGATGGGCAGAGCTGTGGGGGATGTGTGGCCAGTCGCAGTCACGTTTTTGTTGCCGATGGGATGGCACGCCTGCTGTGGAAGGGTGTGGCTGCTCCACAGGTGCTGGTGGCAACATGATGATGAGGGCCAGCAGCAACATGGCAGACACTTCATCATCCAGCTTCACTTCAGCACACCATCTTTACACATGAGTTGGCCACATTCAATGCAGCATTTGGAGTACTGTATATACCGATACGGGTACGGAATTGGCAATTCTTTTGTTGCTTCGTAATAAATTTTGGTGAAGACCATTTCGCTAATGTACAAATCTCTATAAATTCTGTTGGATATTTCCCAGTCTGACTGATGTGATCAACAACTCTACGGTACTGCTGCACAACGGTACAGTGAAGCGTTTTTCCAGAAGGGAATGGTACAGCCAGCTGGATGTTAACCATGGAAGGAGACAGGGATGATGGCATTGCTGCTTGGTAGCCCCAATGCTGCTGCTTCTACTTTTTGCTCATGTGTGACTCCCAGCGCAGTGCAACAAAGTGCTACTAAACCATAAGGAAATCCACATTGGAAGTATTTCGTCAACTGCTTTATTCTCCTTCCGCCTTGAGTATAGGCACCACAAGGGGATGCATCTGTGCCATGTACACAATCGCCCACCTGTTGGCAGTCAGGTTCACGCACATAAGAAGCACAACACATATGCACAATAAGATAGAGATACACGAAATGCAGGAGAATGAAACCCTGATGCATGAATACAGAATATTGAAGAATCTCCTGCTGAAAGGACTCCCACCCGTTATCCAGGCATATGACACACACACATGCATGCATGCAACCTGGCCGCATGGCACTGGGACACATGATTCAGGCATGATGAGAGCCATGGAAGGGGGGCGGGAATGATGTGAGGAGGATAAGCAGGCTCCGACGATGTAAAAAGTCAGACAGGGGCAGATGTGAGCTGTGTGAAACTAGTAATGCGAGAATCGTCAAGCGGCAGAAAGAGAGGGCTCAGAGAGCCGAGAGCGAATGCGTTGATACTACTGGCTTGAGAACACTCACGAGAGCCAGCAGCAGATGGTTGCTGTGATGACCAGCGTGACATGCAGCCTGGCTCGCGAGCAGACGAGAGAACACGATCAGGGGAAAAAACAACCGAGGGGTGACTTTCATTAAAATAGGTGAGGTTCACGATGTAGGTAGGGGTGTTGGGAAGAAGGAGGGGGTCCTAAGAGTATAACCGAGGGGGGGAAGGAATGAGGACAGGAATAGCGAGACGAAATGAAGGGTAGCGTGTCAAGAAGCGGATGGAGATCATAGTAGAGCAGCAACGCCGGGACAGAGAAGAAATAATGTGACAATAACGGGGCGGAAGTGGAGGAGGTTGGGTGAACGCACAGGTTCGTTGACGGGCCTTTATCGTAGAGAACCCTAACGAGAACGCAGCCTAGAAAACCAAGCGCGAAGAAAATGAGCGTGATGACGAGGAACGCTGCCATGCTGGTAACCGCGTAACACTCGTTTGGCCGTTCAGAAGGAAACCTAGATCAGGTTCTCACGGTCAGGACAGATTCAGCCTGTAATGAATGAGCATGGGGAATCAAAGGAGCGCGACATTGCGTGTGACTGTCCGCTAGATCCGAGTACGATGTTGCTAAAATGACAGCAAGAACCCGTGACCAGAACACTTGTAGACCATCAGACGCATCCGATTCGGGCAAACGAAACAAAAAATCACAAATGATACTTGAACTCATCAGTAAGAAAGAAATCGCTAGGCCTGGGAAGACGAACCTGTGAGGAGCTTGCCACGTCCTTTGCAGACTATACTTCGTAACGTCCGAGACAACAGGAAAAAAAAAAAATATACGGCTTTAGAAGCTCGAATCGAGCTGAAAGACAGTCGAGAGTCCACCGTCAAATGAGCTCGCAGCAATACAGGGAGAAACGGGAGCTAAGAAACTTAGGTGCTTGAATCGTAGCTATCTGAGGGTGGTAGAAACAGCGCGATGTGCCTGATCGTGGAATGCGGCAATACCTATGTCAGCTGACAAGGCAGTGGACCATAAAGCGGGTGCCGTACGCGGTAAGAACTTGAATAGGCGTTTGGTATAAATGTGGACGTCTGAGTACTGGTAATGAAATTGTTCTGAAGAGTCTGGGCTATTACACTACCCCTCATATCATTGATAAAGGTTTTGTGTGAACCAGAACAAGTGATGTGGGTTATAAGACAATGTCACATAACAAGCAAGTTACGCCAGACCAGATTCTGTGGTGACACAAATTCTATACACGCCAGTAGAATCCTTGCCATGACATCAAGCCAGCAATAAGTGACCAAAAGAGTGCTTTGGAACCAGCTGTTATTATAGCTGCTGTTTTGGAGTCGTGGCCTGCCCATAGCAGCAGATTATGTAGAAGCGACACCTGGAATAACAGCATCGACAGGGGGACGAAACAGATAAGGAGGTGGGAAAGCAGATGTATGCGTGGGAGGGAGGAAGGGAGCGAGGGAGTGAGGGAGGGGGGAAAGGAAGTGTTGGTCGGGGCTTGGGAACGATAGCTCATAGAGTGCTCACTTGAAAAGTACAAACTCACAAGGTTCTGATGTGGGTCCTCCCAGTAGAAGCCAGCAGCAATGGAGGAGAGGAGGGGAGTGGCACAGGCGAGGAAGAGGAAGAGGGAGTTGCGGCCCATCCACTCAAAGAGCAGCGTGTAGAAGCACACTCCTGCCGCGTCCACCTGGGAGAGATGCGTGTAGGGGACAGGAGAAATAACAGAAAAATGCGTGCGCCTATTAGTTGGAAACACACAATGTGAACATGGTGTTAGTCAGATGGGGTAGTACATACAGATTCGTATCCCAAATGTGAGAGCTCGTTGGTGACAGGAGGGTGCTTACAAAAAGGTAGATGAGGGCGAAAAGGAGTGCGGTCCTGCTGTTATCAGGACATAGCTTAACGAGTACAGCTGAGCATTGAAAGGCAGACCTGAAGAACGTGGGGACAAGACCACAGCAGGAGAGAACAAATAAGGGTGTTAATTGTCGTAAATGGGGTGACAGGTTGCTGCAAAGGAAGCAGTGTGCGGAGAAACATGAATTAAATAAAAATGCAACTGTACCAGGGTAGGATATGTCCAGCCACTCGGGGATGTTTGCATGGGGGATGGCGTGGTGGAGGGAGAAGGAGAAGGGGAACTGGAGGAGGAAACCGGCCGCCATGAGGAGAGCAGAGAAGAGGAGACAGTTGAAGATGCGCGCTGCATGGCTCTGTGGTGGGGACCGTGGAACAGCAGAGAGGGGGTGAACGGGAGAGAAAGGGAAGAGAATGGAAGAGGAACGAGATGAGATATCGTATAAGGCGAGACTGAAAGCAGAGTGAGCCAAGAAGGCCAGTTTAAAAGTGAAAGCATTGGTTGAGAAGGAGAGACCAGAAAGAGCAAGGGGTTTAGGTATTGAAGCGTGGTTCAGCTAGGAGCTGGGTTCACCTGAAAGCTGGTGATGATGTGGCCCAGGTGCAAGCCCATGAAGGCAGTGAGCGTGGCGCCCAGTGTGCTGGTGAGAGGTAAGGGAAGATGCAAAGCGGTGAGAAAGGAATTAGTGGATACGAAGAGACTTGTTCAGAGGCGCCAGGTGTACTCGGAGCAGGGGAGGGGGAAGGGACCGAACGAGGAGTTGGAGTTTGAAAAGGGTGGAAGTGGAGAAACACCCCCACCTTCACACGCCAAACCCCACCACCCCAACCCTCCGCACACCCGATCCCAACCCACAAATTTCTTTCCTTCATGCACTCCTCTCACCTGAGCAGCCCCATGGGCTCGAAGGGTGCAGCACACCACACAGGGGGTGCCTGGTCGCCAGAGGATGGGAGGGCGAGGAGTGAGGGAGGCGAAAACGGAGTGGAGGGAACACCGCACTCCTGCAGCAGGGAGGAGAAGGCAAATTGGAAAGGGTCAACGCAGAGATGGCAGAAAGAATATGCGTGTTGGGGCGAGGATGGGAGAGGTAGCGAGCCTTCAGGAATGCCTTCAGGCATGTAGGATGGGCGAGCAGAAGTTACTTCGGTACACTTACACATGCACATGTGTGAAGTGCCTGGCCATGCGGAAAGCTTACGGGCAGGTGGGTGTAGGGAGGCGAGGCGAGGAGGTGATTGGTGGTGAGCAGCAAGCGGTCGATGTAGCCCGCAGCACTGCAGGCAGGGGAGAGGTCTCCAGAGCGGGAGCACACCACCTGATGGGCGTGGGGAAGAGGACAACATGGGCAGAAGCACGGAGTGGCAGGCATGCACTTCTGAAGCAAGCAGGACGATGTAGGCGGGAAGGAAAGGAATTGGAGGTCGACAAAGCGAGGTGAGCGGGCCAGATGAGGGGATTCGGGTGTCGTTTGGTGGGTTGTGGAAGGATGGGAAACGCAGAGTGGGAAGAAACAGGTGTTATCTTCCAGTTGCATGCCATTTTCGAATCCAGTTAGGGCGCTCCCTTGTGCCACCATTCACTAACCAGTAGGTTTTGAGACGTGCTGTTGGCAGGTGACATAGCGTGGGGAAGGAAGGTTGAGTTGACGGCAGAGAGGGAGGAGGAGGTGGGGGGAGTGAAGGTCCAGTCAGGCACGAAGAGGAGGAAGGTGAGCGCGAGGTAGATGGCTGCTAGCATGAGCGACGCCTGCCTGGAGGGGGCATGCGGGCAAAAGAGAGATGATGACAGGTTAACATGGCACGAAGAGGAGGAAGGTGAGCGCGAGGTAGATGGCTGCTAGCATGAGCGACGCCTGCCTGAAAGGGGTTGGGCCATGCGCACATGTAGGGATATGAGAGGTACATGAGAGGGGATGAGGAAGGTGAGGGCGAGGAAGATAGGGGCTACGCCTGCCTGAAGGGGGTTGGGTCATGCGGCAAAGCGGGGATGATGAGAGGAGGGAGGGGAAACATGGGAGGGAGGAAAAAGGCTCATGGCGGGACAAATTGCGGCTAAGAGAGGAATGCGAAAGCTGAGAAAATCTTGTGGTACTTCAGGGTTTCAGGGAATTATACAGTGGATTGAACCTGAGAGCACACTGACCAGGTGAGGAGGGAGAAGGATAACAAGCCGGAAAGCCCCTCTCCATATCCCTCTGTGTGGCTATCCTTGGGTGCGGACAGCAGCACCTGCGCCAGTGCTACCACCGTGTACGCAATGGCTATGCGCTGCAGCGTGCCGCAGATGCGCATGCGCGTCAGACTGATGCCGAAACTCAGGTCCCCTGTTCTGTGCAGGAAGCCACCTGGATGGTGCAGGGAAGGTGGAGGGAGAGGCAACGCCGCCCATGTAGGAACGAAGGGATGTGGATGAGAGGGCAGGGCAGAAAACTTAAGGGCGTGAGAAGTAGAGTCCAGAGAAGCCACAAATGTACTGGGATATGCTTTTTGAACTACCAAAAGAAGGGCAGAGTGAAGTAAGCAGATTATGCGGCATAAGCAAATCTTCAAGGTAGGTAGAGCAAGGGAGAGGTTGGCAACCTTCAAGGAAGAGGCCAAGGAGAAAGAGGCAGCAGGCGCGTCTGAGAATCCTATGCACGGAGGCAGTGCGGCTGTGCACGGCTCTGAAGGTGAGCGCCGCTGCAGCGCCCGAGGCGAAGAGGAAGAAGGGCGCGACGAGGTCGCCCAGCTGCAGCCCGTCCCAGGGGGACACTCCCACCCACGGCACCTCGGGGCCCACGTCCAGCGCCACTATCATGGCCTGCAGGGAGGCGGGGAGAAGTTATGAGACGTCTTAAAAGAGAAAGAAGTAAGAAACGACCCCCATCACACCTTCGACTCAAGTCCAAAGCCACAATGTTGCGTGCGTATGCGCCATGGAGATTCGACCGTGCCTTTGCTTCATTGCAACAGATAGACATTCACAGAAATTGTGGGTTCAATGGTGGAGCTTCGCAATGCTGTCGACATTGGCGTGGGGTTGGGATGCTGGCTATGGCTTGGGAACATGGATGCGAGTAAGTGGCGCTGGAGATTGCACGGAACGACGCGACGAGCCCGCAGGTGTGAGTGGTGATCGTTGAGTCGACTCGAGCCTGGATTGGCGTACTTACGACGATGCTGATTCCGCGGAAAACGTCGAGCGATGCTAGTCGCACGGGATGATGCGACACGTGCGACGTGCTGTCATCGCAGGGAACGTGATGCGACGGGAGGATGGGACCCATGCGACTATCCGAGCGCAGTAACGGCGAGATCAAGCCGTCCTCCATGGCTCTGCTACACTCAGCGAAGCTTTGCGATAGATGCGACGCTCTGCGATCTCGCTGTCTAGCGACTGTCGTCGACACACTTGAAATTCTCGCGACGACGACGCCTTATGAGAATGACGCCATGAAAGCAGAGTATTTTTGCAACAAATCTTCAAGCCAGTAGCCTGGAGAAGGAAAGATTGAATGTAATTCTTATCATGCAAAACGGGATTGTCGGCAAGGCGGATTAGACACCGTATGCTACTGGTGCTTTGGTGACAGATAGAGCGATAATGGGAACTGGTAACATTCGTGAATCCTAGTATCCTGCGTCAGTCTGCCTAACCCACATCACCAGACGAACTAAATCACTAAGACCAGTCTCGTAGCCTTGTAGACAGTTGTCTGAGAGAATCCTTGAAAATACGAAGACAGTTGTCGGAGGTATGACAGGGCATGGATTTCAACACATTCTGCTCCATCCATCCAACGGCTCAGTTCCGTCTCGTGATTCCCAGAAATTCCCGAACCGAAGCTCCGCCCATGGAAATTGGAGTCTCGAGGTCGATTTCGGTTTGGCGCGAACCTCGCCAGGCTACCTCGGGAGTGTCAAATCACAGCCTCCACCTAAATATAGTTTCGAGCTATCGAAATCTATCATAGATTGTTGGAGACGACTCTACCGCGTATTGGTTCCCAAACACCACCTCTTCCCCCTTCAAGCTTGGTTTTTTCACAGCGCTGGTTCACGACGAAAGCGGAAAGGAATTATCGACTCCTTGTGGGATAGATCTGCCTGTTGCGGGTACCCGCGCACGTTATCGAAATAAATGCCGGTGATTTCTGTGAATTCGAGCACGAAAATAGCTTCCACTGCATCGAGATGGACTTGCATCTCGACTCAGCATACATTAATGCCCCTGCATCTGCTGCTCCTGGTCTCGCCGTTGATTCTCATCCTGCTTCTCACACCACGCCCGGCGCCTCGCGGGAACTCCACCGCCTCCTTCGCCACACGCGAAGATGTAACCACGGATCGGCGAAAGCTCCTGTTTTCGCTACGGAAGCCCAAGGAGTGCGAGGGGCCGAACGGCACGATGGCGAATAGGATCATCCCCATGGAGGCCGTTGCGAGTCAGCGCAAGCTGGTCGGCGGATGGCGGCCGCGGAAGGGGAAATACCTCCTGGCGCTCTGCACCACTGGGCGACTGACCAATCAGGTACCGGGGGAAAAAGAGGCTGACAAATCAGGTACCAGAAAGTGAGATTGACCAATCATAATGACATGCTTCATCTTCGCCGCGCTATTCAACCGTCTCTTGGATCGGACACAGAAGTCACTTCCCTTTACCCTTTCCCCTCTTCCACCGCCCTCGTCCCTTCTCCTTGCCTCCCCACCACCTCCTCCCCCACCACCCGCAGAGCAGCAGGAGTGCATGATGACCTACTTCATCTTCGCCGTCCTCTTAAACCGCACGCTCCTCATCCCGCCACTCGCCGTCGCGCAGCACACCGGCCTCAACCTAATCTGGCCCTGGGCCGCCGTCTTTAATCTCCCCAGACTGCATACCTGCCTCTCGCCCTCCTACGGCCCCCTCACCACGCTCCTACTACCGGACTACCTCTCCCGCTCCCACTCCGCCCATGCTTACGTGGCACACCTTATCTGCCTCAAGCCCACGTGTAATCATGAGTGGACGCTGCGAGTGCTGCTGCGGGAGGTGCCTGAGATCAAGCTAGCGGACAAGAAAGGCCGCCCGGTAGCGGTGAATCAGAGCTTGGTGGATAGGATGGGGAAGGTGCGGCTTGAGAAGCTTCTAGAAGCTGTAGAGGTGGTGGAAGGGGAGGAGGAGAGGGCGGAGGCGGAGGAGGGGGGAAGAGTGGCGGAGGGGGAGGCTGCAGCAGCAGGAGAAAGTGGTGGAGAGCAAACAGCAATGCGGAGACGGCTGAATGAGGCGGGCAGTGGAGCAGAGGAGACAGGTGCGCAGACACACGAAGGTGCGGCTGCAGCAGCATCCCAGGCAGCACCGGCTTTGGCTGGCCAAGCATTGGCTACACCAGAAACATCAGGCCCAGCAGCAGCTGCAACCCTTGTCCCAGCTGCTGCGGTACCGGCCGCATCACCTGCTGCAGCCTTGGCAGCACCATCTACAGCAGCGCCTGCTGCAGCACCAGCACCAGGTGCAGCTACAGTGGCAGTACCAGAAACACCCGCTGCTGCAGCAGCAGCACCACCAGCATCTGTTGCAGAAGCAGCCACAGCAGCAGCGGCACCTTCAGCTGCCGCTGCCGGCGCCACCTCTGACAGCAATGATGAGGAGTCCAGTCTGCCTGCCGGCCACATCCTCACATTCGGCGATCTGGCGGGAACGTCTGTGATTGGCCACGACTGGCTGCTGGAATCAGCACTGCCCCTTATCTCGGTCCCTCCAGACTGCAGCAACTTGTGGCGGCCGCATGCAGCAGTGATGGAGTTTGTGGATGGCTTCATTGCATCGCACCTCCCATCTCCCTTCATGGCTGTGCACCTCAGGCGGTGAGTGAGTGATCGCTGAGTCAGTCAGTGCCACACTTTCCCTCGCCCTGGTCCCGCTGGGCTGCAGCAACCTGTGGCGCCCGCGTGCTGCCGTGATGGAGTTTGTGGATGGCTTCATCACAACTCACCTCGCCTCTCCGGCTATCTAAAGAAACAGAGCTACAAGCGCCACGTGTTTTGCCCATAGCAGCGTCCTTGCCCTCTCACCCATCCCCCTCCGTCCTCCCTTTTCCCCCCGCTTTTCCCCTCCCTGTTTGCCTCTTCAATCCCAATCCAGGGGTGATTTCTCCGGCCACCTAAAGAAGCAGAGCTACAAGCGGCACGTGTTCCTGCCCATAGCAGCGGTGGGAGAGTTCATTCTCTCCCGCGCCGCTGCTGCCAACCTGCACACGGTGCTGCTGGCCTCTGATGGCACCGAGGCTGAAGTGGCCGCACTCTCGCAAATACTCACAGGTAGGGAAGCTGATCCGCGTGCTAGCGATAGTCTGACCTTGCTTGCCGTGCACAACCTGCACACCGTGCTGCTCGCCTCTGACGGCACTGACGCTGAAGTGGCCATGCTCACACAGTTAGTCACAGGTAGGGGTTGAGCCGCATGCTGGAGACAGTTTTGACCTCATGGCATGCACAAGCTGGATGCTCTCACAGTTGGTCCCATGAATCTACATCGCCCATAACTATGAGGTATCCCGCCCTGTTCTCTCCCACTCACCCCCTCCCTTACCAGCCAGCAACACCGCAAGGCTGGTGACGTTGCACGAGAGTTGCTTCGCATGGGCCGACACACACAATGAGCCCTGGGGGCGGGCGCTATTGGCTCTCAGTCCCTTTTCCCTTAACCACCAACGCCACACTCGCACCCCCCTCTCTCACCCCCACAAACCCCCACTCCATCTCACCCACCCACCAGCCAGCAACACCACGAGGCTAGTCACACTACACGAGAGCCGCTTCGCATGGGCCGACACACACAATGAGCCCTGGGGGCGGGCGCTATTGGCTCTCAGTCCCTTTCCCCTTAACCACCAACGCCACTCTCGCACCCCCCTCTCTCACCCCCACAAACCCCCACTCCATCTCACCCACCCACCAGCCAGCAACACCACGAGGCTAGTCACACTACACGAGAGCCGCTTCGCATGGGCCGACACACACAATGAGCCCTGGGGGCGGGCGCTGTTGGCTCTCGAGCAGAGCCTGCCGGAGGGGGGAGGCAAGGGGGTGGTGCGGGCACTGGCAGAGAAGTACGTGTGCGCGCGCGCTCACGTGTTCTACGGCACGGTCTACTCCACCTTCTCCACGGATGTTATCAGGATCCGGGCAGCGGAAGGGGTGGCAAACTGCATGGACGGGAAGGTGGGGGAGGAGGGTTAGTGGTAATTAGGCATGGTTGGAAATTCGTTGCTGCGGCTGCTACTGTATGCAGACATGGTTACACCATTCAAGCTGTTCCTTAGTGTAGAACTGTACAGGCCTTACACAGGCCACCCCAGAATGTTTGTAGGAATGCCCATATGAATCTGCAGACCATTCCTGCATGTGTGCATCCACTTGTGCATAAATGGCTTTTTGATGCATTTAGTAAGAGCTTTTCCAATCAAGTCAGCCACGAACGCACGGTTGAGCGCACTCAACCTGCTGTATCTCTCCATAGAGAGCACATTTTCCGACTCCCTATGTGCGCGCCGCACTGGAACACGCGGTGCCCCCTATGTATTTTGTGTGCTGGAGCGTGGGTGTCTATTTGCCTTTGAGCCGACCTATCCACTCTTGCTGCTGCCAAGCACCCACCACACCACATGTCTGCTGGCCCGTGTCTACTTGTCGGCTGCCTTGCCCACCACCTTGGGCATCTTGTGTGTGCCCGCTGGATCCAAACACAGGAGCATGGAGACGCCGGGGAAATTGGGGAGTCCAGAACAAGGAAACGCAAGAAAGGAGAAACACAAGTAAGAGGATTGTAGACGAGATGAGCAAGTGAGAGGAGGCAGTGGGAACGCACTAGCCCTTGCACCTACCTAAACAAACTCGCGCACTGACATGTACCTGCACACACACTCACAGTCCTCCACATCATTGCGTCGGCATACCACCAACCACACCTTCCACCCTGCTTCACGCACCAAAACAACACTCTCTGCACACACACACTCACAGTCTTCCACGTCCTTGAGCTTGTAATAGTGCGGTGCAATCTCCACCAGCCATTCAGGCTTGATCTCCACGACCTGCCGCATGAACTCCTTGCTAGTGTACACCAGCTCGTGGTACACCACCCACCGCGGCAGCACCTGCGCCAGCCCCGAGCTCGGATGGATGTGCACGGTCTGAGGGTTCTTCACAGTGCGGTACGTGCGGTTCTTCTGCAGACGGGCCGTGTGGTAGAAGTAACCTGCACAGAGAAACACGGCAGATGAAAAAGGAGAAAGAAGGGCTCGATTTCCACTAGCAGTGTGCATAGAGCATTTACATACTTCATCTCACTACTGCTAATCCTCAACCCTCCCTCTCACCGGCAGTGATGGCTTTCTTGATAGCATCCAGGTCACCGCTGCTGCTGCTTGGTTCGATCTCCACTCGCTCCAACAGCCCCATCAGCTGGTCGCGCACGTCACGAGCCATCTTCATGCTTCGCACCTGATACAACGAGGGGGAGGAGGAGAGGAGGAAAAAAGAGATTAAGGAGGCAGGCTTCATGCTTCACGGCGTGCAAGCAAGCTTGCTGCCCACACCACGACAGCATGAGAGCACCAGCAGATCGCACCGCTCACCCGCTCACCTGAATGTAGTTCTCGTAGCAGAACTGAGAGGAGAAGCTGGTCTCCGCCCACTGCTCGTACACCCTCAGCAGCGCAATATGGTCGCCCACGTTGCCCGTGTGGAAGTTCATGCGCGCGTTGTCTGCATGCACCTGCTTGTCCTTGGGGCGGTAGAAGACCGCGTTGCCCACCGACAGCATGGCGCATATGGTGGCCGCTTCCTCGGAACAACTGGCGGGGTAATGGGGATGGGGGACAAGGTTGGAAAGCGAGGAGAGGATGAAGTTAGGTGTGCGGAAGTCTTCATGCGCGCATTGTCCTCCTTGTCCTTTGGCTGGTAAAACACGGCATTGCCGACTGAGAGCATCGCGCACATGGTGGCTGCTTCCTCGGAGGTGGGACTGATAGGTGGGACTGATAGGTGGGACTGATAGGAGGGACTGATAGGCAGGACTGATAGGTGGGACTGATAGGTGGGACTGATATGTGGGACTGATAGGTGGGACTGATAGGCGGGACTGATAGGTGGGACTGATATGGGGGACTGATAGGTGGGACTGATAGGCGGGACTGATAGGCGGGACTGATAGGCGGGACTGATAGGCGGGACTGATAGGCGGGACTGATAGGCGGGACTGATAGGCGGGACTGATAGGCGGGACTGATAGGCGGGACTGATAGGCGGGACTGATAGGCGGGACTGATAGGTGGGACTGACAGGTGGGACTGATAGGTGGGACTGATAGGTGGGACTGATAGGTGGGACTGATAGGCGGGACTGATAGGCGGGACTGATAGGTGGGACTGATATGTGGGACTGATAGGTGGGACTGATAGGTGGGACTGATAGGAGGGACTGATAGGCGGGACTGATAGGTGGGACTGATAGGCGGGACTGATAGGTTGGACTGATATGTGGGACTGATAGGCGGGACTGATAGGCGGGACTGATAGGTGGGACTGATAGGAGGGACTGATAGGCGGGACTGATAGGCGGGACTGATAGGTGGGACTGATAGGTGGGACTGATAGGAGGGACTGATAGGCGGGACTGATAGGTGGGACTGATAGGCGGGACTGATAGGTTGGACTGATATGTGGGACTGATAGGCGGGACTGATAGGCGGGACTGATAGGTGGGACTGATAGGCGGGACTGATAGGTGGGACTGATAGGCGGGACTGATAGGTGGGACTGATAGGCGGGACTGATAGGTGGGACTGATAGGAGGGACTGATAGGCGGGACTGATAGGCGGGACTGATAGGTGGGACTGATAGGTGGGACTGATAGGAGGGACTGATAGGCGGGACTGATAGGTGGGACTGATAGGCGGGACTGATAGGTTGGACTGATATGTGGGACTGATAGGCGGGACTGATAGGCGGGACTGATAGGTGGGACTGATAGGAGGGACTGATAGGCGGGACTGATAGGCGGGACTGATAGGTGGGACTGATAGGCGGGACTGATAGGTGGGACTGATAGGCGGGACTGATATGTGGGACTGATAGGCGGGACTGATAGGTGGGACTGATAGGGGGGACTGATAGGCGGGACTCATAAGGTGGGACCAGTGGATGTGCCTCAAGCCGTGCCTCAAACAGCCCACCCACTCACAGGTACTTATCGGAAGCCACAAGCAGCTTCGACATCTGCGGGTCCAGCGGAAATTCCGCCATCTTCCTGCCCAGCTTGGTCAACTCCCCGCGGTCGTTGAGCGCCCCCAGCGCATACAGCATCTCCAGCGCCCTCAGGAGCGTCTCCGCAGGGGGCGGGTCCATGAAGTCGAAGTTGAGCAGGTCGTTGATCCCCAGGGACTTGAGCATCAGCACCACATTCCCGAGGTTCGTCCGCTGGATCTCCGGCACCGTGTTATCCTCCAACTCATTCGCATACGACCACGCGGTGTACAGCCGAAAGCATTTCCCGGGGGACGTTCTCCCGGCCCGCCCCGCGCGCTGGTTCGCCTGGGCTTTTGACACGGGGGTGACGATGAGAGACTCCATGCCGGTGCGCGGGTTGTAGCTCTTCTGCTTCACAAACCCCGGGTCGATCACGTATTTGATTCCGTCGATGGTGAGCGAAGTTTCCGCGATGTTGGTAGCTAGAACCACCTTCCGCGCTCCCTCGGGTGTCTTCTCGAAAATCTTCGCCTGCATGTCCGTGGGCAGGTTCGCGTAAATCGGGCAGATGATCATTTCTGCGATTTTTGTCCCCAGCCCCTTGGTTCTATGCCTGAGAATCTCCTCTGCTGCCTCAATCTCCTCCTGCCCTGTCAGGAACACCAACACATCCCCTGCCGGCTGCGTTACATGAATCTGTAACACGGTTACCACCGCCGCATCCAAATAATCCGCCTCAGGCGCCTTAGTGTAGTGTATATCCACAGGATACCTCCTCCCGGGAATCCGGAAAATCGGCGCAAAGTCAAAATACTCGCTGAATTTCTCCGCATCAAGCGTGGCGCTCGAAATCAGCAGCTTCAGATCGGGCCGAAACCGAGCAATGTCCTTCACGAGCCCGAACAGCACGTCCGTGTGAAGCGTCCTCTCGTGTGCTTCATCCACCATCATGACGGAGTAGCTCGCGAGGTCTGGTTCGCTGAGGAACTCGCGCAGCAGCATGCCGTCGGTCATGTATTTGAGCACGGTCTTGTCGGACGTGCAGTCCTCGAAGCGGATGGAGTAGCCCACCTCGTGCCCCAGCTTGCACCCCACCTCCTGTGCCACACGCGCTGCTACACTCATGGCTGCTACTCGCCTGGGCTGCGTGCACCCGATCTGCGGGCAGGAGAAAGAAGGAAGAGTAAATACGTTTCTAACCAGGTTCATCAGACAAGGTTCAACTTGCATCCCACCTCCTGCACCACCTCTCAACTTGCCTCACCTTTCCACACATTGCCTCACCATTCCCCACCTTTGCCTCATCTTGCCTCACCTTGCCCCACCCCTCCTCATCTTGTCCCACCTCCTCTTCTGCCCCCACCGCTCACCTTGCCGCGCTTGCCGTATCCCTCTTCGTACAAATACTGCGGGATCTGCGTCGTCTTGCCCGACCCCGTCTCGCCTACAATCACCAGCACCTGCACACAGCACACACACAACAAGGCCGCACAGATTAGAATCCCGGCTAAGATTGAGCAACATCACTTGTAAATTCATTCCTCTTACACATAGCGACATACAGGGCCATGACAGTGGGGTGAAGCATCTGGTGGACTCTGCGGCGCATCTGGTGACAACACCTGGCTGACAACAGTTGTCCCACCTGGTGGTCGTTGATAGCTTGCAGCAGCTCCTCCCTGTAGCGGTACATGGGCAGGTTCTTCCTCTCCGCCTGTATCTTGTCAAACGCTGACTTGGCCTTTGATACCTCCACCTGCCGCTCCCTCTCCTCCTCGTCCTCTGAACCCTCCTGCACCCATTACCACCGCATCAAACAGCAGGACACCCCAAAAGCACCGCAGTCAACCACAAAGGGTGAGCCAGTTTGCACAACAAAACCACTACACGTTAACAAAGCAAAGGAACACGCACACAGAAAGCCAGCCATCCCCATCCACAATTCTGCACTATTAACCCTGTCACTGCACGCTTTCCTGGGGTACTTTCCTGACATTGCAAGCTACTCTGAGAGCACTCACCCTGTCATCGCCAGCCATGATGGTATCCTTAATGAAGTCGATCTGATCCTCAAACACATACTCGTACTGCTCTGAGTCCACCTTGCGGTCCTTGGACCCAAAGTTCACCGTCGCCTTGCCTGCACCACACGATGCATGCGACGAGAGGTGTGAGGAACTGCGAGTGGCACATCAGATCATGACGCATGGCAGATGGCGCATGGCAGATGGCGCATGGCAGATGGTGCATGGCAGATGGTGCATGGCAGATGGTGCATGGCAGATGGTGCATGGAACCCAACATGCTTGAGGGCGCTTCAATGTCCTTCTCATTCTCAATCGCACACTCATACTAAGCTCCAGTCAGTGACCTCCAGTCAGTGAGCTCCAGTCAACCCCTACCTACCTATTTGATGATTCTCCCACGCCTCCTGCTCTGCTCGCGGAGTCACCTTGTCATCCCCCTCCACATCCCTGCTCATACAGTGGGATGGGCATAGGGACACGGGGCAGAGGGACAGAAGGGCAGAGGGGCAGAGGGACGAAGTGATTAACAAAGTTACTCTTTACAGAAAGCTCGCTGCACGTCCTATCGAACGGGACCGTCGGGACGTGACGCGCTGAGCAAACATGCGAGTGTTGGGAGCTAGAGGAATCACAATGCATGGAACGTGATTACGAAACACAACATGTGTACACTCTTTCCTGCACACAACGCGTACAATCACTCCCCTCCCCCATCCCCCCTTCCACACACATTCATATTCCTCCATACAAATCTCACCGCTCTCCACCGCACTCACTGGTATCGTTTCATGGCCACGGCGAATCTCTTGTCCTGCTGCACCTTCTCCTCCTTGTCGTACGCCTCTGGCAGGTGGTACTGCCACGGTGGGAGGAGCAGGGAGAGAGGGTTGGGTTGAAATTGGCGTAGAAGCATGAAGCAAACGTCCACGTGCGGGTTGAGGTTGGGATCACAGATGCGCCTCCCGACCCGAGGCCTCTTGTCCAGCTGCTCCTTCTCCTCCTAGTCATACATGCGCCAGCACCGTCCGCTGGTAAGAGGTGCATGCGGTAGTGCAAGAAGCGACGCATGTGATGGTACATGCAATAATGCATGTAGGCTCACCTCGACCACCTTCCCCACGTCCTCCACTTGCTGCTTCGCCAGCGCCAGCACCTTGCGCTTGTACCGCTGCTCCGCCTGCTCCCTCTCCGTGAGCTTCACGTCGGAAAACAGATACTCCTCGTCCACCAACTCATCCCTGCGATACAGTCACATTGCACACGCACATGCATTCATTCAGCAGCACTCTCCAAAAAATACAGCAATGGCAAGTAATGGCAGGGAACTAGAAGTGATGGCAAAAAAAGGCAGGGAGGAAGAATGGAATTCGGCACAGAGAGGGCGGTGCTTACTCGAGCTCCTGCAGCTTCTTGGCCTCTCGTTTGGACAGATACTCCTGCCGGGAGATCTCCCTCAGGCTCGGCATCAGCTCCCGCTGCTGCTCCGCCTCCTCCCTCCTCCTCAACGCCTCTGATGGGTTTGTGCACGCATAGACCAGGCAGAGGACGAGAAGGAGAGGGGCGAGCAGGCAGGGGAAACCAGGTGGCGGATGCAAGGGTTGTGGAAATAAAGAAAGGTTGGGTCTTAAAGCAGGAACGTGACAGTATGCGGAGGGACAAACCCAGAGACGTGACCAGAACAGGGGATAAAAGGATGGGAGAAAGGGAGGGGGTGGGGAAGGTTGAATGAGGAGGGAGGGCCAAGCGGGAGTGAGTGACAGTGGAGCACACGACACATGTGGTGTGTGTGTGGCAGACGATGTGTGTGGAGGATGACGTGGAGGGTGTGACACGTGGCAGCACATGACTGACCTTGTTCCTTCTTGGAGAGCTTGGGCTCTAGCTTCTGCAAGCAGAAAGGATGGGATGTGGAGGGGTTTGAAGGGATGTGAAGGGGTGTGGAGCGATGTGAAGGGGAATATGATGGACGGGAGAGGAAAATAAGTGAAGATTACACGAAAGGCCGAAAGCAGATGCGGGGAGTGGGGGGGGAGGGGGGGGGCGGGAAGCGGGACGATAGGGGACAAGGGGAAGTGCATAAAGCAGGGATGAAGGAGGATCAAGGGGCCGCTGAAGCAGTGCAGTGTGGATGAGAGAAGCAAGAGAGAGCAAGAGAAACGCCATCCATCCCACCTTGGTGCGCTCCTCATCTCGCTGCTTGAGGCGCTCCTCAAACTCCTCCCTCTCCAGCTGGTCTCGCTCCCTCTCCGCCTCCCTCTGCCTCTCCAATGCCGCCTGCCAACACACAGCAGCACTCAGCAGCAAGCAACCCAACAGCACCCAGCAGCACACAGCAGATTCGAAGAAACACGGATCACAACCCATAAGAGAACAAGGCACTACACATGCACTTTGTTTGAGAATGGCTTGCTGCTGCGAACACATGCACAGCTCCAAGCTCAACGCCTCCTAACCCACTTCATAACTCCAAGTTTCAACTCCCTATCTTACCTCTTCATCCTCCTCCTCCTCCGCCTCACCCTTCCTCCGCCCGCTCCTGTGCTCGCCTTGCCGACCTTTCTTGCGCTGATACTCTGCCAACGCCTGGAGAGGGGGCGCAGCAGGGGCAAAAGAAAGAGGAAGAAGGGAATGGGAAAGAGGAGGCGGAGGGTATGGGAAAGAGAAGAAAGAGCTTGAGAAAGGGAATGTGGAGTGGAGCATGAAAGGGTGAAAGCAACAAGGGAAAAATGAGTAGACGAAGACAAGAACATATGAAATGCGTGCAATACAGGCACTATCCGACCTGAGCAGTGGCATCATCATCAGCATCATCCCCACCGTCCATCTCATCTCTCCTCCTCCTCAACTGCCTCCTCTTCTTCCCCTCCTTCCCCCCCTCCCCCTCCCCTGCACCGCCTCGCCCATCCCTCTCCCTCTCTTCCTCCTTCCTCTCCCTCTCCTCCCGTTCCTTCCCCCGCTGCCTCTCCCTCTCCCGCTCCTCCTCTTCTTCTTCATCATCCGCGTCTAGCAGAGCGTACTGCTGCTGCCGACGAGCGAATTCTATGGCTGCTTTCTCCTCTGTTTTGTACGCCTGCCATAGGTTGCAGTGGATGATAAATCAGGGATAGGGGTGAGACAGCAGGGAAAATGGGTCACAGAGGGATGAGGAGAAACGTCAGGGTTGAAAGCACCGGGGCAGAATGCTACTCCCTGAACGCAAATCTGAATGCGAGGTTCTAACGAGGATCTAAATTGCCAAGAATGCAAACGCGAGAGTGCCTCCATACCCTGCTGAAGAATCCCCAAGGCCTTCTTAACCTCTCCCCTCCCCACTCTCGATACTAGGTAGGTCTTCCGAATGCTTCTTAACCTCCCCACCGTGATCCTATCCTGAGCAAGACCTACCGAAGGACCTTTCTTGGCGCTCGGTATTCTCGAGGCCAGCTGGCTGGCGAAGGCTGACGTGGCAGGCGACGCTGGAAGGCCATTGGACGAGAGGCTGGATGTGAGAGCGCTCACGCTGGACGATCTCTTAGCTGTGGAAAGGACACGTGGCACGAGTAAGACAGGAAGTAAGGCAGAGAACTGAAGGGACCAGCGAAGCTTCATAAACTCATTATCTGACCACCTTTGACCAAGAAAGCATTTTAGAGGCGTGAAATGTGAAATGGAACACTGGAAACTAATTTCTCGCTGAAACCGATAGCGAGTCGCGACCATATCCACACGCTCTGCAGAGTATTCACTACCTTTCACAAGAATTCAAATGAATTCGCTATAATCGACGCACCTAACGCGATAACGAAGGTAACGAGACTGGACTCGGAGTAGCCGAGGATTTGGTACAGCTGATCCGACACCCACGTCTTCAACTCCTTCTCGTCCGCCATTCCTCGGTATTGCCGCTAAGAGACGTCAGGAATCTACGTAAGGTCACGCGGCTGCGACAGCGGTGAAAAGGGAGATTTACGGGTCGAACTAAATCCGGACCTCACCGCCTATTTGCATCTATAACGTCTAGAAGATTGGCAGAAAACCGCGTCTCGTGAGTTCAAGTATTCTAGAACCAAAGAAAGATGGCAGTAGTGAGCTTGACGTTTACGGAACCCGCACCACTTGTGAGGGAATCAACATGGGAAACCGCGATATCGCCGAATCCGATGAAGTTACATAGCTGATACACTGCGTTTTTCTACGAAACCCAAACCAATACAGTATCTCAGTTTGCTGAAACATTTCGAATCCCATCCCAGAGGGTTCTCGTAGAACCCTGAGCTTGCGGCTCGTACAGTAAGATCCCTAAATTCCTTGTCAGTGTCGAGTGGAATTTACGAATACCGTCTATATTCAGCTTCTCTTTTGATCATTTGATCACCTGATCATCCCTTCTGTCGCCGTTAGCCGCTAGGGTTTGCCGCTTAATCCTCTTCCTGCAATACTCCCCCCCGTAGTTTCGAGACGCTTGCCTGTTGAAAGCAGTTGCTCGTTGATTTTTGGGTCTTGATCCCGCATCGTCGTGTCTTCGATTCGCTGCCTGAAGAGTCAGTAGGAATGGCGGACGCAGCGCAGATTGACGAGGCGTTAAAGCAGTTGACGGCGATCCAAGACGAACTAGACAAGGTGCAGACTACGTTGAGATTCCGACGGATTCCGTCCTTTAACTTTCGCATTTTCGACAGTACCGAGGCACATGATTCTGCTCTCGTCAGAACCCCCCGAGCCTGATTTCCGCCTCTGCCATTCCTCCACAGCTAACACCATAGACTTCAACCCCTTCTCTCCTTCCATTCCCTCTTTCCTGCTCGTTCTCTCCGTTCTAACCTCGGTGGCATCTTCTCTTCGTTCTCGCTCGTCTTAGGTCAACGAGGAGGCGAGCGACAAGGTGTTGGAAGTGGAACAGAAGTACAACAAGCTAAAGCGGCCCATTTACGAGCGACGCCAGCAAGTAGTATCAGAAGTTAACGACTTCTGGATGACAGTGGTACGCGGTTGCTCTTCTGAGTCGACTCAGTATGTTGAGTCGGCCCAGCGTCTTTTTCCACCCTTGTGGTCTATCCTTTCGTCGGTGCTGTTACGTTTTCCACGATCTCGTTCCGCCGTTCTTCCCTACTGACTATTTCGCGCATTGTGTCTGTGTTAACTTTTTTTTTTTTTGTTGAACGCAGCTTCTCAATCACGGTCTTCTTCACGCGTTTTTCACAGAAGAGGATAGACAGGTGAGGGAAAAGAGTCATAATATGCTCACTGGGAACTCCTGAATGTCTCCCGGTTGTGCCTCGCCCTTCGACTGGGTGCGCTGAATGTCTTCTTCGTTCCGTCAAGTTCTAGGCCGTCAGATTTTGTTTTTCATTCTCTCCTTCCTTCGTTCTCCCATACCAGTCACCATGTCATTCGTACGGCTCCCCACTTCCCCAACCCCCGCATACTACGCTCTCACCCCCTTGTTACGCTCACCCCATGCTCCGAATTTTCATGCTACCCCTGCCCCCTCCTCTACTGCGCGCCACCCATGCAGCCACTGGAGTATCTGAGGGGGTTAGACGTAACGGATTATAAAGACAGCAAGTCGGGTTACAGCATCACCTTTGTGCCACCCTCCTTCCCCCCACACTCTCCTCCCTCCCACACTCTTCTCCTCTCTGCTGCGCGCCTCTCTGCAGGTGTTGGAGTATCTGAGGGGGCTCGACGTGGAGGACTATAAAGACATCAAGTTGGGCTACAGCATCACCTTCGTACGTTCTTACAAACTCTTAGGATCTCACCGGTTAGTGCTTTAGCTTCTCCCATCATCCACCCAATCTTCTCGCTTACTGGTAATCTACGTGTCAGCCTGTCAGGCTTTGAAGCAGAGGGTTCATGTGTCTAGGGTGGGGTTTGCCCCCGACGTGACTGTCCCTCCATAAAGCCCTGAACCTCGTTAAGGTGAACCGACATCCAGGTGTAAATGGTTCGCCTTTATACAGTAAATGTTTGAGAATGTTTTTTTTTCTACTGTACATCAAATTTATTGCCTTTCTCTCTATCATCCACATCAAATTTGTGACCCCTGTTTGGTTGGGCTGGCTGCAGACATTTGCGGAGAACCCATACTTTTCGAATAAGGAGCTGAGCAAGAGCTACAAATACACGGAGGAGGGCACTGCCAACGTGGAGGGCACCAAGATCGAGTGGGAGGAGGGCATGGTGAGACGAGTGTGAGGAGGGCATGGTGAGACGAGTGTGAGGAGGGCATGGTGAGACGAGTGTGAGGAGGGCATGGTGAGACGAGTGTGAGGAGGGCATGGTGAGACGATTGTGAGGAGGGCATGGTGAGACGAGTGTGAGGAGGGCATGGTGAGACGAGTGTGAGGAGGGCATGGTGAGACGAGTGTGAGGAGGGCATGGTGAGACGAGTGTGAGGAGGGCATGGTGAGACGAGTGTGAGGAGGGCATGGTGAGACGAGTGTGAGGAGGGCATGGTGAGACGAGTGTGAGGAGGGCATGGTGAGACGAGTGTGAGGAGGGCATGGTGAGACGAGTGTGAGGAGGGCATGGTGAGACGAGTGTGAGGAGGGCATGGTGAGACGAGTGTGAGGAGGGCATGGTGAGACGAGTGTGAGGAGGGCATGGTGAGACGAGTGTGAGGAGGGCATGGTGAGACGAGTGTGAGGAGGGCATGGTGAGACGAGTGTGAGGAGGGCATGGTGAGACGAGTGTGAGGAGGGCATGGTGAGACGAGTGTGAGGAGGGCATGGTGAGACGGGCAGGAGGAGGGCATGGTGAGACGGGTAGGAGGAGGGCATGGAGAGGGGTGGTGCTGTGCTTGGTCCATCCATCCCTTCCCCCACTTTCCCTCTCCCCGTCCTTTCATGCCGCCATCTTGCATCTCTTCCCCCAAGTCATTTTCCTTCCATTGTTTGCCTCCTCGTCAACCACCCTCTCCCTCCCATCATCTGCCCCTCTCTCGCCATCATCCTGCCCCACTCCCTTCTGTGCGCTGCTCTGCAGGACCTGACGGCACCAAAGCCCAAGCAGGACAAAGCAGGCAAGAAGAGACAATTGGAGGAGCAGGAGAGGTGAGTTGGTTTGTCACTTACCTGAGAGCCGAGCCGCCTCTCTCATTCGCCGCTCTCAGTCGCTTTCAAACTGTGTGTTGTACTCTTGTTAGAAAGCATGTTGTTTGACTGAAAAGGGCAGAAAACCACAAGTGCTACAGTGCTGCACCCACCCTCTTCGCCCCGACCCCCGGTGTCTGTGCCCGCCTCCCTCTCCTGCAGCTTCTTCCCGTTACGTAGTTTTATATGAACTCTTTCAGTCCTTCTCTCGTATCCCCTCCTCCTGCTGTGCCCCTCGCCCGCAGCTTTTCTTTCTTCCAGGGTTTTGAATGAAGTGGTACGGAACGGGCACATGGATTCCCTCGCTCTTCCCGGAATCCCACTCCCATTTCCCCCTGGCCTGGTGTGCTGCAGCTTCTTCAAGTGGTTTGAAGTGGACGAAATACATGTGTGCTCTCCCTTTTTCCCCGACCGCCCCCTTCCCCTCCTCCCCCCCTTCCCCCGCTCCCCCTCCGCCTGTGTGCCCGCACGCGCCCTGCAGCTTCTTCAAGTGGTTTGAAGTGGACGAGGCCACTCAGGGCACCTCACCACCCGATGATGTGAGTCAGAGCGGTGGGAGGGGGTATGATGTGAGTCAGAGCGGTGGGAGGGGGTATGATGTGAGTCAGAGCGGTGGGAGGGGGTATGATGTGAGTCATAGCGACGGTGATAGATATGAAGGATGATGGGGATTTTTCCCCGGCCCCACTCCCTGCCAATCGTCCCGTCACTCCCTCACTGCTCCATGCCAGTCTAACTATTGTTTCGTGGCACCTGGAAGACAAGAAAAACATTCTAACTGCTCTTTGCCGCTCCGCCCTGCCCCTCTGCCCCTCTGCCTCTCTGCCTCCCTGTCTCTTCCACACGAATGTGCCGCTGTGCCTCTCCTCCGCTCTGCCTCTCCTCCGCTGTGCCTCTCCTCCGCTGTGGCAGGTGGCAGAGCTGATCAAGGACGATGTGTGGGTCAACGCGCTGAATCACTACCTGCAGGTGCGAGGGGGCGGTTGTATGGTGAAGGGACGCGTGGAGGGGGCGGGTGGGTGGGCGGGTGGGCGGGTGCATGGGGAGGGTGAGTGGGGAGGCATTGTGGTGATGGGGAGGGAAGGGTGGCAGGTGGCAGAGCTGGTCAAGGACGATGTGTGGGTCAACGCGCTGCAGCACTGCCTGCAGGTGGGGAGGGAGGGCGGGTGGGAGGGCGGGGGTGGAGGGGCTGGTGGAATGGGGATGGTGAATGGGGAGGATGAATGGGGAGGATGAATGGGGAGGGAAGGGTGTATGAGTGAGGAGCGAAGAGCTCTTGAGGTGTATCAGAACATCAGTGGCACTGGTTGCTATGTGGGAGTGTGATATTCTCACGTGCTAACTCCAACCCTCCCCTCCCCCCCCCCCTACCTTCCCCCACGCCACCTGTTGTATGGCAATGATTTTCTGTCAGCTCCGTGGGTGGGGAAGATAATCCTCGTCTGTGCAGAATTAGAAGCATTACTGCTCACTGTGGTTCCTCCCTTGCTGATTATGCTACCTCCCTCCTGCCATGCCATTGCAGGAAGGGGAGGATTTTGAGGGATATGAGGATGAGGATGATGAGGACGGGGGTGAGGGGGAGGAAGGGGAGGAGGACGACGATGAAGATGGCGATGGGGAGGAGGTGAGTTCAATGAGGAGGTGAGTGTGGTGGGTAGGAGATGAGTTTGATGGGGAGGAGGTGAGTTCAATGAGGAGGTGAGTTCAATGAGGAGGTGAGTTCAATGAGGAGGTGAGTTCAATGAGGAGGTGAGTTCAATGAGGAGGTGAGTTCAATGAGGAGGTGAGTTCAATGAGGAGGTGAGTGTGGTGGGTAGGAGATGAGTTTGATGGGGAGGAGGTGACTTATCGAATCGAGCTCCAGGCCTGTTAGAGTGAGCTATCCACATTAGAGGAGGTTACCAACATTTTGCATCTTCCCACCTCTGCTTTGTAATCACCGGTGCAGGAGGCGGAGGAAGACGAGGGATGAGGGCTGAAAGCCTTTTCACCCACCTTGTCATTGTCAGGTTGGGTTGTTTTTCCCCAGTGGGCAAGGACTAGGATTAGGGCTGAGTAGGCCCCTAATGGGAGCCTGCCATTTCAGCATGTGCAATGGGTAGTAGATACAGTGCGCTCTGCACGTCTACCTTCCCACTGCTCACTCTTTCTTTCCTAGGAGGTGCTATGCCGTGGGCAGTGCGTGGAAGGGTTGGTTGCTCCTAACCTAGCATTGTGATGCAATGCGTATCTTAGATTGGGCCATCTGATGCATGGCAAGCTGCCATGAAGGAATGGGCTACACAGGTCACAGGTTCAGCTGTGAATTTAATGCATGGCAAACAGATAACATACAATTGTACTACTAAAGCAATCTTTTCTCCAACAGCTTCCTGGCTGTACAATGCCACCACACCACATCATACTAGACTGCTGCTTTTACATTCTACCACACTTGGGCAATATGATCCAGTCTACCAGTTCTTCCATACACCCCAGCCCAGGGGAACCTTGGCAAACTGCCCTCGGGCAGACCCCGCGGGCAGGCTAGCAGAGGAAACAACAGAATAGAAGTTCTTAGGCCTGGCAGAAATGGCCTCAAACACTGCCTTGTAGCTCTCTCCATTGGCTGCTGTCAGGCCACTCACGTTCTGCCACGTGCCATTGAAGCTGTAGGTGTAGACAGGCACGGCAGCAGGCTTGGCGCCGACCCCGAACCTCCTTGCACCCTGCCCCCAGGCGTTCCCTGTCGCGATGGCTCCCACGGTACCAGTGACGTTAATCCACGTGGCAGAAGGTGAGAGGTCGAGCACAACAGGGCCTGAGGTCTTGGCGGCCCCGCTGTTGATGGTAACCGTGGTTGGGATCTCTGGGGAAGAAACCTGGATGGTTACATTGTAACGGATGTCGAAAGTAGAGGTGTTGGTTTTGATGAGGGCGAGGCTGAGGCGTCCAGCAGAGTTGACGTCGCCGGTAACTTGGCCGGTCTGGTTGACGATATTGACGCCCAGGAGAACCGCCTCTACTGCGCCTGCAATCTTGGGCGGGAACTTGTACTTGGCGCTGTTGTTGTTGGGTTTCTGGCAGGCGACTTGCGAAATGGCAAGGAGAGATAGAAGGACGACAGACAGGGCGGTTTTGCTGAAGCCCATAGTTAAGATACTCGTTCGAGACGTTTTGGGGAAGTTTAAGTGAGGCTTGCAGGGCTATGCTTGGTGACAAGAGCTAGGAAGCTTGCAGAAAGCTGGTAACTAGTGTTGATCGGGAATGAATGCTCTGATGTGTTTGGTGATGACTGGAAAGTGTGGTGGTTCCAAATTTATACATGTGCTGGTTCTTCTAATTCTCAAATGGAGCCATTTCTATCCCGAGTCGGGCTGTTGAAAGCCCGCGCCGCATGAAGCTGTGCTGTACACAAACAACATGGACCACCGTCCGCGAGTGGGCGATTTGTTGACGGTGACACGTTACCTTTGGATGGAAACTGGCTTCGCAGAAGGATGCGAAGCTCGCAGGCCACTCGTTCAGATTGTCGCGACGTCAAAGCCACCACAATGTAGCTCCCGTTTCCGGTTGCCGACAGTCGGTCTATGTCGCCTCGCCAACAATGGTGCTGTAAATTCTTCGCTCGGCGCCGTCAAACCGTTCGAGCAGGGTCTAGGGTAACTTCGCAATAACCTCGTTAGTGCCAACTTCGTATCCTCACCTGTTACTGTAACGAACTCGCATCTGCGATGTGAATGTCGTACGTGGCGTAGTGTTATCGAGTTAGATCCCTATTCCAATTTCATTGGGTGGTATTAAATCCACGTGTCCTATACTGAATGGACAAACATTGCTTTATCTGCGATTCCGAAATTGTGTAACTTTATGTCCTCGCGTGCTTCGCTAGCCCCAGCATCGACTGTGTAACACGATGTGGTGTGAAGATGCGAAACCGAGGCAGGCCAGAAACCCTCTAACTAAACCCTCAGCTGGCCAGGAAGTCTGTGGAAGCCACTCCGCCACACGTACGACTCGAGGTTGTCGTCAGGCCAATCATCCTTCGAGAGTCACTTCTGCCGAGCCTCAACCAAATCAGCCTATCTTTGGGCAAACAGGCTCGCCTTCTGATCTTCCCGAACTAAACCACTTGTGGGGTTTGTGGCTGTGTGGGCAGGGCAATCACAACAAAGCCGTACCTCGTTCGCGGAAACGTTCCGAGTGTCAATGTCCGAACCTCATCCGTCAGTCACAGTCACAGAAAGGCAGCTCCTCCACTAGATGCACTGGCTGGAGGGGTTTTCATGACAGGTAAGGTGCGGTTGAAGTCGGTGAAGGAATCGTACCGCTTTAAGGAGCACAGCATCGTATTCAACCGTTGGCACCCAACTAAGAATTGACACGCCTGATCTGCTCGATTTCTGATTTAGGAAGCTGTGGCTCTCTTGACAGTGGTCTTCTGATTCAGCATCCCAGCCGCCGCCTTGGGAGTGTCACTTGGCTTGTTTGGCTCTTATCTCGGTGATTCTGTGCCGATCCCGCTGAAGAAGCTGATCGGTTTATTTCTTCGCACTGCTATAAAGTCCTGAATTATCCGGATAACGTAGCAGTGTGCAGCAATTGCTCCTTGTCGCCGGGTTTAGTTTGTTTCAGAGCCTGTTCATTCTCGTCCTAGGTCCAGAGAGCATCGTAACGTATCGACCTAATCAGCGAAATCTTAATCGACGGTCAAGATGGTTGGGATGCAGATCGACGAGCTTCTGACCTCAGACGAGCATGCCGTCGCCAAGACTAAGATTATCTGCACTCTCGGGCCGAAATCCCGAGAAGTCCCTATCCTGGAGAACCTACTTCGCGCGGGAATGAGCGTCGCGCGCTTTAATTTCTCCCACGGTTCGCACGACTACCATCAGGAGACCCTGGACAATCTTCGCACAGCGTCCGCCAATACCGGCATCATGTGCGCCGTGCTGCTGGATACCAAGGTAAATTAAAACGTTGTTAGGTTATTAATGCTTATGTATCGATAGCGACCCTTTTTCAAAGGTCACCTGAAACATTCCTTCATCATGTGTTTTAGCAGCATATATTCATCGATTTTTTCTCTCACATCTGAACATTTATTGGTGTACTATCCGGCTTTCTATTGGCTTTATCCAGCAGTGGCCGTGTTCTATAGAATCCTTACATAGCCTTATACTCCCGGCAGCAATTGCCTTCCTCGGCTCGACGCAGAGTGCTACATATCAGTCGCCATCGCTCCCGACAAATGACATTTCCACAGGCCCCCTTCCAATAGCATTCTGTCTGCGACATTCAGGCCTCCGGTGTGCTTGCCGCAAGAGCGGAGACTCGTATAGCTGCGCACGGGGCCCACCAGAACCGCACAGCCATGCGAACATGACCACGCGCGAACCCTATCCCCCCCAACCCCATTCGCATCCCCGACTCCGTCCACCCCCACTTCAGGGTCCTTAGAACATTATACTTAATTCCAGATTTATTATCTCTTGTTTCCCATCCATTCCATCCAACCCCCCCATTTCCCGCCCTCCCCTTCGTCCCTTCCACCTTACCAGGGTCCGGAGATCCGCACGGGGTTTCTGAAGGACGCCAAGCCGGTGCAGCTGGTGAAGGGGAACGAGGTGACGATAACGACGGACTACGACACGCTGGGCGACGAGACCACCATCGCCATGAGCTACAAGAGCCTCAGCCTGCCTGGACTCCTGGGTCCGTCGTCAATTTCGAGGCTAATTAAAAGACACCCCCCACCCCTTGTTACCCCTTCCACCCCCACCCCGCATCCCCTCGCTCTCTTTCCGCTCTCCCAGGGTCCGGAGATCCGCACGGGGTTCCTCAAGGACAGCAAGCCGGTGCAGCTGGTGAAGGGCAACGAGGTGACGATAACGACGGACTACGACGCGCTGGGCGACGAGACCACCATCGCCATGAGCTACAAGAGCCTTCCCAGCGACGTCAAGCCCGGCGGACAGATTCTCTGCGCCGACGGGTCAATCACGCTCAGCGTGATCTCGTGCAACCCCGCTGCAGGGTGAGAAGCCGGTGCTACTTGTGGGGGATAATGGATGATATTTAGGCGCTTCATAGGTTGCCCCGATTTCCGATTCTTTTGGGATGCCTCAGGAGAGGTTGAGCGGGGGGAACTGGTTTTGTGTGCGGATGGGACGGGTCCATCGCGTGGTAAGAGAGGGTGAGAGGTTGGTACCAGTCGTGGTAATGATTGCCTCAACTATTGTTTTGAGGCGCTTCAATAGGCGTGAAGCTGGAAGGACAAATTGAGATCGCCGACGGGCCCATCCCGCCAGGCTCAGCGCGATTGTGTATCCCCAAGGAAGGCTGAGAGGCTGGTGCCAGACGCAGGACGGGCGGGAATTCGGTTCTGCTACTGGGGTAGTGCAGGGCGAGCGGAAGAACGTGAGGTGGTCACGCTTCTCCGCTGTGCGGTTCCCTTCCGCCGCCATCCCCCTTCCCTCCACCTCCCTGTTTCAACGGACAATTGGCAGCATGTTGCGGTGCTGGTGTCCCCTTATCCACATCACTTCCGCTCTCGTCCCCCCTTCCCCCACATGTGGCTGGCAGCACGGTGCAGTGCCGGTGTGAGAACACGGCGGTGCTGGGCGAGCGCAAGAACGTGAACCTGCCGGGCGTGATAGTGGACCTGCCCACCATCACGAGCAAGGACGAGGAGGACATCATGCAGTGGGGCGTGCCCAACCGCGTCGACTTCATCGCTGCGTCCTTCGTGCGCAAGGGGTCGGACCTTGGGATCATCCGCAAGCTGCTGGGACCCAAGTTCAGCAAGTCCATTCAGATCATCTCCAAGGTGAGCGTGAGATGAAACGCACGCACGGGAGAGGAGAGAGTAGGGCAAGGCGAGTCGGAGGTGAGATGTACAGGAACTCAGCTTCACTGTAGGGTGTGCGGGTTGGAGGTCTGTGAGTGTTCACAACGTTCTGCATAAGTGTAATGGCATAATGCTGAACGTGCGACACATTGCCTTGTGTGCCTGTGACGTCCCTACCAGGTGGAGAACCAGGAGGGGCTGGTGAACTTTGATGACATTCTGCGCGAGTCAGACGGCATCATGGTGGCTCGAGGTGACCTGGGCATGGAGATCCCCATCGAGAAGATCTTCCTCGCGCAGAAGATGATGATCCACAAGTGCAACGCCGCAGGTGAGGCAGAGGCTTGTAGTGAAGTGCGGTGTATTGAGATGTTTAGTATAGCTACAGAGCGCCCCATTGAATAGATCTTGCACGGAAGATGATGATCCACACGTGCAACGCCACGAGGAAGTGCAATGCGTGTAGGGGGTGAGGCTTGTAGAGAGGGACATTGTAAGGGCTGGCCATTGTTGTGGTGGGACGTTTAATGAGGAGAATGGGAAAGGAAAAGCAAAAACGTCATGTGCATGCTTCTCCCAAGGCATTCCATAACCAGCATCCTACCCCAATCCCCAACCTCCACCACCCTTCCCCCATCCGTCTCCGTTCCTCCCTCGCCAGGAAGGCCAGTGGTGACAGCCACACAAATGCTCGAAGCCATGACGAGAAATGCACCCGCCCCACGCGAGCCACACACATGAACCACGTCACATCCCCCACTCTTCCCAACCCCCGCCCTCCCACCCTCCCTCCACAGGCAAGCCCGTGGTGACAGCGACCCAGATGCTTGAGTCCATGACCAAGTCGCCCCGCCCCACGCGCGCCGAGGCCACGGACGTGGCGAATGCAGTGCTGGACGGCACGGACGCCGTGATGCTGTCGGGGGAGACGGCTGCGGGGTCGTGGCCCGTGGAGGCCGTCACTGTGATGGCACGCATCTGCCGCGAGGCGGAGGCGTCGCTGGACTACCACTCCATCTTCAAGACCATCATGGCCGAGGCCGCCATGCCCATGAGCCCGCTCGAGAGTCTCGCGTCCTCTGCCGTGCGCACCGCCAACAAGGTGACTTTTGCTCCCTGCTTTTCCTCACCTCAAACGTCCTTATCCTCCTATTTCTCCACATTCTCCCCCCTCTTTTATTTCTCCCTCGCCCTTCCAGGGCAATCCCCTCCCCTTCCCCCCTCCCCCCTTCTCCTTTCCCCAATCCCCCCTTCTCCTTTCCCCAATCCCCCCTTCCCCCTTTCCCCCTACCCCCTTCTCCCTTACACAATCCCCCCTTCTTCCATCTCCCCTCCCCTCTTTTCACTCTGCTCGGTCATATCAAGTCCCCTACCTGACTCACTGTCAAATGCTCTTCTTCACCCACTCCACCGTCACCCCCCGCCCCTTGCGATCATCCCCCCCCAGGCGCGGGCGGTGCTGATCATTGTGCTCACCAGGGGAGGCTCCACCGCCAAGCTAGTGGCCAAGTACCGCCCACCCATGCCCATCCTCTCTGTAGCCGTCCCCGTTATGACTTCCGACGACCTCACGTGGTCTATCAGCGACGAGTCTCCTGCCAGGCATGCGCTTGTGTGCCGCGGGCTCGTACCGTTGCTGGCGGAGGGGGCTGCCAGAGCCACGGATTCGGATACGACTGATGAGCTTATCTCTGCGGCATTGAGAGCGGCTAAGCTGAGGGGGTTCTGCCGTGAAGGGGAGTCGGTGGTTGCGCTTCATCGCATCGGGAATGCGGCTGTGATTAAAATCATCTCGGTGAAGTAATGTGGAAGAGGTGTTTCCTTCGAATGATTTTATTAGCTATTTTCTTGCACTCTGTACTACCTCCGGAATCTAGTCCGGAAGTTGTAGATTCCTGTCAATCATGCCTGCTTGAGTTTGGGAACATTGGAGCATATATCCAATAGACTCCTGTTTCTATCTCACCAATCTTAACGGTATATTCTAATTTCGGACCGTAGTGTCTCCTTGTAGAGGGTTTCTTGTTTTGTTGAGCACATCAGCAGTACTTCCTCTTCCTGCGACGTTCAAGCGTGGCGACTATTGGTTGACGAGACGGTTACATGTGAGCATGAATTGGTAAGGTTCCCCAGGCAAACGTGTTCTGGCTCTTCTCCCCCCAACTTTTCGTCAGTTCGCATGCACGATTCTCACTACGACCAGATGGCGACTCGTATCGACAAATTCGACAGGCAGGCACAGACGACAAGCGAGGAACCAGACGACCCACAACATCGTATGCGAAATCAACATACACTTTCGCAGATTAGTGACACCTACCTCTCTTCTCCAAATATATCCGCGAAAACCATCACCGGGAATTCCGCCAAACCAAAATGCGGAGCGCGCGAAGTTACGCAACCAATCTAACGCGATTCGATGAATTCATCTCCTTCCACCCACCCATCTCCCCATCACCAGATTCTCCATCTTCTCAAAAAAACGTCTACCTCGCTCCATCCACCTCGACTCCCATAGTTTTGCCTGAATCAACTTCAGAATCTATAGAATTATTCGTCTCCAGGAGCCAGATCTAATTCGTTTGACTCTCATACGTCTCCAGAATGCGGAAATTAAGCATGCTCATCGTGAGACGGGCACTGTTAGGCATCGTCATTCTCCTCCTGCTTTCAGGTACCTGAAACAATGTCTGAACGCGACTCGCGTATGGTGCAGAAAAATGAGTCCGCGACTACCGCTGCTCGTTCTATATGGCTCTCTTAATCGTTGCGCTTACGCCAATCACTCATGCAGGCGCCTTAGCAAAAGGGAACGGAGGTGGCGGCGGGAAGGGGAAAGGCAGTGGAAATGCTAAAAACGGCGGGAGTGGCAAGGGAGCAGGGAAGGGCAAGGGCGGCAAACTGTTTGGCTTCTTGGGCGGCCGGACCCGCGTTCTCGGTGAGTGAATTTGTCGTTTTCGTGAACAGCCTGTACGCTGGGGTGAAATTGCCTTAGTATGATGTTGGAAATATTGTATATAGTAGTGTTGTTTTCGCAAGCAAGAGTAACGCGCATAACCTTTCACGACGTGGTTACGCGCACAGGCTCGGTGCAAGCGAAGCTACAAGGAAAATTCGTGGTGGACGATATGGGTGCCAGCGCGGGTGCTCGCAACGCGATTGGCACACTGACTTTGGTTTCACTCAGGTACGAGCGAGATTCTAGTATTCTGTGTCGTCTCAAGAGATTTGAGCGATTCGTGTCGTCTTCCCCGCAGCGGTGATCGCGGCCTTAAATTCGGTGCTTAGCCAGTGACGGACAGCGGATTGACGAGGGATGGACGCCTAAATGACGCCGGATCACCGCTTCCCGCGCCCATGGGCGCTCTTCTCCTTTCACTCTGTCCCATCTCCTCCCTCTCCCCTCCCTCACCTCTCTTTCTCGCCACCTTCTCCCCTCCCTCTCCGCTCTTTCTCGCCACCTTCTTCCCTCCCTCTCCGCTCCTTCACGCCTTCCCCACGCCTTTCTCCTCCAGCAACGGGACCATCACGTTCACAGCGCGTCTTGAACTGGCACAGCCCGAGCGCCCTTCCTCCATCTCCATCAACACCGCCGCCAAGGGCGCCACGGGGGACGTCCTTATCGACCTCTCATCTGACGCCACGTGGCAGAACGTGACTGACATGGTCATTATAGCGAAAATGGCCAGGCCTGGGTTTGGTTTGGATCGGCCGGACCGGAATCCGTACGTGTATGTTTTTAAAGGGTCGTGGAGATATGCAGCAGCATTGACTACTACAGACGGGTCTACTTATAAGGAGGTGTTTGATGAGATAAGCAAGGCCCCTGCGGCATTCTATGCCACAGTCGAGACAGAGAGGTTTATATACGGTGCTGCTCGCGGGCAGTTTGCAAAGCCTAGCCGTGGCTTGGGCATCCTCAGAAAGGCCCGCAATTGAAGAGTGTATCAGTGCATGTTGTGGTAGGTTCTGTTTGGCATAGTCAACCATGCCACTCCTTCTATTCAATCAGGAATTGTGCTGTGGAAATAGTTACCGTGAATTTAGTACCATGAAGCCTTCTTGAATGGTATTCCACGTTCATGAAGCTTGTGAGTGGAAGGGCACAGGCACGATCAATGTGAGTTTTAGAGGTCGAGTCATGAGCAGCAGCTGCAATAACGATGTCAAGCAGCATGTGAGGATGACATGGCATGCATTACGGTATGATGTGGTGTGGCGTTGCAAGAAAACTGTGCTGCTGAGGTAGCAACACATTACGGTAACACGATGCCAGCCACATGATCACTCCCATGACTGGCCGGCACAGCTGGTGCAGTGCCACTACCACTGCACCAGCTGCTGCTGCTGCCATTTCCCCCCTTCCCCCCCTTGCCCCCCCCGTTCTTATTTCTCCCTGCCACTACCATTGCTGCTGCCACCCCTCTGCTTCTTTCATCTCCCCCAACTCCCCTTTTGCCCCGTTCTACCCATTTCCCCCTTTCCTACTAGCCCCCGTCACACCCGTTCCCCCCATTATCCCAGTCCCTCTGTTATCCTGATTCATGCCATTCCACTCCCCATTCCCATCCCCCACCCGCTCTTCAATTGAACCTCATTCCCTCCCTTCCCACATTTCTACTTCCTCTCGTGATCTCCATTCCCCTCGTCATTCCCATCCCCCCCGTCATCCTCATTCCCCCCATTATCCCCATTCCCCCCATCCCCCCCATTTCCCCCCTCCCCCCCGTGCAGGGCGACTTTGAAGACGAAGGTAGCCCAGTTGCTCCACTCGGTGCGCGGCTGCCCCGCCACGTACTGCACTGCCGCCCACGCGTTGCCCTCCTCGTCCACCGTCGCTGTCATGTAATCGCCGTAACGATGCTCCGTACCGCTCAAATACCCTGCGCAGGACGGAGACACGGGCAGGGGGTGTGCGAGGGGAGCGACGGGTGGTCGCGGGAGTGGAGGACTTTTGAGGCGCCTCAAAAGAGGGGAGGGACGGGTGGTCGCGGGAGTGGAGGACTTTTGAGGCGCCTCAAAAGAGGGGAGGGACGGGTGGTCGCGGGAGTGGAGGAGCGCGGGGAAGCGACAGCAGAGCAAGCAGCAGCGAGCTCACCCCTATAGTCATCGAGAGGCGCCTTCCCCGCGCCCACAACGTTGATGCGGCCCACATCCACATTGGCGTTGAGAGTGGCATAGGCAGCTGAGGGGTAGAAGGACCGCCCTGCCAGCGACGCTGCCATGATGCCCACGCCTCGGCTGCACAGGGGAGTGCGGGGTGGCAAGAGAGAAAGACGACGGGTTGGATGCTGTTATCTCGCCCGTGTCGTGCCAGCGGAGGGAGGGGAGTGAGGGGATGGCAAAGGGTGTGAGAGGTGAACGAGATGGGGCTTGGGAGATGCCTTGCAGTTCCAACAGAGAGTAGAGGAAAGAAGAGAGGAAAAGAGCAAATTTGTCTATTTTTTCTCACCTGTTGAGAGCGATGGTGCCCTGAATGAGGCTGTTTCCTCCGCCCACCCCCACCACTTTGAACCGCTCCAAAAACACCCGGAGCGTGCGCCACTTGCGGTTGGGCCTCAGAGACAGGCGAAGCCTCGCCACCACGGCAGAAGCACTCATGTCCTTGCCAAAGGCGGACATGAAGCTGATCCACATGTGCCTGCTTCCCGGATTCACCACCACCCCTCTTGCATCGATCTCCGAGGGGCCGATGGGCTTGATCGTGCTGTTCATCTGCCAAGCTGTGGGCACAGGCCCGGGTTTCTGGTCCACAGGCAGGGGAATGAAGAACGGCGGGGTGTTGACGGCAGCGCAGTGTGGCTCAACCAAGCTCTCGGCTTCAGGGGACCCCAGAGCGCTTGTACCCGTTATAGCAAAGGCTCCAATAGTGGTGTAGTTAGCGACAAGCACGGTGTCGTCGGGAAAGCCGGGGTATCCCGTCCAGCCGAACCACATGGTGCCTCCGTGGTGGTAGTCGTAGGCCCCGTCTGCAGCGACCTTCTGCGGGTGGATGCTGTAGGCTGGGGCGCTGAGGGCCGATGCTCGGGGCACGGCCAAGCGCAGAATGGTCGTGCTCTCGGGGGCTTGCAGCTGGGCCTTGGCGATTGCACTGGGAGGGAGGGAGGGAGGTGAAGGGGAGAAAAAAGGAGTGAGCAAGGATGGGAGGAAGAGGGTGAAGAGGAGTTTAGAGAGTGATGAGTGGGGAAGGGCAGGAGGAGGTTAGAGATCGATGGGAGAGGAAGGGGACAGAGGTTAGAGATTGATGGGAGAGGAAGGGGACAGAGTTTAGAGATTGATGGGAGAGGATACCACCATGCCACCAACGCTGCAAGTCGCGGTTGCAACTTGCAAGGATGGTGGTGTGAGCTCATTCATTCCCCACCCCAGACCTGCGAACGCATTTACTTTGGAGCTATGACTCACTTGAGCACGAGATTCTGAGGACTCACTATATGGACGCCCCGAAGCACGATGACTCGTCCTCTGAATACTGGTTCGCTGACACATACACTCCTGGAGGGGGATGAATGAGAGGGGAAGGGAGGAGATTGAGGAAGGGGAAGGAAGCATGTGTAAGGAGTAAATAGGGGTCTGTCAAGGAAACATGTCCCAGATTGAGACGCCTCAAGGATTGAACTGGCACATGGCATGGGCAAGAGAGCACATGGCATGGGCAAGAGAGCACGTGGCATGGGCAAGAGAGCACGTGGCATGGGCAAGAGAGCACATGGCATGGGCAAGAGAGCACATGGCATGGGCATGAGTGGACACGGCATGGGCAAGAGAGCAAAAAGAATAGGGTTGAGTGCACCTAATAGCATAGGTAGTCCACAGATGGGAGCGTGCACATGGGACGGGCGTATGGCAGAGACAAGAACGTAGAAAGCATGGGCATGAGTGCACACACATACCATAGGCATCGGTGCCGATCTGAGGGTAGTCCACTGATGGGGGAGGGGAGGCAAACGGGAGAGAAGGGGAGAAAGGCACAACGGAACAGGGATGGTTGGGCTGGTGACAGTAAGAGGGGGAAACGAAAGGAGTGGGGGGTCGGGAGGGACTTGCCATCACCCATTCTATACCATACCATACCATTCCATACCATACCATACTATCACCCACACCATCACATGCAACCAAGCCAGCACACATGCCGTCATTCAACTTACAAAACGTGGTGAGGCGAGACGTGTTGAAGTGGAGAGGTGCCCTCCAGTCCGGATTGGAGTTGATGCCGTCGTTGCTGGGAGAGGGGGGGAGAGGGGTGGAGAGGAGGGGAGAGAGAGGAGACAGTGGGAGTGAGAAGGAGGGAGTTGGAAAGCGAGAGAAGCGGGGAGGTTGGGGAGCAAGGAGAGCAGCACAGAGGAGGGAACCTAATCAGTCTGGAATGGGGCTGCCGTTGCAGGAAGGGGCATGCATAGAGCAACGGATAAACGTGAGAAATGGTAAGAAGTGAGTAAGCGTGAGAAAAAGGGTAGAGGCAAAAAAAGGTGAGACCAGAACACATGGAGCAAAAGGATGAAAAAGGATGCGGAGAGGAGAGGGAAAATGCTGAGGACAAAAAGGAAGCGAGCGTACGAGCCGGGGATGAAGAAGAGGTTCCACTTCTGGGTGGGGTCGTCGGTGGTTGTCGCTGCCACTATCAGCCCTGCGCCCACTGTCACGTTGCCTCGCCTCCTCGTCTGCCCAAACTTGTCGTACGTGTTGTTGAATCCCCCCGACTGCTCGTGGGGAGGATGTGAATGCGAATGCGACAAGAGGAGGGGAATTAAATGAAGAGAGTGAGATAGGAAAACAAGAGGGAGGGAAAAAGAAGTTGAGAGATAGAGGACCAGAAGCATCACCAGCCACTCACAATCCAGTAGCTCGGCCTGGCAGTCGTATGTGCATGTCATGTCTCGCAGGCCGTCTCAGAGTAAACAACCAGCAGCACCCAGCAGCACCCACTAGCACCGCACTCTTCAACCCGCCAGCCACTCACAAACCACATGGCGGAGAGGAAGAAGCGGCTGGCCCGGCGGTCGTACGTGCACGACATGTCGCCGATCTTGTCTCCCAGTATCGACTCGCTGATTGGATCCCTCTTCTCCACCACCCTTGGCAGCACCCCAAAGAACTGGCGTGAGGGATGCGGAGGAGGAGATGAAGCAGGAGAGCGATTGAGATGCGGCACGCATAATGCTATAGAGGGGGGGAGGGGAGGGAGAGAGTTTACTTTTGCGTTGACTCATACTGCTGCGTGCATCATGCCTTATAGGGGGAGTGGAAAAGAGGGAGATAGGAAGGGAGGAGGAAAGGAGGACAGGGAGAGAGCACAAGGGCAGGCAGAAACCCCGGACTGGGATGAAGATCTCTGGACCATTTAGTCGAAAGCGGATTGGCCAGCAAATGTGGGCTGATATGACTGCACTCGGCACTTGACTGTGTCAGCACTTGCCTCGTTGTGTGGGATAATGCGAGTGAGCTGCTTCCCTTGCTTGTCATACACAACCATTGCTGCGGGAGAAGCGGAGGGGGTGATGAGAGGAATGTACCAAGAGGAGTAGAGGGCGTTGGTGGAGGAGGAGAAAGTGCGGAAAGGGAATGGAGTAGGAAAAGGGGAGGAGAAACAATTAGTGACAGAGGAAACAATGTGCGAAGGACGCTTTTGAGGCGCCTAAAGAATCGAAACAGTTGCGAAGGAAAGGAATTCTTACCTGTGTTGACAAGATGAAGGATGTAACCGTTGCCCACACAAAGGGCGACGTCAGGAGGAGTTACACGGACCTGAAACGCAACAGGGAACCACATCATTGATGCGCGGAAGTTGCTGATTGAAAGGACAAGTAAGCCGTAAATGTATTAAAGAAATCATTATTGAACAAACAAAATTTACCACTGTATTGTTGTATTTAGGAGCTGTACCGCTGTTAACCTCGTCGTACTGGCTTATACCGGGAAACCCAACCGCCGGTTTCCGCTTCACCACTTGTTTCAGCTCCGTCATGCGCGCCGAAAATTCCCCCACCTCCGCCAATCGCTGCGCCTGTTTTGGGAAAAGGGCGGAATATAACTTTTCAGATTGCCACGCTTTGCGGGAAGCGTTGGTATAGCGCAACGCACTATTTTGCAACCAGCTAGAAAAGAACGTCAAGAAGGGTCGAATCATACAGTGCGAGATATCTATTGTCTGAAATCGCACCTGAACTTTTTATCCAGAGCCCGTGAAGCATAAATCTTCACTGTGACTTGAACTTGCACCTTTAAACCAAGCCTACCATGGGATCCACAGCGGGCGCGGGCGCGGGTGCGGGTGCGGGCGCGGGTGCGGGTGCGCTAGCAGCGGCATCTTGCAGCTTCCGCTCGCTCCGATCCTCGTTGTTGCCCCCAACGTTGCCGTCGCTGCCGTTGTGGCTCGCCGCGCCTTCAGGCGCCGCCGGCGGAAGCTGCGCGGTTCCGGCGAACCAGAGGTTCTCCGCCAGCTTGAACACCTCCACGCGGTCCTTCGATCCGCGCATCGGCGCAATCACGACGCGCGTCGCCGCATCCGCTCCCCGCGGCGGAGCTAGCAGCAGTAGAATCGTGAGCAGCAGAGCGGCGTGACGGTAGCCGCCGCTGAGGCGCGGGGAGGCATGCGGCGGAGCCATTGCGCTTGAAACAGGCAGCACCTTGGTGGCCTTCAATCGGGGAGCTGGAGCATTGACTTGCTCCAGATTGAGTCAAACCGAATGCCATCTTCACTAAGGGCGCTACTCTAAATACTTCGCAATCGTCAGAACCGCTCCAAAAATCGACCATTTCGTTTGGTCGTTCCCGCCTTCCACGCCAGTGCCTGCGCCCGCCTCTTGGATTTCCACAATTGAAAAAACGGCTGCGCGCTACAGTTTGGGAAAAGGCGGCTTTCTGATGATCCATTTCTCCATCAAATCCATGCCAGAACCAGAACAGGTGCCTCATCCTTGCACTAATTTTGCCACAGCCAATTTGCGCAGCCGATCGTTTCCAGCCAACCAAAACCAACCTGAGGTGGGACAACTATCAGAAGGGGATTATGCGAGCTGACTGGACTGAGCTGTTTACAAGTATGTGGTCGTGTCGCAATATGCCGCCGCCATGCGGCTTGACAATACAATACAATGCAAAGACGGCTGCTCTGTGGGGTACAGTGCATGCAATTCTTTGATGCCATCTATACTCGATATCATCGTACAGCTGAACAAGACACATTCACACTTCACAAGTCTGAATCAATCTGATAATGATTCATTGATTCATTAATCTCTCAGAATCCTAACAAATACTAGTTATTTCCTGTACCACATTTGGCCTCCCATCTTTTCCACCACCACCAGTTCTAGTGCATGCATTTCACCACCACCAACCGATTGCACGTTAACTAACCAACTCCCATGCCAGTCTAAAACACAAAGTTCTCCTCCACAGAAGAGTCCAAATCCAGGTTGAACCCTCCCTTGGACACAATCTCCGAGAGCGAAGCTGCCGTGTCGTCGTCAATCCCAAGGAGCTCGCGCATGCGGCCCGCAGCGCTGCTCTCTGCGTCGTGCTTGCTGAGGAAGAGCGAGTAGAGGTCCAGCAGCTCCTCCTTCACCGACCACTTGAGTGCCTCCGATGCCGAGTCCGCCTTGTCGCACGCCAGCATGTTGTTCAACACCGCCACCTGGGAGATTGGATGGGAGGGAATAAAGCCAAGCCATGTGCGCGAGGCAGAGGAGGGCGACGAAGGGGTTTCAACCAGGTGACTTCTGCGTGGTCACACGCCGGCATATTGTTCGGAACAGCAATTTGGGAGATGGGAGGGGGAGGCAGGTGCCAATCGAGCAATGTGAACGAGACACAAGCGGATGAGACACGGGACAATCCCATCCCTCCACCCCCCATCTATCCCCCATCCAACCACCCCCCATCACACCAACCCCCATCCCACCATACTCCATGTCACCATCCCCCATTCCCCCCCCCACATCCCACTGGCCCCCATCCCATCCGTGCAGTGCACGCACCACGAGGTCGGGCTTCTTCTGCCGGAGGTTCGACACGGCCAGCACCAGCGACCCCTTGAGCCGCTCCCGCGCTATCTCCTTCACCGTCTTCCGCGCCACCTCCTCCTCCAGCCCCAGATCCCCCGGCAGCTTCTCCAGCAGCTCCTGCTCGTCAAACTCCCCTGTGCCCTTGTCAAACTCCTTCTGAACAAGCTTGGAATACATCTGCAGGCGAACCTTCTCCGCCACCATGCTGCCGATGTCCACGCCGCTCTCCTTGAGCTGCTTCACCTCGTCCACGCTCAGCCGCCCCGCCTTGATCGCCGCGTCGATCGCGCCCGCCATCTTCGTACTCGTTATAGACTGCACCACCTTCTGCGCAGCAGCATCGGGGAGTCCCAGTTCCCGCTGCATGATCTTGAGCTGCTCTGCACGGGCCTTGGTCAGCTGCCCGTCAGCCAGCAGCGTCTGTGCTTGCACCTTAAACGCCTGCTCCGCCAGACCCTGATGCACAGACGAGACCTCCGGAGGGGTCAACCCGAGAATATCTCCGAGCTGTGAGAGGCGGACAAAATCCGAAGTGTCCCTCTGGACAGTGAGGCTGGTGCCCATGGGCATGCCGGTGGTGTCCCCTTGCAGGCAGAACAGCAGGAACGACTTGTACAGGTCCAGGCGCTCCCTCAGATCCAGGTCCTCCTTCACAGACACTTCCTTCTGAGCCTTGCCCTCCTTCTGCTGCCCCTTGGTCTTCTTCATAGACTGCAGCAGCGGCATTTCATCATCATACCCCTCCTCCTCTGCCTCCTTCTCCTCCTCCGTCTTAACCTCGGCTGTCACGGCCGGGCCCGAGCCTTCGCCGGTGGCTGCCGAGCCTGCAGGCTTGGCAGCAGGCTCGTCGGTCTTGCCTCGGATGTCATCGAGCAGCTGAGAGACGGTGAGGTTGGAGAAGATGACCATCTTCTTCAGCTCCCTCGCGCCCTCCGCGCGGCTCATGGTGCCGCGCGCGCGCTTGATGTACGTCAGGAACACGGCTCGCACCTAACAAGGGAGGGACATTTCAGAAGAGGGAGAGGAGGGGGGGGGGGGGGGGGTGAGGGGAGGAAAGAGACGGTGAGGTTGGAGAGGATGCCCATCTTTATTAGCTCCCTCACACCCTTCTTGAGGGCGAGGGGGTGGAAGCAAGGGCATGGAGCAAGGGGAAGGTGAGATTTGAAAAAACAACTGTACACTCTCGTGTACCCTGTATCTCGCCCACTGGTATAAGGAAATGTCAATGTCAAGTCACAGACTGCACTCACCTTGGTGGCAATGTCAAGGGCAGACTGCAGCGGCAGCCGCAGCCCCTTGACGGCGGCCCTGACAGCATCGCGCTCAGACCTTGCAGCCGCACACCAACACCCACCACAGCCCCCCCTCTCCCCTCCCACACACTCACCGCCTTGGTCGCGATATCCAAAGCCGACTGCAGCGGCAGCCGCAGCCCCTTGACAGCGGCCCTGACAGCGTCCCTCATGTCGCCATCGTAGCCGTCGATGCCGGCGCCGATGGCGTCGTCCACCACCTTGGTGAAGATGCCGCCGCAGATGTCCCCATGCGCCTGGTCCACGGCGGCCTTGGGCACGCACAGCAGCACGCGCAGGCGGTTCAGAGCTGATACGTCCTCGTCGCTCAAAGACTTGTCCGCCAGACACTGCTGCAGCTTCTGCCGGTAGATCTCTGCAAGGGGGAGGGCGGCGGGATGGGGTGGAATTCGGTGGGATGGGATGAATTGGGGTGAAATTTGTTAAACACCCACAATGCACCACTTTACATATTGCCTGTCAATCGCACAGCACAGCACAGCACAGCACAGCACTCCATGCCTTTCGTGGATCTGAGCTGCCTTCTCACGGTCGAACTGCGAATCACAAAGCCTGCAGAACCTCGGCCGTCCAGCAACACACTCCACCGCTTAATACTGCATCAAACCCCAACACACCCCTCAACACACCACTCCATACCTTCATGAATCTGGGCGGCCTTCTCCGGGTCAAACTTCATCGAGTCGCAGAGCTCCTGCAGCACCTCCGCCTTGCTGGCCGCCCGGTCCAGTTCGCCGCCCGTGACGAGGTTCGCCAGCTTGCGGCGGTACACCTTGCGCGTCACCTCGTCCGACGCCTCCTCCGCCTCCCTCTTGCCCATCCCGAACGTGTTCCTCAGCTCCGCTAGGGCCTCCGTCTGCACGAGCGCATGCGGCACAGTTGAAAGGGGGTGGGAAGGGGTCATTCAAGGGAGGGAAGTTGGCGGCGGGAGGAGGAAAGTGAAGGGACGGGATGTGTTTTCGCATGTGTGGCATGTGGGTGCAGTGCGGTGGAGATGGGTGTAATGCAACGCAACGTGCAGCATGTGGTGGTATCTAGACCCACCTGGGCGGAGGTGAGGCGGGGCGCCGTGAGGGCCTCTGAGAGGTACGTCTTGTAGAGCAGCTTCAGATCGTCCATCTGCCTGTCCGTGTCGTACCCGCCACCTGGTGCAGTGCGGTGCAGTGTGGTGGGGATGGATGCTATGAGATGCCATATAATGTGATGGGGTGCAATGCGGCGTGATGCGTGGAAAGAGCATCCTGGCAAAACAGCGATGCACAGGCAGGCATAAAAGTAAGCTACTCAATTTACACAGAAGTTCGCAACCAGGGAGGGGGGGGACGGGGGAGGAGGGGGGTGAAGTAGTGAAGAGCAGGCGGCGCAGAGGGGCGCACCGAAGACGGAGACGGGGCCGATGCCGGGCAGGAGGTCATCGGGAGAAGCGGCCTTGGCGAGGGCGGCCAGGTGCGCGTTGTACGCCCTCATGGCGTCCAGATCGTCCACCACCTGGGCCGTGTCCCTGGGGTGATGGAGAGGGGGGGGGAGGGAAGGAGGGCAAGAGGAGGGGGGGCGCAAGGGAAGCATGGGTACGTGGGTGATGCGTTGAGGGGGTCTGACATCCCCGCATGCCAGCCAGGTGCGCGTTGCACGCCCTCATGGCGTCCAGGTCGCCCACCACCTGGGCCGTGTCCCTGGGGTGAAGGGGACGAGGGGGAGGGACAGGGCGAGGAGCGGGAAGGGAGGGTGAGGCGCTTTGAGGGGGTCTGACGTCCCCTCATGCCAGCCAGATGCGTGATGTACGCCCGGATGGCATTCAGGTCGCCCACCACCTGGGCCGTGTCCCTGCCATGGTGGAGAGGAGGGGAGGCGGGTGGGGAAAGGGGTGACGCATGGGTATGTATGAGGATGAAGCGTTCTGAGGGGTCTGACATCCCCGGCCACTCATGGCAGGCAGATCGCCCACCACCAGGAGCGGAAGGGGGACGCGGGAGGGAGGAGGGTATGGTTTCACTAGTTAGGGGGCTTGCAGCGTCCCAAGTCTCCTCATACTGGGCAGGCGGCAGGTGCATGCTCCCTCCCTATCAATCCCCCTCTTCCCCATGGCAATCACACTCCCTGTCACAGGGAGAATCTTCTTCACGGGCTTGACAAAAAAGCCTCCCCCTTCCCTCCCCATGTATCCTCCCCCTTCCCTCCCCATGTATCCCCCCTCCCCCTGTATCCCCCCTCCCCATGTATCTCCCCTCCCCATGTATCCCCCCTCCCCATGTATCCCCCCTCCCCATGTATCCTCCCCCCCCCCTCCCCCGTGGCAGTCACACGCACTTGACGCGGGTGCGCGCCTTGAGCACCTCCAGCGCCCCGTTGATGTATTCCTCCACTCGCTTCCGAGCCTCCGCCCGAACCATGTCCGCAGCAAGCTGAGAGGTTCGGAGGGCAGATGGGAACGAGAGTGTGTAGCAGGAGTGTGACTTCGGTTCACATTACACTCCTAACATTTGCTGCATTTAGTCTCCTTTCCAAGTAAAGGCATGAGCTTGATTGGTGCATACCACTAGCGGCGCTGTAATGAGGATTATTATAACGAGAAATCACTGTAACGGGAAATCGCTATAGAGAGTCACTCACATCGTCCGACAGCTTGTACTTCTTCTGCATCGCGCGGAGCTCCTTGAGGTTTTCCACGGTGAAATCTGATTGGTGGAGGGAAGCGGTAGCAACAGACAAGTTGGTAACCGCACAATGCAGTGACCGACTGGATCGTCAGTGACTGAACAAATATAGGGTTCTCGTTTCATACGATACATAAAAAAGAAAGAAGTGTTTTCCGTTTGATGCTTTAGCAGTACCAATCAGGGCGGGAGGAGCAGGGAGGGAAGGTGGGGGGTGGGGGGAGTGGGGGATTGGGAGCTTTGTGAAGGGGTGCACATAAAAAGGTATCGAGGTGACTAGAAAAAAGGCAGCTGACCGCCCTTGGTGGGTCCAGCAGCGCACGATCTGAGAGGCGCCTTTTATACCAGGTGGAAGTGGGAGCACGGCCATTGTCACTCACCTCCTTTCGTGGCGTCGAGCTGCGCCTGCAGCAGCGCCTGCGAGTTGTTGCGCACGGCGATGTCGACCTGCGCGTCGCTCACTTTGAAGATGCGCTTCCACGGCAGCAGGAACTTGGACTTCTCGCCAAACACCAGGTTCGACACATACACCAGCTTCTGGAACGCCTGTGGTAGTAAGGATTGTGATAGGGAGGGAGGGAGTGGCGGACGGGGAGGGAGGGGGGAAGGGAAGGCGGAGGAGGGGGTGTTAGATACCTAGTAACGGGCCTTAACGGCAGCAGGAAACTGGACTCGTCGCAAAACACCAGATACTGGAGAGAGAGCAGTCGCCGGGACGAGGCGATGACGATGGGGAGGGGAAGGGGCGTGGGGGGGACGGAAGGAGGCGTGGGCAGGAGAGGACGAAGCTCTCGCATAGTCTGGTGCCTAAACCCCGAACCCTCGCATGCCACGTCTATCTGAATCCAGACCTGAAGTATCAAATCACGTGTGAGGACTCACGTTCTGTCAGATGTCAACCACCTCTCGGCGATGCCACTTACTCACAACCTACCATCCACCCGCTAACAAGCGTACCGCTTCCAGTCCTACAAGGCCTCTTGCTCCTCTGCAAGCCTCTCGCTCCTTCGGCCACTCCTCGCCCACTTCTCAATCCTTCGCCCGCATCGCGATCATTCGGCCGCTCGCATTCCTTAACCCATCTCGCAATCCTTCGCCCATCTCGCAATCCTTCGCCCATCTCGCAATCCTTGGTCCACCTCGCAAACTTTCGCCCATCTCGCGACCCTTCGCCTACCTGGCGCTCCTCGAAGGCGGCCTCCTTGTCGCCCGTCTCCAACCTCTGACGGAAAATGCGCCGCCCCACCTGCACGGACTCGCACACCATGCACCCATTCACACACGCATGTGCACATGATCGCACACGCACGCACACGCACACGCACGCACACGCATAGAGCCATTAGCTCGATATGAACAGTGGAGTCGGCTTGACATGAACAGCGCTGTTGCTCGATATAGACAGAGTTGTGAGCTCGCTACAAGATAAAAAAAAACTCGATATGAACAATGTTAATGGCTCAATATCAACAGTTCAGGCGGCATACCTCGTTATGAGCAGTTTAATATACTCGGTAAGAACAGCAATACATTCGATATAGGCGGTCCCGTACCTCGATATGAGCAGCAGCCGCATCCTCGCCCTCAAGGCCCATCGACGCCTTGAAGCGCGAGATCAGATCCGACTCGTCGCCCCTCAGCGGCTCGTTGCCGGGCGGAATCACGGACGACACAAATCTGGAGCGCAGGGAGAGGGGCAAGATAAGAGCAGTGAGGGCCGGAACGAGTCTCAGTGACTCGGCATGATAATTCACATAGCATCGGTCCCAAAAGCCTCCGTGTTAGTGCGATTTGTTCCCGTAACTTTATATTTGAGGTGGTGTGAATAAAATAAGGAAAGGGGGAGAGGAAGGAGGAGGGAGCCGGCCAAGTCGTAAAGGGGAAAGGGAGAATGGGACGGAGCAAGAGAAGGAAGACGATGCTTACTTCTCGTAGAGATCCTTCATTTCTGCCCGGTACCTCTCATCCTCCAAGCTCACGCCATACCTGTAAAAGCCACAGAGGCGACCAAAGCCACGAAGTGTTAAATGCTGAGAAACATTCACAACGATCCATAGAATCCGTGTACATTAAATCGACATTATTGCGCAACAATATAAATGACGGAGTGGATTAGGAAAGAAGCTCCCAATTCCAGCTCACTTATTTGCGATATCCGCAGCCTCGCCTCGTCTCAGTTGAAGCGGATCCGATAAGCGCACAAGCGTGTTGTGCAAGTCCGCCGCAGCGACCTCCTTACTCGCCGAATTCACCACGTGCGCGGCTCCAGCGCCAAGCGCGCCGAGCACCACGGCACCAGCCACTTGCCCCACAGGCGGCTGAAACTTGCTGCCGGCTGCGAACCCCACGCCGGCAGAACCAACGATAATCGCGCCGCAGACGGCGTATCTAACTGGCGTCGGCATGCTCTTAACGACGCTGGGAACGCCGGAGAGTTCGACCTCCCGGCCAAAAACGCTTCCGCTGGAATTCCTGCTGGGAGTTGCATCGGCTTGCTCTGCTGCTGCTGCACGGACTAGGGTTTTGCTCGACGCGCTGCGCCATTGCTGAGCTGGCAACGACGTGGCGGGAAAGCTCTGGCGGAAAGGTGTTTGCGTGGCACGGAGGCCTTGAAAGCTTGGAAGCGGCCGCGTTGTGCTTCCTTTTAGGAGGAGCGACTCCATGCCTGTCAACTGCCCTTCCAATAGAAACTAAAGAGACGGTCGAGGAACAGAATATTCTTGATTTTGTTAGGGCACTATAAGTACGGTAGCGAGGCTATTAGGGGTGTGATACCGTTCCCAGCAACAACCCGACGACGTTCGCTAGGCGAAGCGACGGAAGAGTAGAGGCAGAGAAATGAGCGATGAAGCAGATAAGAAAGTGGCGAAAGCAGAGTTCTATGCTTGAAAATAACTTTCAGTACGGTGAGAGGGCTTCGTGTGCGTTTCAAAAAGCATGCGGTATGGTGGAAAGGCTTAAAGCTTCCTGCCTCGGGATTCTCCCAGCCACTCACTGCCTTGTCAATTTGAGCTCGTAATTTGATGATGACAGAAGGTACTCGTTTCAAGCTAGTTCATACAATCGCAATCGCCAAGGAGGCGCTATCCTCACCAACTTTACTGGAGCCCGAATCCCTGGATGCCATGTCAAGGATGGGGAAAGGGGTTGAATGAACTGTCAGAAGCTGCCACGTGGATGATGAGACAACGCAACTGTGGGTGACTGCTTCAATACGCGCCATCAGCGGATTCGTGATCTGCATCCATTGTTCAATACAGTTCTGAATTCTTTACTGTATCAACGGCTGAATGGTGATGGAAAGCCGTTGTGCAGTGGCACACGCAAATATTTGGCGCAAAGCAGAGGGAAGTTGGCACGCCGCCGCAACCACATCGAATCGCCCCCCCCAAGCTGTGATTGTCACTCACATCCCACCACCCCACTCATCCCATCTTGACGAAGGCCCGCACAGAACCACCCCGGCAGAGAGTTTGCTGGTTTGGCGCGGAAATGTGGCACTTTTCAGCCTTGGGATGGGATGGATGGGATGGGATTGGATGACACTTTTCCAATTTCCTGGAAAATTGCTCACTGTCAGCCCTCCAACACCACCACCATCCATGCTCCCGTGGGCATTCCCCTTCATGCATCGTGTAAACTTCCTCGAAGTTGCCATTTTTCCTCATTTCTTCTTGTGAGCCGTTTATCAATCAAGCTAGTTGGTGAAATACCGACAGCAGATACGTGGTGGTTTTCCCCAGCCTCGTCTCCTAGACCGACTACCAGCGCATTGCGAGGAGCTGTTGCATGTTCTCGCGTCTGTCCTATTGTATCTCAGCTAGTGCTGGTCTGTCGAGTCGGAATACACTGCTCTCGATGGTTTTTGAATAATTCAAGCCTAGCCGCGAAATGGCGGTGACTGGTAACAAGCGAGGCCATGCAAGCAACGTCGCCTTCGCGAACGTCGACGGCGCAAGGAAGAAGAAATGCGTCGACATCCACTCGCTGCTTACCGTCACGAAACCGTTGTCTGCTCGGGCTTTAAGCCACGCAGCCAAGAAACAGACAGACCATACGAAGTCGTCAGGCAGCATTCCCGTGAAATTAAGCGAAATTCGCAACGGGAATGGCGCGGGACGAGGAATTGCACAGACGCGACTTGCTACAGAGAGAGGAGGGCTTGTCGACAAGGCGACATGGACGTTCAAGCCCGCTTCGGAGGCACGTGAGAGGGCGAGTGGGAGCAGCCGTGGATCCGCAAGCGACACCGGCGAACAACGAGTGGTGGATCTTGCCGAAGACGACGACGAGCTGTACGAAGATGCAGACGATGTTACTGGGTTACACGGCTTGGATGCGATCAGAGAAGACAGATCGTCGCAGGACGACGAGGAGGACAGCGACGAAGAGAACGAGGAGAGCAGCGACGAGGGGAGCTCTGACGACGAGAACGAGGGGGATGTGGAGGAGGTGGTGGTGGTGGAAGGAAAGGTGCGAGAGGTGAAGCAGCAGCTTCACGGAAGCGACCGCTGCACCGGAGTGAAGTGCTCTGAGCCGCCTGCAGACGCTGAGTTGGACGATTTGAAGTGCTACGAGTGCGGCCGGGAGGACGGCGAAGACGAAATGCTTGTGTGCGACGGACGTGGGTGTAACCGTGGTTACCACCTCTGGTGCCTGCGACCAATCCTCGTCGCCGTGCCGCTCGGCCAGTGGTACTGTCCCGACTGCCGCCGCCCAGCCAAAATCAGAGGTACGGGTTCCGACCGAAGCCAGAGGTACGGCACTGACCTCCCCGTCATCGTACACTGAGTAACCCATCTTCTTGTAACCCGCCCGTATCACACCCGCACTCTCGTCTACTATTTATCTTGCACGCTCTCGAGTCCCCTTAAAGTCGCATGTCTCACACACCCATTCCTCTCAACCCATCCGCACCCCTCTCCCTCTCCTACTCACTCCCCTCCGCCCTGATCTTCCCCTCTCCCGCCGCTCCGCCTCCCCCAAAATCCGTCCCCCGCGGTACCAGAATTCCCCCTGGTGCAGAGCTCGATCGTCGACTTCTTCCGTATTCAGCGCCCCCCTGGCCTCTCACCTGAGAAAACACCTGCCGCGGCAGGCGGAAGCGCCACCAAACCTGATGTAACCCCTGCTACCAGGACACCTGGAAAGAAACCTGTCGTGTCGGGGAGCAGCGAGGGCGATAGCAGCGGGCAGAGCAGCGGAGTTACCACACGGCGAACGGAGCACAGCCGAGGAGCATCAGGCGGCGTCGCACTGGGTGCTGGGGATGCGGCGGCCGAGGGCGGTAGGCGTAGAAGCAGGAACAGCGCAGATGCTGACTGTAGGAGCGTAGGAGCTAGTCAGACTCGCAGCGTAGATGCTGCTAGGCTTAGCATAGACGGTCATGTAGGTGCTAGAAACGTAGGTGCTAACTATAGAGACTTAGGTGCGAGTAACCCTAGTAACGCAGGCGCTTCTGCTAGTAGCGGTTTGGGCGCAAGCAGTGGCTGTTTGTGCAGAACGAAGCGCAGCAGCACTGCCTGCAGAAGCGCAACGGCTGGTGGCGGAAGTGATAACGGCGGGAGTGGGAACGAGAGCATGATCACAGATAGTGACGGCTGTAGGTTAACTGCTAACACAGGCACCGGCAACACTGCTTCCCACTCCAGCAGCAGCGACGTGAAAAAGAGGGTTCCGGGCAGTGGCAGCAGCGGCAGGAGGAAGAGGCAGACCCGAGTGAAGCTGAGCAGAAAGCTGTTCGCCCATCGGCCTGTCCCCGACCCGGAGAGGCGTCTGGAGCAACTTAGGTCCCTAGCCACCGCTCTGACAGCTATTGGGGCGCGGTTCGTGGATGGGCTGGAGTACCCCTTTAAAGCCGTGCCTAGGGGGATGAACGAGCCAGGGAGGGAGGTGGGGGGGATGCAGGTGCTGAGTCGGGAGAACGTGGGTGTTTTGGAGCGGTGCAAAGAGATGTGGAGGAATGGGGCGCCTCCACCGCTGATTGTCAAGCACGACCCTTGCCAGGGGTAAGTCAGCTTTCATTTGCAGGTGTGCACGGTTACCATCTACACATCCCCTACCCACGTCACCTGCATTCTACGCACTCCCTCCCCAGTCATCTTTCATTGTAGGTCGCGGGTGCACAGGAGGCATTCTACACATCCCCTCCCCGCACCTCTCCTGCATTCCACACACTTCATCGCACACCTCACCTCCGTTCCCACTCCCCACGTCCTTCCCTTGATGGCAGCTTCGTGGTGGAAGCGGATGCGCCTATAGCGGATCGCACGATCGTGACGGAGTACGGGGGGGTGGTGGACAGCATGGCGCGGAGGCGGCACGACCCCTGCGATGCCATGATGGGGTTACTGTTCACGGGGCGGGATAAGACGGATCTTGTAATCTGCCCGGATCGGGCGGCAAACTTTGCGCGGTTCATCTCAGGAATCAACAACCACACCAAGTGAGTCGGCTGTGAGACGAGGATAACACGCGTCTGTTCAAGTTCATGAGTCGTACCTAAACTGGGTTTCCAGGCCAAACCCATCTCGTGCCATTCATACCTGGCACTGACACGGATGGATCGTGCACATATGGGTCGCACAAGAAGAGTTTGGCAATACATATCTCGTGCAGAGATGCTGTGCCTGGATAGGAAGTTGGTTGCCCGAATCCTGCCTGTTGTCTGTGTGTCTCTCAGCTTCCTTTCAAACCCTTGTGCCTACTGCCCCTCCAAGCTCACTCCCAAACAGTGGTGTCCCTTGCTGCTTCCCCTCGTTAATGCCTCCTGCACAGTTGTCCTCTTTCCCTCATTATTGTCACCTTGTTTTACCCCTTCTCCCTTCCCTCCTGCTCTCCCAGAGAGGCCTGCACCAACATCAGCCTTCGGAGTATGCCCCCCTCCCCATTGTGAGGGAAGAACCTCTCGCTGTGCCCCCCCCTTCCCTATTGTGAATGAGGAGACCCGATCTGCTCACTGCTTCCAGAATCGGTTACCTCACTCTTGCCCACACTTTGTTTCTCCCCTTGGCCCCTCCCCCATCGCATGTGCCCCTTTCCCCTTCCTCCCTGCTCTCCAGAGAGGGTCGCAGGAAGATCAACCTGCGCTGTGTGCGCTTCAGTGTGGGCGGGGAGGCGCGGGCGCTGCTCATCGCCACGCAGCGGATCGCCAAGGGCGAGCGGCTGTACTACGACTACAACCGCCTCGTGCACGAGTATCCCACCATGCACTTCGAATGACTGCAGTAGCCACTCGTGAACGGGGAGGCGTGGGCTCTTCTGATTGCCACTATTCACTTTGAGTGAGATGGTGCGTGCGTACCGTATCTGAGAAATGTGTGTATTCCACTATCCACTTTAAATGAGACGGTGCATGTGTGCCCAAGCATTGTTAGTATCCGATTCTGCACGTTGAACGAGACTGGCAAAGACGGTGTGATGCTTCAAGTGTCTCATAGTGGTAACTTGATCTCCTCCGCCGGTGGGTGCAGGCTGTGCACATTCCAATCGATAAACGGTAGCCCAGAATGTGGGAAGAGAAACAGTTGACTTATTAAAAAAAAGGAGGAACTACCCTATATGGTATATTTTCATACGGTACCGCATTGCCGGTACAACGAATGGCAACGTATTTCTATGTACAAGTGAAGTGAAGGTTGGCATAACTCATTGACAACCGTGTGGTGGGATGCTCTTGTCCATCTCAATGGCTTCCAGTTCCTGCAGTCGTGCCTGCACACATGAAGAGAGATACAGTGAGACAATGAGACCACAAACTGGCAAGCAAGGCAGCCTCGTCAACAGGTGCCTCAAGCAAAGACCACGCGGGCATTAGTTGCACTGCCTATACTATACGTGTATCGTATGAAACTACTCTTACCTACATAACTGTACTCACTTCCATGCTTCTTATATACTGTGCTGCATTGCTGATGATGGAGCCAAAGTCTTGCTGCCCCCCGAGGATGCCAGCTGGCAGGATGGCCCTCAGTGACTGAAGCGACTCACTGCAGCACACACAATGGGGATGCGGACCCGAAGAGAGTCAGGACACCAAAGCCAGGGGAGTCAGAAGTCACTCAGATATGAGCTGAGAAGAGAGAGGCCGGAAAGGGCCTCCAAGAGGCAGTAGCAAGGGGAACCCTTCAGGAACCCTGAGACAGAAGAAATGCCTCTCATTTTGGTGCATACCCTTGGCGGGTGTTGGGTACGAGAACAAACACAGCCAGCCACTTACGCCATCTGTCTCCTCCTCTCTCTGTCCCTTGCAGCCCGCGGGTGCAGCGACCTCCTGCCTGAGCTCCCCGCAGCACCCGGGTCGCCCCCTTCGCTCCCTGACTTGGACGCCGTGGCTTGAGGCGTCTCACGCAGCAGCCTCCGTCCCACGCTTCCCAAGCCCCCCTGGTCGCTCCTGTCGCTCCCTGACTTGGATGCTGTGGTTTGAGGCGTCTCATGCAGCAAGCTCCTCTCTGCATCCCCTACAGCGATTGTGCCTCCTCCGGGGAGTCTTGTGCTGGTAGCAGCAACAGGCTTGCTTGTAGCCGCAACAACCGTGCTTGTAGCACCACCACCTGTGCTCGCACCAGCGACATCAGAGCTCTCAGCTGGAAAAGCAGCCTCCATTTTTGCTGCAGAAGCAGGGAGTCCCGGTGTGCCAAAAGTAACAGTAGCAGCAGCAGCAGCGCCAGCGACACTGGTAACCGGACCAATGGCATCGCCATTGCCATCTCTGGCAAAAAAGGGACCAGAAACAAACGCGGTAGCTCTCGCAGCAGGAGGCGACATGGCATCTAGACGACGAGCAGCGGGAGCGACGGAACCCTGACGGCAAGAGTCAGGGAAAAAGGTGCCGGCTTCATTGTCCGGCGGAGGCAAGGGAGTTTCGTCCATCAATGCAGCCAGCAGTACTTGCTGTATTTGTGCTTGGCTTAGGAACTCTGTTTCTGCATCTGGCTGCAAAAAATCAAGCGGTCTTGTAGTCACACTGTACAAATTATCCTCGTTACTGGGTAGTTGCGCCGGAAGTGCAGGCACAAGCTGGTTCGGCCTTGTGACTGGTCCATCTGCTGGCTTGGCTGTGCTTTCGGACTCGTCCGCGGTATTGTATGCCTCATCAAGCGCCCTATCAGCTGTACATTTGTGTCGTTTGAAAAATTGGACCAGCGAACCCAATCTGGACTTCCTCCACCGTCCGATGGACTCCATTTCGTCCTTTTGCTCATCTCCGCGCTAGCATCCCTAATCTCATCTTCCCTTTTGTGCTTCGCCAGCGTTCGCACGAGCAGAGGGCGGGTTTCCTGCAGCTCAGCCTTTGGATACGAGTTACCAAGCTGGACGTAGCGTTTCGCCAGATCGCCAAGCAGACCTTGATCCTGCTGCTCGTGGTTGTGCTGCTGCTGCTGCTTCTGCTGCTGCTGGTGCTGGTAGTGCAACATTTGTTCTTGCGACTGTAGCTGCTTGGTTACCAGTTCGCGATTGCCTTCGCCGAAACAGCCCGCGACCTCCGCCGCGCTTCGCAAGTTCGCAAAACCCGCTTTTCCGATTGCGTCACGCTGACCGGGAGCTGAATGAAGGATTGCGTTCAGCTCGTCCGTCACCGTCTTCAGGTCGTCCGTCAGTGACGGTCTTAACGTTTCGCGGCGTCCGAATGCGCCGGCGCTAGAGGAGGCGCTTCCATCGCTGCAAACCGCGGCATAGGAATTATCTTTCGCCGGATTGCCAGCGGATGCTGGGTCTTCGCAACCTCGCGCTCCTAAACCTATCGAACCCCATCTGGGACGAATGTCCTTTCTTTTTCGGGAACCCGTGTGCGACGGCCACGGGGATGAGTGTTGCGAACCGCGAAATCCTCCACTACTTCCGTCTAGAATATTCGCAGCTGTGGCGAAACGACCTGACTCGTTATTGACATTTTCTGCAGCAGCGAGTTCGTCCTTGGCCTGAGAATCACTATCGGAACCCATTGTGCTGGTGGCTGCTTCGACAAGAAAATGCGGCAACAGCTGAGGAAAAGGTAGTGGATGCTTGTTACTCGTAGTGGAAAAGTTCCAAGCGGCCATAAGCAGAAATCATGACCTCTATTGCGAGCCCAAGCTAATACTCGAGCAGCAGCGTAACTTATCCCTTTGAGCTGATACTCGCTATTGCGCCGGCTTCCTCGTTTGTAAAGCTGTCATCGTGACGTTTTGAGGTCCTTGACGCACCGCAGTTGTTGCATCGCTAATCAATGATGAAGCTGCCACGAAAGAGGATCGATGCAGCCAAATCCAGAGACCAGATTGTGAATTGAAGCTCACGAGCAGCAGCATGTGCGGCGGGCAGAGTGCTTTATCGGATGCAATGACGTTGAAAGTTGAGTGGTTTCTGGCGAGAAGCATGGTGCTGACGCTCCCGTCCGGATTCCATGTAGAGTCGGTTCGCGTCGCGACACGACCGTTGAGTGTGCTTCGACGATGATGAATTGCAGATAGAAACTACCGCCGCCATATTTTGGAAGCTTCAAAGGCTAGGGGCAGACGTAGGCACTGCCGTTCGTGGCTTGTGCAAGGAAGGAGCGGCTGGGATGAGAGCTTTTCACGACGACGACAAGTTCAAACACCAATCGTCCGCCGCGTCATGCGCGTTCATCGGCGCACGCGAGACGATAGTTCGTTCCACGGAAACAAGACCCACAAACATTCATCGTGCGGAGGAACAGGAATTTTGCTCCTAGGTTGTCCTTGCGCGATCCGTTTCCCTCCCACGCGCTATTGCGACTGCCAGGCTGGCGCCGACAAAGTGAGGGCTCGTACTAACGCCTTTCGTCGCGGAGGAAGAAGCTTTGTTTGGCCGCTTCCGTCTCCTAGTAGGGCCCACTACTGTCGCCCTGGCCGGCCGCTCAGCACAGAATCTTCAAGATGCTGCAAGCTGATGTGGAAAGCCGTCGTCGTGGCAATTCTTGATTGGTTCGAATAATCTGATTCTAAGAGCCAAAAACCAACCCGCGTGTAACGACACCCCATCCAGCACAACAACACCATGAATCCGCCTCCTATTCTGTATGACTATGGCACGGCTTTGTGGATTTGCCTTATCTTACGGAGTTGCGGTTGTGGAGTTGACCGGCTGATGCTGCTGATGGGTGGGGGTGAACAGTGCTACAATGGCATCTCTAACGACTGTGGTCGCCAATCGTCAGTGCGGTGCGGACTTCCAAGGTGTTCAGCGTGCAAAAGACCAGCAATCGCCAGCAAGTTACAGCGTCTGCGGTGGTGGTGGGCACTGGGCATGCGAGCAGCAGTGTGCTCTGAGAACCAAGCACCGAGCAGCACCGTGCAGAAGTGGTGCGCAATGTAAGAAAACCAGCACTGACAGTGAGTTGGGTGAGGCCCGCGCGTGCAGAAGAAATGTGGCTGATGTGAGCAGCATTTTGAGAGTTCAGACGTCAGATGGTCCCACAAATGTAGCTCCTCAGGTGTTTTTATCACCTTGGAAAAACCTCAATTTCCCCAATGGAGGTTTTTCCACACCGAGTGCTGCAATTTCGGAAGTGATTGTTCCTACATTGAAATGGAACAGGTTCCTCCGCTCCAATCCGTATCTGTGATTTCCATACCATAATTGACTGATTTGATCACGAAATCTTGATTAGGTTCAGGGAAAGCTGCTGATGGCTCCTCCTCCACCAGAACTGAGGGCGCGAAACACCTGAAAACAGACGGGCAAACCAAAGCACTGTGCGAAGCATGGACTGGCGACACATTTCTCCAACCTTCGCCAGAGGCTTCGCATGGGTGTTCGCGACGTCATGTTGGTGCAGCACAGATTGGTGCATTAGAAACATGTCTGCATAAAATATGGTACTTTTGCGGTGTACGCTTGGTAGAGTGTGAAATTGTTATGTTTCTCAAATTCTCCCAGCTCAATTTGATAGCACATTCGACCCACACCTCGGCAATCGCGCGGAAATGGCGGGCGACGAAGGGCCTCCAGACGAGGCGATGAGTGATTCCGCTTTGTCTTATCAGGCTACGAAACTTCCGCGATCCATTCTTCTGGACACATTCCAACGCCTACCAGCCGAAGGGCCTGGCGGAATAATCTCCGCCATGCTCACGTGCAGGTGCGCTTCCCCACGCGGATTTTCCCTCACATGCTCCCCGTACGCGCAGATTCCCCCCTCTACCCTCAGCTGCCGCCTCTCGTCCGCGTCTTTCCCCCACTTGCTCCCTCCCGTTGGCCCCCTTGCGCAATTCGCCCCTCTTGTCCCTGACTCCCCCTTGTGTGCGCGCATGTGTGCGCACCCCACCGCAGGTGGCGGAGCTGGTGCGGCTGCTGCTGAGTGCACTGCCAGTGACCGCCCGTCAGCAGCGGAGGTGCTGCGATGCGACCTCATGGCGCCGCGCATGGAGGACGAGGCGCTCAACGGTGCGTGCTTGCCTGCCAAAGGGGGGTGGGGGTGGGGGGGGGTCACTCTCACTGTGCTGCGCTCCTCTTATCTTCCCTGCCTGCACACAACCTTCCCTGCCTGCACACAACCTTCCCTGCGTGCACACAACCTTCCCTGCAAGTAACGAGTGTTGCTCGCCACGTGTGCGGCAATCATGGTCGGTGTACGGCATTCTCACGTGAGTGCTGAACAATATTTGATTATAGGCGTGATAGCTAGCTCCTTGGGGTCTCACAGCAGTGCATGGCCGGGTAGGGTGCACCTTGAACTGCGTATCTCTTCCTTTCTTGCTGCCACCCCTGTCCTCCACCATGCCCCTGGCCATTCTGATTTTGCTCCGTGCCATGCGATGTGGTGCGGGCATGTGCATGGCGGTGGAGGTGGGTGGCAGGCAGACTTTGACATTGTGGGAGGGACGCCGGTTCTGGCGGATGCTGAAGCCATCAAGGTGCGTTCTCTGGCAGCGCTTTGCTCGTCCATGTGCCTCACATCACACATGCGTCCCACCCACCGCCCCCCCACACACAAGTGCCCACTTGCACACGAGCAAGATTCACGTGCCCCAGTGCTGCAACGGAACAGCTCCAGCTTACCCTTTTCCCGCCTTGCCTCTCTCCCTGCTGCCTCGTGCCCTGCTGCCTCGTGCCGTGCTGCCTCGTGCCCTGCTGCATGCAGGTGGCGGTGGAGGTGGTGGAGGGGAGTGGGGCGGGATGGGGGGCGGTGGAGGTGGTGGAGGGGAGTGGGGCGGCATGGGGGGCGGTGGAGGTGCGGCTGAACCACCGCGACCTGCTGTCTGCCATCTGGCAGTGGGCGGGGGTCACACGCCCGCAGGTCGCCAGTGTCGCCCAGGTCACTCCCCTCCCCCTGCCGCCTGCTCCCCTCCCCTTCAACCAGCTCCACCACCCTCACCACCCACCATCTTCAACCATCTCCCATGCGTCACAGCACCATGCCACCCTGCACTCCTCTCACCCTTCCACCCACGCTCATGCCTCCCTGCTACGCCCCTTCTCTCCCCCTGCACCCCCCCCCCCCCCCGCCCCCCTGTACACGAGCAGTTGCTGGCGCTGCTGGGCGGCTCTCCCCCCACAGCCCCCTCCCGCAAGGCCGCGTGGCCTCTTGTTCGCCGCCAGCTGCTGCAGGTGCGTGTGTGCTGCTGCATGCTGTGAGAAGGTGCGTGTCAGTCCGTCCTTCCATGATCCATCGTCCGTCTGCCTGTCTGTCCATCTGTGTCTCTGTGTGTTTGAGCGTTTGTGCGTGTGTGCCGTTGTGCCAACGTGCCAGTGTTTCTGTTCCTGTGCGCCGGCGTGTGTGGGTGAGTGGTGGGGTGCGGTGGCAGGGAGTGGGGCTGGGTGAGGCGGTGGTGGATCGCCTGCAGGCGGTGGAGAAGCGCTTCAGTGGGCCGGCAGACGATGCCATGGCGCGCCTCACAGGGGCGCTGCCACCAGGTATGCGCTCACAGGGGCGCTGCCACCAGGTATGCGCTCACAGGGGCGCTGCCACCAGGTATGCGCTCACAGGGGCGCTGCCACCAGGTATGCGCTCACAGGGGCGCTGCCACCAGGTATGCGCTCACAGGGGCGCTGCCACCAGGTATGCGCTCACAGGGGCGCTGCCACCAGGTATGCGCTCACAGGGGCGCTGCCACCAGGTATGCTCTGTTCCATGTGGGCCTCAATGCAAAAGAAACATTCATTATAATGAGTTCTGCTCATCGTACTGATTTCTCCCACTCATGTCTTTCCATTTTCCCTTACATGTCCCCTCCCTCGCTGTTGCCGTTTCTCCCATGTCTCATCCTCCCCCCCGGGCCAGGCCCACTGGTGGCGGCAGCGCTGGAGGAGCTGGGAGAGCTGCTGGCGCTGCTGCGCGTGTGGGGCATCCACCCCGCGTGCACCACCATCGACGCCCTCATGGCGCCCTCCCACCACTACTTCTCCAAATGCTTCTTCCAGGTCTCCCCCACCCCCTTCTTCTTTCCCTTAAGCGCCCTCTTTGATTTTGCTGCTCCTGTTTCCTGCTTCCGTGCACGTGACATGCAGCCATGGAATATTTCCAGTTCTTATTTCCAGCCTTGTTCACCCTGCCTCCTGCGTCGTTGTATCTCCTGCGTGCGCTGCACCTCAGGTCCACGCAAGGCACCTGCCGTCTCAACCTCCCCATCACCAGCACCAGCAGCAGCACCCCCTAAACCCTATCAACACCCAGCGCACCACCCTGCCCTCTGATGCTTCCTTGCCTGGCGCCCGCTCGCTCTCCGCCTCGCCCCCATCCGCCCTGGCCGCCCCGTGGTCGTCCTCGCCGCCCCTCTGCGTGGCTGTGGGCGGCCGCTACGATGCCCTGCTGCTCCACCTCTCCTCCGCTGCTGCCGCTGGGAGAGGAGCGGTGGGTTGTTCAGATGGGGATGCATGTTAGGGGCAGGAAGTCGAAGCGCGTGGCATGGTCTGGCAGTATTGGGGACTTGTGACCTCCATGTTTGCAGGAATGGGCGTGTGGTGAGGTGTGGGGTGTCAGACATGTGTAGCTCCACTGCAACGTCCCCATATCCCCCTATTCTTCTTTCTTCATTCCCTGCTTGCATGTTGTTCCTTCTCCTTGTTCTCGCCTGTTAGTCTGCTGCTCCCTGCTGTAACCGTCAAGTGTTGTTGTGTGCCTCTTGGTTGGTCCCTTGCCTGCGTGTCTGTGTCTCTCGTGTATGCGCATGTCTGTGTCGGTGTCTCCTCCCTGTCATTGCGTCTGCGTGGCCTGGCCCTCTCCTTGTTGCTTTGTGCCGTGTGCTGCATGCCTCCTCTGCTGCTTTGTGCCGTGTGCTGCATGCCTCCTCTGCTGCTTTGTGCCGTGTGCTGCATGCCTCCTCTGCTGCTTTGTGCCGTGTGCTGCATGCCTCCTCTGCTGCTTTGTGCCGTGTGCTGCATGCCTCCTCTGCTGCTTTGTGCCGTGTGCTGCATGCCTCCTCTGCTGCTTTGTGCCGTGTGCTGCATGCCTCCTCTGCTGCTTTGTGCCGTGTGCTGCATGCCTCCTCTGCTGCTTTGTGCCGTGTGCTGCATGCCTCCTCTGCTGCTTTGTGCCGTGTGCTGCATGCCTCCTCTGCTGCTTTGTGCCGTGTGCTGCATGCCTCCTCTGCTGCTTTGTGCCGTGTGCTGCATGCCTCCTCTGCTGCTTTGTGCCGTGTGCTGCATGCCTCCTCTGCTGCTTTGTGCCGTGTGCTGCATGCCTCCTCTGCTGCTTTGTGCCGTGTGCTGCATGCCTCCTCTGCTGCTTTGTGCCGTGTGCTGCATGCCTCCTCTGCTGCTTTGTGCCGTGTGCTGCATGCCTCCTCTGCTGCTTTGTGCCGTGTGCTGCATGCCTCCTCTGCTGCTTTGTGCCGTGTGCTGCATGCCTCCTCTGCTGCTTTGTGCCGTGTGCTGCATGCCTCCTCTGCTGCTTTGTGCCGTGTGCTGCATGCCTCCTCTGCTGCTTTGTGCCGTGTGCTGCATGCCTCCTCTGCTGCTTTGTGCCGTGTGCTGCATGCCTCCTCTGCTGCTTTGTGCCGTGTGCTGCATGCCTCCTCTGCTGCTTTGTGCCGTGTGCTGCATGCCTCCTCTGCTGCTTTGTGCCGTGTGCTGCATGCCTCCTCTGCTGCTTTGTGCCGTGTGCTGCATGCCTCCTCTGATGCTTTGTGCCGTGTGCTGCATGCCTCCTCTGCTGCTTTGTGCCGTGTGCTGCATGCCTCCTCTGCTGCTTTGTGCCGTGTGCTGCATGCCTCCTCTGCTGCTTTGTGCCGTGTGCTGCATGCCTCCTCTGCTGCTTTGTGCCGTGTGCTGCATGCCTCCTCTGCTGCTTTGTGCCGTGTGCTGCATGCCTCCTCTGCTGCTTTGTGCCGTGTGCTGCATGCCTCCTCTGCTGCTTTGTGCCGTGTGCTGCATGCCTCCTCTGCTGCTTTGTGCCGTGTGCTGCATGCCTCCTCTGCTGCTTTGTGCCGTGTGCTGCATGCCTCCTCTGCTGCTTTGTGCCGTGTGCTGCATGCCTCCTCTGCTGCTTTGTGCCGTGTGCTGCATGCCTCCTCTGCTGCTTTGTGCCGTGTGCTGCATGCCTCCTCTGCTGCTTTGTGCCGTGTGCTGCATGCCTCCTCTGCTGCTTTGTGCCGTGTGCTGCATGCCTCCTCTGCTGCTTTGTGCCGTGTGCTGCATGCCTCCTCTGCTGCTTTGTGCCGTGTGCTGCACGCCTCCTCTGCTGCGCAGAGCTCTCGGGCAAGAGGGGCAGGAGGCAGTGGGGGGGGCAGTGGGGGGGGCAGTGGGGGGGGCAGTGGGGGGGGGAGTGGGGCGGTGGGGTTCAGTGTGGCGCTGCACAAGCTCATGGCGCCGTCACACCCAACCACCCACCACACTTCCAGGTGCCCGCTCACACGCATCTCGCTCTCACCTCCACCACCTACTTCTTTCAACCCCTCTCACTTGCTTGGCACACCCTTTGCTTCATCACTTTCCTTCCCTCATCCTCTCCTGCACCACTCTCCCCTCACCCCTCCACCCGCACCCCCCTGTGCGTGTGTGTGGGGGAGCAGGCAGGCAGCGGTGGATGTGCTCGTGTGCGCCAGGGGAGGGGCAGGGATGCTCAGCGAGCGGATGGAAGTTTCTGCGCGGCTGTGGGCGGCAGGAATCAAGGTAGCTATGGGCGGCTGGAGTAGTAGCTTTGAACGGCGGGGATAAAACAAGCTCTTGGTGGCAGGAAAACGTTCCTGGTGGGCAGTGGAAGATTTCATACACTACACTGTTTAGTGAGGGATGATATGCTGATAGTGACAACGTGGAATCCTGTCCCCACTGCCCAATGTGCGGTGCATGTGCGGCAGGCGGAGTATGTGAGTGTGCGGGCACCCAGCCTGACGGAGCAGTATGAGCACGCACACGAGCACGGCATCAAGTGGCTCGTGCTTCTCACCGATGCCGGCCTGCACACCCACTCTGCCAAGGTGCGTCTCGCTCTCACATGAGAGGTTGCTGAGGCAGTCACAAGGGTGTGCGGGTGGGGGAGGGGGAGGGTGAGGGTGAAGAGGTGAGAGAGGGGTGGGAAACAAGAGTGCATCCTGTGTTTTGAGTGTGAGAGGGGAACATGAGTGGAGAGGAACAGAGGAAAGGGAAGACATAGGAGGGAAGGGAGGAGGAATGAAAGATGGAGAGAGAGTCAATCTGTGCCTCTGTCTCTCTGTGCACATCCGTGCTTGTATCAGGTACGGCATCTAGATTTGAAGACAGAGGAGGAAGTGAGCCTTGATGAATTGGTCAAGTTCTTCCTCGACGCCTTGCCGTCTCTACCCACTTCTCGCCGCCGCGGGGCCACAGCACCATCTGGTTCTGGCGCTGCTTGACTTCGGGCTCACCATAGTTTGAGCAAGTAGAGCATAACTACACCATTGCCATTTAAGACTCGTCTTTTGTATGTCAAATGTGCTAAAAATAATAATGAGAATGCTTTCTTCTTGTATGATAAAGTTATTGCTTCCAAATTGTTTTGTACCCTCGCTACATAACGCGCATGTACACATGAAGGCGCGTGCAAGGACTGGTCCCCTAATGGCCTGGTCCGCTAACTTCCTGGTCCACTTAACTTCCTGGTCCAGTGGAAGAAAAAACGCTCGGAACGAGCGCTTCCAGCCCCAAAACGCGGAAGGATCCGCACATGTGCAGGAAGTGCAGCGGACGCTCTTCATTCGCGACCGCCGATGACCGATGATGCTCGCGACCCTCCCATGCCCTTGCTGGCTTGGCAATAGGCCCAGACAAGCGCAGCCACATGACTCGGCGGAAGAAAAACGCTCGGAACGAGCGCTTCCAGCCCCAAAACGCGGAAGGATCCACACATGTGCAGGAAGTGCAGCGGGCGCTCTTCATTCGTGAGCGCCGATGGCCGATAATGCTCGCAACCCTTCCACGCCCTTGCTGGCTTGGTATTAGGCCCAGACAAGCGCTGCCACGTGATCCGGCGGAAGAAAAACGCTCGGAACGAGTGCTTCCAGCCCCAAAACGCGGACGGATCCGCACATGTGCAGGAAGTGCAGCGAGCGCTCTTCATTCGCGAGCGCCGATGACCGATGATGCTCGCAACCCTCCCACGCCCTTGCTGGCTTGGTAATAGGCCCAGACAAGCGCAACCACGTGATCCGGAGGAAGAAAAACGCTCGGAACGAGCGCTTCCAGCCCCAAAACGCGGAAGGATCCGCACATGTGCAGCGGGCGCTCTTCATTCGCTAGCACCGATGACCGATGATGCTCGCGACCCTCCCATGCCCTTGCTGGCTTGGCAATAGGCCCAGACAAGCGCTGCCACATGACCCGGCGGAAGAAAAACGCTCGGAATGAGTGCTTCCAGCCCCAAAACGCGGACGAATCCGCACATGTGCAGGAAGTGCAGCGAGCGCTCTTCATTCGCGAGCGCCGATGACCGATGATGCTCGCAACCCTCCCACGCCCTTGCAGGCCCAGACAAGCGCAGCCACGTGATCCGGAGGAAGAAAAAACGCTCGGAACGAGCACTTCCAGCCCCAAAACGCGGAAGGATCCGCCCATGTGCAGGAAGTGCAGCGGGCGCTCTTCATTCGCGAGCACCGATGACCGATGATGCTCGCAACCCCCCCACGCCCTTGCAGGCCCAGACAAGCGCAGCCACGTGATCCGGAGGAAGAAAAAACGCTCGGAACGAGCACTTCCAGCCCCAAAACGCGGAAGGATCCGCACATGTGCAGGAAGTGCAGCGGGCGCTCTTCATTCTCGAGCACCGATGACCGATGATGCTCGCAACCCTCCCACGCCCTTGCTAGCTTGGCAATATGCCCAGACAAGCGCTGCCACGTGACCCGGCGGAAGAAAAACGCTCGGAACGAGTGCTTCCAGCCCCAAAACGCGGACGGATCCGCACATGTGCAGGAAGTGCAGCGAGCGCTCTTCATTCGCGAGCGCCGATGACCGATGATGCTCGCAACCCTCCCACGCCCTTGCTGGCTTGGTAATAGGCCCAGACAAGCGCAACCACGTGATCCGGAGGAATAAAAACGCTCGGAACGAGCGCTTCCAGCCCCAAAACGCGGAAGGATCCGCACATGTGCAGCGGGCGCTCTTCATTCGCGAGCACCGATCACCGATGATGCTCGCGACCCTCCCATGCCCTTGCTGGCTTGGCAATAGGCCCAGACAAGCGCAGCCACATGACCCGGCGGAAGAAAAACACTCAGAACGAGCGCTTCCAGCCTTAAAACATGGAAGGATCCGCACATGTGCAGGAAGTGCAGCGGGCGCTCTTCATTCGCGAGCGCCGATGACCGATGATTGTAGCAACCCTCCGACGCCCTTGATGGCTTGGCAATAGGCCCAGACAAGCACAACCACGTGACCCGGTGGAATAAAAACGCTCGGAACGAGCGCTTCCAGCCCCTTTCCATCACCCCGCCCCACTCTCCCGCTTTCTAGCACCCTGCCCCATTCTCCCTCTTTCCATCACCCCGCCCCATTCTCCTTCTTTCCATCACCCCGCCCCATTCTCCCTCTTTCCATCACCCCACCCCATTCTCCCTCTTTCCATCGCCCAGCCCCATTCTCCCTCTTTCCATCACCCAGCCCCATTCTCCCTCTTTCCATCACCCAGCCCCATTCTCCCTCTGTCCACCACCCCGCCCCATTCTCCCGCTATCCATCACCCAGCCCATTCTCCCGCTTTCCATCACCCCGCCCCATTCCCCCTCTTTCCATCACCCTGCCCCATTCTCCCGCTTTCCATCACCCCGCCCCATTCTCCCGCTTTCCATCACCCCGCCCTATTCTCCCGCTTTCCATCACCCCGGTTCATTCTCCCGCTTTCCATCACCCCGCCCCATTCTCCCTCTTTCCATCATCCCGCCCCATTTTCCTTCTTTCCATCACCCCGCCCCATTCTCCCTCTTTCCATCACCCCACCCCATTCTCCCTCTTTCCATCGCCCAGCCCCATTCTCCCTCTTTCCATCACCCAGCCCCATTCTCCCTCTTTCCATCACCCAGCCCCATTCTCCCTCTTTCCATCACCCCGCCCATTCTCCCGCTATCCATCACCCAGCCCATTCTCCCGCTTTCCATCACCCCGCCCCATTCCCCCTCTTTCCATCACCCTGCCCCATTCTCCCGCTTTCCATCACCCCGCCCCATTCTCCCGCTTTCCATCACCCCGCCCCATTCTCCCGCTTTCCAACACCCCGGTTCATTCTCCCGCTTTCCATCACCCCGCCCCATTCTCGCTCTTTCCATCACCCCGCCCCCTTCTCCCTCTTTCCATCACCCCGCCCCATTCTCCCTCTTTCCATCACCCCGCCCCATTCTCCCGCTTTCCATCACCCCGCCCCATTCTCCCTCTTTCCAGAACCCCGCCCCATCCTCCCGCTTTCCATCACCCCGCCCACCCATTCTCCCTCTTTCCATCACCCCCCCCCCCATTCTCCCTCTTTCCATCACCCCGCCCCATTCTCCCGCTTTCCATCACCCCGCCCCATTCTCCCTCTTTCCATCACCCCGCCCCATTCTCCCTCTTTCCATCACCCTGCCCCATTCTCCCGCTTTCCATCACCCCCATTCTCCCTATTACCATCACCCCGCCCCATTCTCCCGCTTTCCATTAATAGGACCAGACAACCGCAGCCACGTGACCCGGCGGAAGAAAAACGCTCGGAACGAGCGCTTCCACCCCCAAAACGCGCAAGGACCCGCACATGTGCAGGAAGTGCAGCGGACGCTTTTCATTCGCGAGCGCCGATGACCGATGATGCTTGCGACCCTCCCACGCCCATGCTGGCTTGGTAATAGGACCAGACAAGCAGCCACGTGACCCAGCGCAAGAAAAACGCTCCGAACGAGCGCTTCGACCCCCAAAACGCGGAAGGAGCTGCACATGTGCCGGAAGTGCAGCGAGAGCTCTTCATTTGCGAGCGCCGATGAGCGATGATGCTTGCAATCCTCTCACGCCCTTGCTGGCTTGGTAATAGGACCAGACAAGCGCAGTCACGTGACCCGGCGGAAGAAAAACGCATGGAACGAGCGCTTCCAACCCCAAAACACGGAAGTGCAGAGGGCGCTCTTCATTCGCGAGTGTTGATGACCGATGATGCTTGCAACCCTCCCACGCCCTTGCTGGCTTGGTAATAGGACCAGACTAGTGCAGCCACGTGACCCGGCGGAAGAAAAACACTCGGAACGAGTGCTTCCAGCCCCAAAACGCGGACGCATCCGCACATGTGCAGGAAGTGCAACGGGCGCTCTTCATTCGCAAGCGCAGATGACCGATGATGCTCGCAACCCCCCCACGCCCTTGCTGACCTGGCAATAGGCCCAAACAAGCGCAGTCACATGAACCGGCGGAAGAAAAATGCTCGGAACGAGCTCTTGTAGCCCCAAAACGCGGAAGGATCCGCACATGTGCAGGAAGTGCAACGGGCGCTCTTCATTCGCGAGCGCCGATGACCGATGATGCTCGCAACCCTTCAACGCCCTTGCCGGATTGGTAATAGGCCCAAACAAGTGCAGCCACGTGACCCGGCGGAAGAAAAACGTTCGGAACCAGTGCTTCCAGCCCCAAAACGCGGACGGATCCGCACATGTGCAGGAAGTGCAGCGGGCGCTCTTCATTTGCGAGCGCCGATGACCGATGATGCTCGCAACCCTCCCACGCCCTTGCTGGCTTGGCAATAGGCCCAAACAAGCGCCGATGACCGATGATGCACTACTTAAGCATGGGACAACCGCAGCTAAAAAATTCAGGTCGTTCGATGCTTTTCCCTACGCCTATAGGGATCCGAGCGCTTCTTTAGCGACTGCCGACAAATGCTAAGGAAGCGCGCGGATCCCTATAGGCGTAGGGAAAAGCATCCAACGACATGAATGTTGTTGCTTATTCGGATGGCCCATACTAAACTACACCTACCAGAGCAATTTCGGGTTGGTTCGCGCGCACAAAAAAGTTCGGCGCTTGCGATGACGGTCGCGTCTGCAGGCAAATGCTAAAGAAGCGCTCGGATCCCTATAGGCTTAGGGAAAAGAGTCAAACGACCTGCGTGTTGTTGTTTATACGGGTGGCCCATGCTTAAATACACCTACCAGAGCAATTCCGGCTTGGATCGCGCGCAAAGAAAAGTTCGGCGCCTGCGATGACGGCCTTGTCTGCCGACAAATGCTAAGGAAGCGCGCGGATCCCTATAGGCGTAGGGAAAAGCATCCAACGACATGAATGTTGTTGCTTATTCGGATGGCCCATGCTCAAATACACCTACCAGAGCAATTTCGGGTTGGTTCGCGCGCACAAAAAAGTTCGGCGCTTGCGATGACGGTCGCGTCTGCAGGCAAATGCTAAAGAAGCGCTCGGATCCTTATAGGCGTAGGGAAAAGAGTCGAACGACCTGCGTGTTGTTGTTTATACGGGTGGCCCATGCTTAAATACACCTACCAGAGCAATTCCGGCTTGGATCGCGCGCAAAGAAAAGTTCGGCGCCTGCGATGACGGCAGCGTCTGCCGACAAATGCTAAGGAAGCACTACGATCCCTATAGGCGTAGGGAAATGAGTCGAACGACCTGAGTGATGTTGCTTATTCGGGTGGCCCATGCTCAAGTACACCTACCAGAGCAATTCCAGCTTGGTTCGCGCGCACAGAAAAGTTCGGTGCCTGCGATGACGGCCGTGTCTGCCGACAAATGCTAAGGAAGTGCTTAGATCCCTATAGGCGTAGGGAAAAAGCGTTGAACGACCTGAATGTTGTTGCGTATTCGGGTGGCGCATGCTCAAACACACCTACCAGAGCAATTCTGGCTTGGTTCGCGCGCACAGAAAAGTTCGGCGCCTGCGATGACGACCGCGTCTGCCGACAAATGCTAAAGAAGCGCCGGATCCTTAGAGGCGTAGGGAAAAGCGTCAAACGACCTGAATATTGTTGCATATTCGGGTGGCCCATGCTTGAATACACCTACCAGAGCAATTCCGGCTTGGTTCGCGCGCACAGAAAAGTTCGGCGACAGCGATGACGGCCGCGTCTGCTGACAAATGCTAAAAAAGCGCTCGGATTCCTAAAGGCGTAGGGAAAAGAGTCAAACGACCTGAGTGTTGTTGCTAATTCGGATGGCCCATGCTTAAATACACTTACCAGAGCAATTCCAGCTTGGTTCGCGCGCACAGAAAAGTTCGGCCCCTGCGATGACGGCCACGAATGCCGAGAAATGCTAAGGAAGCGCACGGATCCCTATAGGCGTAGGGAAAACCATCGAGCGACCTGAATGTTGTTGCTTATTCGGATGGCTCATGCTTAAATAAACCTACCAGAGCAATTCCGGCTTGGTTCGCGCGCACACAAAAGTTCGGCGACAGCGATGACGGCCGCGTCTGCAGAAAAATGCTAAGGAAGTGCACGGATCCCTATAGGCATAGGGAAAGGCATCGAACAACCTGAATGTTGTTTCATATTTGAGTTGCCCATGCTCAAATACACCTACCAGAGCAATTCCGGCTTGGTTCGCGCGCATAGAAAAGTTCGGCGCCTGCGATGACGGCCGCGTCTGCCGACAAATGCTAAGGAAGTGCTCGGATCCCTATAGGCGCAGAGAAAAGCGTCGAATGACCTGAATGTCGTTGCATATTCGGGTGGCCCATGCTCAAAAACACCTACCAGAGCAATTCCGGCTTGGTTCTCGCGCACAGAAAAAAGTTCGGCGCCTGCGGCAACGGCCGTGTCTGCCGACGAATGCTAAGGAAGCGCTCGGATCCTTATAGGCGTAGGGAAAAGCGTCGAACTTTCTGAATGTTGTTGCATATTCGGGTGGCCCATGCTAAAAAACACCTACCAGAACAATTCTGGCTTGGTTCGCGCGCACAGAAAAGTTCGGCGCCTGCGATGACGGCCGCGTCTGCCGCCAAATGCTAAGGAAGCGCTCAAATCCCTACAGGCGTAGGGAAAAGCGTCGAACGACATGAATGTTGTTGCATATTCGGGTGGCCCATGCTCACATACACCAAGCAAAGCAATTCCGGCTTGGTTCGCGCGCCGACCAGAGCGAGCATCGTGACAGGTTTGTTGTAAATTTTTGATATATATCTGGTAGATTGTTATAAGTTTCTTAAAAAAAAAATTTCACGTTTTTTTTCCATATATATATCTAAAACTCTGATTTATAAAAGAACATTTGATCACATGAGCTCAGTTGAACGTATTGAAGTTGTTCATGATAATTAATATTGCTATCGAATGTTTCTAAGATAACATATATATTTTTCACGATGTTATTACTCTTAAAACTATGTAATCTGTCATACGAAAGTTATGCTGTTATATGTTCTATGTTATTACTATTGGAACATGTTTTTAGCATTTGTTATATATGTTATCGAGCGCGCATTGTGACGAGCAAGCATCGTGACGAGTGAGCATCGTGACGAGCGAGCATCGTGACGAGCGAGCATCGTGACGAGGAGCATCGTGACGAGGAGCATCGTGACGAGCGAGCATCGTGACGAGCGAGCATCGTGACGAGCGAGCATCGTGACGAGCGAGCAACGTGACGAGCGAGCATCGTGACGAGCGAGCATCGTGACGAGCGAGCATCGTGACGAGCGAGCATCGTGACGAGCGAGCATCGTGACGAGCGAGCATTGTGACGAGCGAGCATCGTGACGAGCGTGCATCGTGACGAGCGAGCATCGTGACAGGTTTCGATTTATATCTGGTAGTTTGTTATAAGTTTCTTTCAAACAAAATTTCAAGTTTTTTCCATATATCTAAAACTCTAATTTGTAAAAGAACATTTGATCACATGAAATCTGACGGCCGCGTCTGCCGACAAATGCTAAAGAAGCGCTCGGATCCCTATACGCGTAGCGAAAAGTGTTGAACGACCTGAATGTTGTTGCATATTCGGGTGGCCCATGCGCAAATATACCTACCAACGCAATTCCGGCTTGGTTCGCGCGCACAGAAAAGTTCGCCGCATGCGACGACGGCCGCGTGTGCCGACAGATGCAATGGAAGCGCATGGGTCCCTATAGGCGTACGGAAAAGCGTCGAACGACCTAAAATTCGTTGCATATTCGGGTGGCCCTTGCTCAAATACACTGACTAGAGCAGTTTCGGCTTGGTTCGCGCACACAGAAAAGTTTGGCGCCTGCGACGACGGCCGCGTCTGCCGGCAAATGCTAAAGAAGCGCTCGAAACCCTATAGGCGTAGGGAAAAGCATCGAATGGCCTGAGTGTTGTTGCTTATACAGGTAGTCTATGCTTAAATACACCTACCAGAGCAATTCCGGCTTGGTTCGCGCGCACAGAAAAGTTCGGCGCCTCCGATGACAGCCGCGTCTAGCGACAAATTCTAAGGAAGCGCATGGATCCCTATAGGCGTAGGGAAAAGCATCGAATGGCCTGAATGTTGTTGCAGATTCGAGTTGCCCATGCTCAAATACACCTACCAGAGCAATTCCGGCTTGGTTCGCGCGCATAGAAAAGTTTGGCGCCTGCGATGACGGCCGCGTCTGCCGACAAATGCTAAAGAAGCGCTCAAAGAACGGGGTGCGGGGGTCGCCACGAGAGGCACCTACAGCGACTATGCTAGCCTCAGCTGCAAGTAGTTCCTTCTCGAGGAGGGCAATGG